GGTTGAGCTGGGTAGGTACCTATCGAGTCTGTACTTGATCCCTTGACCAACAGATGCCCATACTCGCCGGTCTCTGGCCTAATTCACGGTGAGAATTGTTCTCGCGCTTGCACGATGTATCTGCCGTTCTGTTTTACCGTCTGCTTTGGCAGGCTGCTACCTAATGATGCCGCCATGTCTTGCCGGTGAGAGAATGCCTGACGCGACCGGTTAAGCCTTGGCTGTTGATGTTGTGTTCTCGTGGGGAGAGGGCATCCCGGCCGTTTGACGCAGCCGAGTGGAGGGAGACGGGTAGCTGCTTCGGTCCTCAGATGACCGGCCTGCAAAGTGCCAGTGGGCCCCGGAATGTCAACCGTCATCAACCGGCGCCCCAGGGGGGCCACGGGGGAGAGAACCGGCTGCCCCCTGTTCTGGGCTTCACGGCGCGTTGTTGTGCTGGTATCAAGTGACCGCATGCGTTTTCGCACACACGCGCCAGCCACAGAGTGTCGAGGCGCGGGAAGAGCCCATTTTTTTAGCAAAACGTAGCCAAATGAGTTTTATAGGGTTGGGTTTTATTTATGGTAAAACCTACTCCAGTAGCTAGATAGTGAACTGGGGAGACGGTTTCTAGCACGTCCGTCCAGAGGGTGAGTAGGTCTTGATGTTTCGCTTTTCCGTTCTTCGCGCTACGGCGCCTTTATATTTAGTCAGGGCCTTAGGGGATCGGACCCTCCTTGAGTTGAGGGGAGCAGACAATTCTTACTTTTCTTTTCCACACTTGCAGAAGTGACCTTTCAACTCGGGTCTCCGAACCGCGGCCCTGTGGCCAGAGGGCCAAACGCGTAGGCGTTATGAGGCCGTAATGGTAGGATTTTCAGTAGAAGTTTACTCTTTCTGAGCCATCTTCTCCCTCGTGTGACATGGACATGACAACGTGTGCGGCGCGTGGCCCAAGCGTTGGTGGTGTGTATGGTTTTCCGGTGTATCACTACTTTAATAGTAAACTTGACTAACTAACGTACCTAGTTAGTTACTCTTTTCTTTGAAGATATAATACACAGATATTTATAGGTACTATTCTATTACTTAATATTACTTTAGGAGGTGTGAGAGACAAGTGGCATCAAGGCGAGGCACAGGGGCACTGCAAGTGCCGACTCAATTCTGCTAATCGTAAGATGGGAGAAAGGAGGAGAGGCTGGAAGAGCTCTCGCGATACCGAGGCTAAATGCAAGAGCAGGTGGCACGTGCACTCCGACGGCAGGCGCCGTCACAGGAAGCTAATTAGGGTCTTATAGTAAGAGTATGATATTGTATTATGGTATTTTAGTTATGTCAGCTATATCTTGCTAGTGCCATCTATGGAAAGCGTTGAAGATGGCATCCGGTACATCGAGTAAAAGGTACCGCAGTCTGAGCGCCACCTAGGTCAGCACGTATATGTTTGGTGGCGTGGAACCTATATTTGCATCCTCGACGGCAGTGGACCGAACAAGTAAACCTTGCCAACCCAGGGGGAGGCACCAGCCCCGTTAAACCAGAAGGGTCTGCCAGGTTCCTGGGAGTCTGGTTGGACTGGAAACTCAACTGGAAGGCCCACCTGGTGGCGGTGGAGAAGAAGCTGAGGACCCAGAGCTATGCCCTGTCGAGGATCGTGGCAAAGACATGGGGAATGGGGCTAGCCAAAGCGCGAGAAGTGTACACAAAGTGCATCCGGTCGGCGCTGGCCTATGGCGCATCATCGTTTCACATCCCCACGGATGTGGGAGGCGAGCCGGTAAAGAAAGGCATCACTAAGGCCCTCGGGAAGGCCCAGAACAAGAGCTTGCGGATCGTGGCGGGAGCCTTTAAGTCTACCCCAATCTGTAACCTCGAGACAGAGACGTGGGTCCCACCATTGGACTTGTACCTAAACAAACGGCTTGCCGATTTCGAAAACCGACTCCAACGACCCGATCTGGACGACGGTCAAGGCGGCAAGAAGACGGCGGCGAGCGTTGTCCTCACCGCCTGCTGCAAGATACAGCAGAGGCTTAGCTCGAGGAGGGGCAACAGGGGCCGACCGCGAACCTTGGGACCTCAAGGGCCTACGGCGGTGGAGAGAGCCGCGGACACGGTCATGCGCTGGACGGGGGGAACCGTTGACACGAACAGGGTAGTAGAAGAGGCTTGGAAAGCGAGGTGGTTAAAGGAACGGGACGTCAGGGCAATCACCAGGCCGGCGGACGACTTTGACCATCAGCAGGAGACGCTATTCCGGAACGAAACCCTAAGGAGGCACGACGGTCTCAGCAAGGCGAAGAGCTCACTGCTGATTCAAATCCGGACGGGAGCAATAGGCTTACGGGACTTCTTGTTTACACGGGGAGTCCCGGAGGTTCTGACTCCTGCCTGCGAGTGTGGCGAGGGACGAGAGACTGCCGAACACCTGGTAGTGTGGTGTTTGGCCCCACCGGTGACTCGAAGATGGGAGAGAACTGGAATTCGGACACGACGGGACTTTTACTCTGTTCTACACGGCATCAATCCCACGACTGCACGGCTCGCGAGGAGAGTTCTCGACTGGCTGATGGACTCGGGGAAGCTGCCGATGTACAACTTAGCCAGGAGGCTCGAGCTGGAAGCGGCGGCCTGAAGCGCCCCCGTTCGGAGGCCAGGAGGCCTCCTCTCTTTGTATACGCAGACTCACCAGAACGCATCGTTCCTTGATTGTTGGATATGGGTTTTTTACCCGGCCCGGGAAGGGCACGGTTTTCCTGTACACTAAATAGCTGAGGGTCCGGCACGCCCTAGGGCATAGCGGAGTATGAATAATAATATATCCAAACTTGCAGCATCTTGCACAGACGGCCGCGGCCCACGGGTCCACGACGGCAGCTTCAGGTACTAGCGGCATCGCTTTTAGAGATTGCCATGTTATCCATTGCTTTCTAGCTCAAGTATGTTCATGAGAAGAAGAACTTCATAGTGAGAGTTGCGCTGCTTTCGCCTTGATCATGAATGTTGGCACCGAGGGCGAGGCCCGTCTAGCTCAGGCCTAGGTACCTTAGGTACCTACCTTAGTCTCTTCGGTACCCAAGGTACTTTGGCGATTAACGTGAGAAACTGATGGCCCGAGATAAACTGCCGTTTACCCCCCCCCTGTCCCCTGGAACCCATTTTTTTGGGCCCGTAACGATGTCATGCCGGCTCCCGCGACATATCAAACGGTTCAATTCGCAACGATCTGGGCAGTCCAGAAAGCGGCCTGGAGTGACAGGGCGTGTGTGCGTGTCCACCGGGAAAGAACTCACAGAAAAGGTTACGTGACCAACCACACCTGAATGACACTTGAATCCCCCGAGTTTATAGATGATAAGTAGGTAATCAGCATTGCTCAAAACTCAACATGTATTCAAGTTAAATAGGGAATATAAAAAGGAGTGCGGAAAACATGTATGGAGTTTTGTACCAAGGACTCAAGGAGGAATCGAACATGGGGTCTGACGGAAGAAGACAAGGACAGTCGTTTGGGAACTGTGATGCACTGCCGTGGCAGTTGCCCCATGGGTTATGCCCTCGGTCCAGGGTTTGTTGACACATAAAGGCAGCATTTCGCGTTATCGATTGTGAGGTTGAAAATATCCATAAGTATCTACAGTTGGTCAAGAGTCCGTCATTCTGTGACCAGCCAGCTAAGAAGATTGTTGAACCCAAGAAACCCAAGATCTAAAACCAAGACACAACTCCGGCAACCACTCAACCATGTATATACTCAGTCCCCGCCATCACCACCGCCCACGCCTCCTCCTCTGACCGCCACCCGCCATACCTTGCAGCGCGCCGTAGCCAATATTGCGCAACTCATCCAGCACCAATACAAACAAATACACCTTGATATGCTCCCACGCCCACCTCTTCAAGCTCGCCGGCGTGGCGGCCCAACCCACAACCCACAAGAACAGAATCACCCCCAACACTAACAGCCGCCGCATGGTCTCGCTGCCGCCAAACTCAGCCACTAGCAGCACGGCCACCTCGGCGAGTGCAAAGTGCCAGTAGTCGGCGGTGCGCCACACCCACAGCGGCACGCTGCCGGCGGAGGCAGGGTCATGCTCGAGGCGGCCGTTCCGTAGCACGCGCGCAGTGCTGCCCCCTGTCGGCAGCGACACAACAACGGCGGCACGCAGCGACGCGATTGCCCACTGGAAATAGAAGGCGCAGAAGAGAACGAGGCCAGCTACCAGCCGGTCCAGAAAGTAGGTTCCGGACAGGCTGACGGGGCCCGTTAGCCACGACACGGGCGCGAAGGGCGTCGCGGCCGTGTAGAGCAGGACGACGAGCGCGATGGACGCGATTCGGCGTGGGAGAATGGAGGTGTCGTTGAGAGCGGCGGCTGCGGGTGAGGGGGGCGTTTTGGTGGTGGTCATTTTGTTGTTGTTTTTCGTCTTCTTTCTTGTTTTCTCGTGGTGTTGCTGAAAAGATAATGTTGTAGAGTCGGATGAACGAGTGTGAATGGAGACCCAGTAGATAATTCCGTTACTCTGAGGAAACCATGGTGGGTATGACTTGATCAACGGAGCGACTAGGAAAGAACGCGCGTTCGGGTTCGAGGCAACCCTGATCAAACAAGGAACTTGGCATTGAACGAGAGGCTGGAGAGAAAAGAGAAGTCTTGGGATGGGATTGCGAGTTGCATTGTACACTATATATACTTTCCCAAGTCTCCTCGTTCCATCCCCGGTAACCTGGTATGGTTGATGCATCTCGGGTTGTGTTCCTGCTAGGACCTTGTGTCAGCGGCGGAGCTAACGCGAGTTGGGAACGCGCAGCTCGTGGGCCGCGTTCGAGCCCTCGTGGATGCCTATTGTGTGCCTGGAGCTGCCTGGCCCGAGTTCCCACCCGAACAAATAGCTCCTCTCGTTAATTTTAATTAGCGCTGGTGTGGCGCCCAAAACCCTCACCAACACAAGAACACGTCGCATCCGGAAAGAAAACGCGCAAAGGAAACGCAAACATGAGATTGATGAGGAAAGCTCAATAGCGTTGCCTTCATTATCCTGGCGTCGAGACGCAGCTGCTACAGCGCCTCGCCTGCCATCAACTTTCTAGTCCCCGACTCCTCCCAGCTCTTCCAACCCCTGACTTGAGCCCTACCTAACATAGTCGAGCATGCTGTCTGTCACTTGTCCCCTTGCCACCCATCCTGATCCGTCCTATGGATCTCCTCTAGCGATGTCTTTTCGTAGTAGTCAGACCCAAACCTTAGCGGAAGACAGACCAGGTCGTTAAAACAGGCCTTCCCCTCCGGGCACTTTAACTTTTCCTCCCCTCCGCATATCTCAGCAAACGGCCAACAAATGCCAGGTCCGTCGCACGAAGGCCCGCACAAGTCGGCAGTTCTCGGATCGGCAATGCAGCTCTCGATGCGCTCGTTGCAGTCATCCATCAACGACCAGCCCCCACAGAGCGTGTAGATTTGTTGCTTGGAGATGTCTATGTCCTGGCAGGTGCCCGGGCATCCTTCATCCCAACTGTTGACCCACCGGGTGCAGTCCGTCGAAAGGGGAATGCAGGTTAGGTTTCCGGCGCAGTCTCCGAGTGTTTGACCGCAGGCTTGACCGACCTGTGATGGTGGGGAGTCAACGTGGCCCGCAACACCCGCTCGGATGCCGATGAAGAATCCTATCACGGAGAGGAGTGTCGTGTGATGCATGCTGAGCGGGAAGAACGGGAGTAATTGCAACTTGGCTGGGTGGAAGAAAAAGGGAAAGAGCCCTTAATCCCAGGGAAAGGAGACTTGTTAAAATAATGATGGCTTTTCCTGGTCTTCATGGACCTGGCCATCTTGGACATTCTAATCGGTGTCTATAAATACCTAGGTATCCCAGTCTGAACGTCGACCGCCCAATGGCAGCGTCCCCATGCTCGTCGAGATTACTTGGCAATATCTTATGTTAACTCTGCCATATTAGCCTACACCAGCTGCAGCGCTCGGCATGCTCCGGGTGCTGCTTTTGGGGTAGTCAACACAGTGAGATCAACGTCAAAACTCCGACCCATCCATACTTGGGCCCTCTCCCGGCACCATACCGTAGCACCAGAGACCGACAGTTGAGACAGGCCTCGATCGTCCCAGCGGTGTGGGGAGGGGGCCTTGGCAGAGGCACGGAGCAATTCTGATGTTCGGAGGACTAGTTACTTTAGGTCGTATTTTTTTAAGGATGGTGTTTCGGCGGGGTCAATGCGCCCTGCCCCACCACACTTTTCCAGCCGGCCCACTAACGCGGTCCCGCCCAAAGCACGCGTCTCCTTTTCAACAACGACAACACCAACAACTTCTTGTCTTTTTGTTTTGTTTCTATGAATACCACTTGACCGATTAATGACACACAGCATTGGGTTAGATCACAATGCTTGCACAATCATCCCCCATTACCTTTCCTGACAGCTCCTCCCCCGTCACAGCGAAGAGGCCACGACCTACCAACGCGCCGAAAGCTTTAAAACCTCGCGTCCTCGGCGGCTTCCTTGCCGACGACGAATCTGACGACGAGGCCTTTTCTGACCAACCGTCACCAAAGCGGCGCATGCTACAACGAGATGCCCAGGACACACAAAATACTCAAAACGCACAACACCCCCACGCAGATGCCGAATTACAACCCAGGGGAGACCTGAACGAGACCCTGCCGGCCGCCCAGCCCGTCGCCTCAACCTCATCCGACAGCCAGCTGCAGGACGACTGTGGGGGAGAAGCAGAACGCTACGAACGTCTCTTTGGAAACCAGGGATTGCCGACACTGGCAGCATTCACCAGCAAAGACCCGCGCCCAGCTTTGTACCAAATCTCGACATGTTCCGGCCAAACGATCCCTATCCGAGAACGCAAGCCCACCGCCGCAGTCCCCTACGCAAGCATAGTAGCAGCGCGCTCTAGGACCAAAGATGGCCGCGCACACAAGAGCTACTACGGCATCGCCATACACGAACTCATCGACAGCGCGAGCAAGGAACTTACCCGAGCGAGCAAGCCCGAGTTTTCAGCGGCGTCCATAACACCGCCCACCAACCCAGACAAGCCGCTTCGCTCTGTAGAGGCACAACACACAGACCCCAAGAAGTCCAAGCCCGCCATGCTTTGGACCGAAAAATACCGCGCCCGCACCTTCATGGACCTCTGCGGAGACGACTTAACCAACCGCCAAGTGCTCCGCTGGCTGAAGCGCTGGGACCCCATCGTGTTCCCCCAAGCGGTCAACAAGAACAAATCCGTCATCAGGCGCCTCCACAGCGGGCCGCAGCAACAACAGGGCCAGTCGGGCCAGCAGGGGCAGCCGCCTGAGGAAGAGAAACCCCATCGCAAAATCCTGATGCTGCACGGGCCGCCCGGTCTTGGAAAGACTACCCTGGCGCATGTCTGCGCACGTCAGGCCGGGTACGAGGTCATGGAAATCAACGCCAGTGACGAGCGGAGCAAGGATGTGGTCCGGGGCCGGATCCGGACCAGCCTAGGCACCGAGAGTGTCAAGACGGTGGAGCACAAGAAGCCGGAGCCGGGGAAGCAACCCAAGGTCGCTCGCCCGGTGTGTGTGGTTGTGGACGAGGTCGATGGCGTGGTCGGCGGGTCCGGGGGGTCGGGGGAGGGTGGATTCGTCAAGGCGCTGATCGACCTCGTGCTGCTGGATCAGAAGAACAGCACGGGAGGTGCAGCGACGGCGGGGGCGGGGCGCAGGAAGAAGAAGGGGGATGACTTCAGACAGATGAGGCCGCTGGTGCTCATCTGTAATGACGTCTACCATCCCTCGTTGCGCCCACTGCGGCAGTCTGGCCTGGCAGAGGTCATCCATGTCGGGAAGCCGACCGTCGAGGCGGTGGTTACCCGGTTGAAGACCATTTTCGAGAAGGAGGGTATCCCTTGTGAGAAGGACGCTGCGCGAAAGTTGTGCGAGGCCGCATGGGGCATGACTAGCGGCATCGATGCCAAACGTGGGGCGGAGGGCAATGCAGAGGGCGATCTTCGAGGTGTCATGGTGGTAGGAGAATGGGTCGCCGGTCGGCTGAGGGCGACTTACCCAGAGACCACCCATACGCTCACTCGACAGTGGCTGGACCGCCATATCATCCACGACCTCGCCCACGGCGGGGGTGGTGCCCGAGGCCTCGGACGCGGCGGTACCAAAGAGATCGTCACTCGTATTTTCCAAGAAGGCGCGGGCTTCCCAAAACAGTCCGCGCCGGCCCAGCAAACCACCAAAGTCACTCGCCACGAGCAACCTCAGGCCCAACTCGGATTCGCCGAACAACAAAAAAAGTACGCCATGACCCGCCTCCGTGAGATGATCGAGACGTCGGGCGAAGTCGACCGCATCATGACCGAGATCTTCCTCGAATACCCGAACCGCGACTTCAATGATGACTCCTTCTTAACCAAGCCAGACCTTGCTTACGAGTGGTTGCATTTCCACGACACTTGCTCCTCCCGCATATTTTCCAGCCAGGAATGGGAGCTTGCACCATACATCAGCCAACCCATCCTGGCCTGCCACCACCTCTTCGCTTCGCCACGGCGGCACCAGCCTCAGACAACGTCCGGCTACGGCGGGAAGTGGGGCGAGGCGGCTGATGACAGCGAAGGCAACGAACCACCCCTTCCGTTCTCGGGCCCGCGGGCGGACTATGCCGCGTACGAGGCCGAAAAGATTAACCGCGCCGTGCTACAGGGGATCCACGCCCAGCTGCCACCAACCTTGACGCGTGCGTTCCGCAGCCCCGAGCACATCGCGACCGACTTCCTCCCCTACCTCATCCGCCTAGTCTCGCCCGACGTGAACCCCGTCATGGTGGGCGGAAGCAACGACAAGTCTGGCGCGGTCGCGTCGGTGCGGAGGGAAGCGGAAAAGGCCATGGTCAAGCGTGCCGCACAGGTACTGGCCGAGGTGGGCATCGCACTGCACAAGGGCAAGATCGAGCCGGACGCGGCCGCTGGCCCGGCGACGCGGACCCAGTGGGTGTACCGGATGGAACCGTACGTCAAACCACATCCCCACGCTTCCCCTAAGCACCCCCTTAACAAACCAAAACAAAATGCTAACCCCAGCCGCGTAGGGACCTCGATGCGCTCGCCACCTTCGAGACCGCCACCGCCTACCTCCTCGCCTCCCACGCACCCACCCGCTACGCAGTGCGCCAGGTGCTCGACCAGGAGCTGTACAAGACCCTTGCCCAACGGGACAGCGAAGCGCGCCAGGCCCGCCTCAAGACCGGCGGCGGGGACCCGCATCAACCACCACCACAACCACGCAACAACACATCCACCGCCAATCCTTTCCTCACCCCCCTGCAGCAGAACCGCCGGCCAGACGAGCACCTGAACCCGAACAAGAACACGACGGCGGGGGCGGCGGTGAGGCGCGACTTTTTTGGGCGTGTCATTGCCGAGCGCCCGCTACTAGCAACCGGCGCGGCGGAGGATGGCAAGGCGAGGAAGAGGAAGGGTGGGGGAAGGGGGGAAGAGGCGGTGGGTGGTGGCGGGGGGATGGTGTGGGTGACGTATCACGAGGGCATGAACAATGCGGTGCGGAAGCCGGTTTCGTTAGAGGAGTTTCTGCGGGGGTTTTAGGGGTTTGGGGTTTGGGGGGGGTTGGCTGACTGACTGACTACTTGCTGTGTGGGTAGGTGGATGGATGGGAGGTCCGTTCGCGGGTTGGGCTGGGTCTGTGGTGTACTACTAATAATGTCCTGGCTGGCTGGGTGGCCCTATTTGTATGTATGTCCTGTCTTCTTGATATGATGGCGTAGAGCTCGCTTTTGTATGAGTGTATGCAATGATATGTGTTTATGACCAGGCTTGCTGTCTTGTTTTCTCAGAACAGGTCACCAGTGCGGTTGGCTGAGACGGAGTGTCGTCGGAAGTCGAACCCACTTTTGCGGCTCTTTCGGCCGGCTTGGCGTCGATGTCGATTTGGGACCCGGCGACCGATCCGGCCCCACTTGGTGGCTTTCGCCCATGCTGGGTGGGTGCTTTTAGATCACGATTGGCTGCTGTGCTGCCCACAGTTACACGAGATCTGGAGAAATGCACAGCACAGAGCAGTGGTGGGGTTCATGCACATGGGTACTTTTTGGGAGCCAGGATGCAACGACCGAGGGTGATGTGCCCAAGAACAGGTGCCGTTGCGCCCGTCAACCTTGTATTGCGAAGAAATATCAGTTATTCCAAAACCAACAAGCCGGCGTCGGGTACCGCTTGATAGCCAAAAAGATCACTCGTCGCCCAAAAAAGAACCCAAACACACATAACCAAAACCACGTCTATCCCCTTCTATTCCCGCCCGCTCCACTCCGACCCCCTCCCCTGCAGGTTTTGAACCGTGCTCGCTACCGCTGTCTCGATATCGATGTGGAAAAATGGCCTGTTCACCCCATAGATCGGCACCAGCCTCCTCCCACCAACATTCTTCGACGAAACACGAGACACCTCGGCATCGGCGCCAGCAGCCTCGATGTCGACTTCTCTCGCCTTGGAGCTGGTCTCAGCCCCCTTTAGGCTCCCACCGGCTCTCGACCAGTCACCACCAGTTTCGGCAGCACCAATCAGCGGCTCCAGTTCACTCTTGTCGTCACTTGAGGGCGCGGAACCGACAATGACACGGTTGCGCCTGCTGTCGGTGCCGAACCCGCTCGCGACGAGCGCGCGCTTGGTCCAGCGGTTGGAGACACCCGCAAAATGCCACTCGACATGGTCTGGGGCGGCGTAGCGGTTGAACTGGTTACGTAGGTCGATGAGCGCCTGGGCTGCGGTCACGTCGAGGGCGTTGACGCCAGTGAAATCGAGAATGACGGCGCGTAGGGTGGGGCGTGCGGCAATCTCTTCAGTATCGGTGGCTTGTCCGCGACGGGGGCCGGGGTCGTTCCACGGGCGGTCCTGTGTGTTGTTAGGGATCATGATCAACGGCGCGCGGTGAGCTGATCAGAAATGACTTACGCCAATTTTGTCGTACTTGTTAAGCTGGGTGCGGCGCGTATGCTTGAAGATATAGATGGTGAGGTGATCAAGGTGCCGAGCAGAGTTGATGTAGTTCAGGCCCTCACCAAAACGGTAGACGAACACTCCGGGGTAAGGGGATTTCATGTTAATTTCCGGGTTCGACACGTCATTTCGATTGATATCGAGGAAGGCGGTGTGGCCTCTCTCAACAGCACTCTCCCCAGTATAAGCGGCACCGCCCCGGACGCTGTCCCGCGTGACGGTTTGCACATTCACCTTGCCGAGGAACCGACCGGGGCTTTTTGCGATGCGGAAGAGTAAGACGGCGGCCGATGCGCCGACGGTGACGTAGATACCATTCTCAATTGAAGTGAAAATGGACACGAAAACACCTGCGAAGAAGATGACAAATTCGAGTGGGGAGGTTTGCCAGTACTGGTAGACTTCCCTTGGGGGAGAGATAAGGTCGCCAACCGCATGGATGATGATGGCGCAGAGCCCGGCAGATGGGATGTAGAAGAAGACGGATGTCAATGCGTATAGAGCCAAGAGGACAATGATGGCGGTAAAAATGCCGGCGAGAGGGGTCCTGACCCCGGCTTTCGACTTGATAGCTGTCCGTGAGAAGGACCCGGTAGCGGGATATCCGCCGAGGAAGGGACCAAAAACGTTGGTGAAGCCGATAGCAACAAGCTCTTGAGAGGGGTTGATAATGTAGTTGTTGACGCGGCCAAACGACTTGGAGATGGATATATGTTCAATCAGAAGAACCAAGATGGTCATCGGAATGTCAGGGCCGAGAGCCTGTAGAATTTCGATGTTGAGTTCAGGGGCACCGACGTGTTGGAAGCCTGAGATGAGAGCAGGTCAGCGAATGACTATGCAATGGTGGAGATGCCACTTACCACTCGGGACTGGTCCGAGGATCTTGAATTTGGCCTTTTTCGGGTCGGTGACCGTACGGTTGGCTAACCAACTGACAAGGATATAAAGGATAACGATAAAGGCCATGCGTAGGGTTGAGAGAAAAAACCACATCTTTTGGCGGCGGGGGTTTTTCCTACCCATGTAATTACAAAACCAACGGATAAAGTAGAGGCCGAACAAAGCAGACAGCCCCATGGCAGCGTCCAATTTAGTCCTAGGCAAACCCTTAAGGGTGTCGATAATGACGAGGTAGGTTGGCTGGCGCGTGTTGACATCGGAGATACCCAATAGGCCGGGGACCTGGCCCGAGGCGATGCTGATGGCTGAGCCCGTCATGAAAGAGCCGATAGCGACTAATGAGATAAACTCGACGAGGAAGCCGAACCTGATCAAACCCAAGAACAAGAGGACGATACCGGAGATGAGGGCAAGACTTCGGGCGATGGTCTCGGCGGCGAGGTCTGGGTGTGAACTTTGCACGTTGATGACGATATTCCCAACAATGGTGGACATGACAGCCACCGCCTATGGAATGATTAGCGCGCGAAGCAGATCGCAGCGGCGAGGGGTAAACACACGCCAATGGTAATGTCCTTAGACGTCGCGAAGGCCCAGTACAGAATGAAACCGACGAAAGACGTGTAAAGACCAAACTCGGGAGGCAAGTTTGCGAGCTTGGCGTAGGCCATACCCTGCGGCACGACGACGAAGCCCACCGTGACGCCTATAGCTGTTAGCTATGCCTCTGCCGAGAAGACATGCATTGATTCTGCACTCACCGGCGATGAAATCACCCAGTAGCCATGTTAGGTTATAGTGGAAGATCCACCCGACGAATGGGAACAGCTCCTTGAGATATGCGACGGTTCCAGGTATTGTCGGGAACAGGTAGAGCAAGGCATCGGCGACACTCGGTTCCTCCTCGACGTAGGAATCGTCAGCGTGGAAAGCCGAGTCGTCAACAGCCAGGGCGGGGTCGATCCCGAAGAACCTCTTGACGCGGTCGGTGCGGGTATCCGGAGCCATGTTGGTCGGCTGTTGCAGTGCGGGACGCGTTGAGATTGAGGTTGCAGCGGGAGGAAAGGATGATCCGCAGGTTGGGTCTTATATCAATGCAAAAGAAGACGTAGCTCCACGTGCTGGATTAGGTGACCCCCAAATGCGATGGTGAGGCCCCTGCCCTCAGCTGAGCTTTATTGTGTGAGCTAACACGGCAGGCTAGCGAAGCAGAGGGCGGATTATCAGGGGTGGCAAACAAGGTCTCGATCTGAGAGTTCGAGCACGCGTTCGGAGGCGTCTTGTGCATGCTAGTTGGTGCCGCGGGATGGTCACATACAATCGCTGATCTTCCCAACCAGACGGGCGGCGATGACACACGGGAATGGGGAAACCCCTCGCTCGCCCTCCACGCGAGGGTCTGCGAGCACGCGGAGAAGACCGGGACTGGGGTAGGGCGGTTATGCAGGTGGTGTGGACGGCCGCTTTCGAGGGCATGGGTTCCCTTGCAGGTCCTCGGGTGTTGTGTAACGGATGATGGGGGCCCAGGCGTGGCGAGCAAGAACGTTTCTGAGCAGGTTTGTTCCAGAAGTTATTGAATTACTGTAATTCGCCAGACAAGAGAGACATCGCGCAAAAAGTGTTCCAGCCGCTGTGGATCTTGCCGAGAAGGTACATACCTATCCTTCCCCGGGACCCAACAACGACGGTGGCTGCAGATGGGGCAGAAATGGGCGGGGAGCAGTTAAGCTCATAACCCAGTCAAGGTCGCCATTGACCACCCTCGCAAGCCGGGGAGAAATAAAGAATGGAAAGTCCTTACACAGTACCCCCAAGATGCCATCTTGCGTAAACCCCCATTGTTGCTTGCATATGGGATCTCTTGGCTGCCTTTGTGTCCAACCTCCGCGGCGATGTCGAGGCGAGGCTGGGAAGGCCGAGCGGACGCCAATCAAGGCATTTGCACATCTGGGTGGCGAACGGGAGGTTTTTGCCCAGGAGGACCAAGAATACCCCAGGAAGCTTGGGAAGCTTGGGAAGCTTGTTCACCTCGGGGCGTTTTGCTGGGCGATGTGGGCGTTCTGGGCGAGACTCGGCAGACAGACAAAAGAAACGATGAGTCGATGACCTGTGATGGTGCATGATGGCGCAAAGCCACGTTTGGGTTTGCCATACCCGCATCAACTCGCGCTCTTCATGCGGCACAAGCGCCAAAAAGTGGTAGGCAACAAGTCCGATTCTTGGGCAGGAACGAAGAGAGAGCTGGGCTGGGCTGGGCTGGCTCACACCGTCGAGCTGTTTCGGTCACTTCCAATTCTGGCAAGTGCCATATAAAAGGGCCCACTCATTCGGCTCCGCCTGAGACATGATTGGCTAGGAGCTAGAAGCACCTCAATCACACCATTTTCGGAGCTTCTCATCCAATTCAACCTCCTTCCTTCCTTCCACACCTGGCCCGTACCGTGTTGCTTTGTTTCCCAAACGCATGAGCACCCGAGGCTCCCCGCCGTGGCTTTCCAGGTTTCACTCAACCCTATCATCATTTCCCCATCTTGGCTCCTTGGTCAGATTTTAGTTAGAACGTGGGGGTAGCCCGCAGCATGCCCTCCGCCTAAAGAAGACAAAAAGGGAGCTGCTGCCCACCCATTCGCATGACGACATTTCAGGGGTTCTCTTGCGCGATCAACCGCAATCCCTCGACGACCAACCGTTCCCAGGATTTTGCAGACGGCACGCGACGACCCCAACCCGCCCGCAATTTGTCCCTCCACGTCCTCGGACCCCCCGAGGTTCAGCAACCCAGCAACGTGGTTCCGGCGTGGAGATTGAAACATTCAGCTGAACACCGGGTCTCCGTTGACTCGAGATGAGGCAGGCTCACGTTCTCGGGGAGGACGAGATTTCCCATCAGACCCGGCAGTTTGGTGCGATGGCGAAGCTCGTGGGATTGCCGATCTCGATGCGTGCGCGGGTTTTCCGACGGCCATGTGTCGTGGCAATTTGATGAGCAAAGGCTTCGCCCAGATCTGGGCCGGGTTTAGTCGCGCACACCTCCGAGAGCCATGCGGTATACCGGGAAACCGTCAGCCCAGCTTCGAGAAGCCGGCTTGGAAGACCTTCACCGATGCTTCGCGATCTCTGGCGTGCCCGGCGCCAAGGGAGCAGAACGGCTTCAGCCCGACCGGCGTTGCCGATTGTTTGAGCCCTTGTTAGATGACCACCTGTCGTTTCTGTCTGCCGTCCTGAGAAGGACCAAGTAGCAACCGCGCCGTCGAGTAGCCAGCTGAACAGCCCGCGGCTCTGAAGAGTCGCGCAGCAAAACCCGCGGTGAACTCACACCTACACACACACACACACACACACACACACACAAAAACAGACATACACACGAGTACACCAACCGAGGGCCGAAGGACAAAATATTGATGAGAACGAGAGAAGCTCGTTGAAACAGCACTTTTAACTTTCAACATCACGGGAATAATGCCATTCCTGACCGGGTCATTTGGCTCGTGACCTAACTTTCCTGTGCTAACCAGTGGCGTTATCACGCCTTCTTACGCAATGCAGCTCCGCCGTGCTGTCTCTCCATTTGCACGAAAGGCACCCCAGCTTGGCGGACCTATCGCGCAAGCCCATCTTGCTGGGTGTTACATGCTGTTTACGTGGCGAATCCATCGTTGTCCCCCAACTTACTCCAGACGAACGCAGGCTATTGCTTCGTTTGGCTGTCTCAGTCGCTGCTTTTGCAGCGGCCTCGTCCGCCAAAGTTGGGGGTACTCGGGACTAAGACGGCCCGAGTCTGGGTGCCCAAGGCTGTCCGAGTTGGGGACTCCGGGTCCTGGCGCTTATGATGGTCTCCTGGCCCACGACGATGGTGTGCTCAACCACCTCCTCATATTTGATGCACGAGTCGCAGGGAACTTGAGAACGCAAGCATGCACTGCTCTTGCGTCAGCGGGCAACCACTGTAACCCATTCCTCCGGATCCACGCGGCATTTGAATCGGATTGAGTGACATCGCTACAATAAGATCGGAAATGCAATCCACTGCTGCAGGCCGCCCGGCCTACAGCCCTGAGTTCGAGGCTGAGAGCTCGTTTCCCGAGAGGCACCTTGACGATGACAAGACTCCGGCCTCGGGTGTCGAGCCCGACCGCTATCGCCCAGCGGCCGCAAAACGGCAGCCTCGGCAGGTGTTTGAGCCCAGTCTCCCAACGCTCTACGCTAGGGATTGGCCTGGGGAAAACCAGCCTCTTGCCCGTGACAGCCATGTGAGTCCCACATCAAAGCATCCCCGTGTCGTTTTGTCCGCTAAATCCGGGGCCAGATAACCTCTCATCCTGCGCTGCCCGTCAACAATGCCATCCCCGCCCACTTTCCACAGACAACTGCGCCTTTGCAAGGAGAATGGCCCTCATTCAGTGAGCAGCCTCACGATGGGCGCTTATGGCAATCAACCCGCCCGGAACTCAGTGTCGACGACGATTCCGACTCGATCCAGAGTCGCAACGACAGCCTCGAGGAGTTTTGCCTACCGATGCCGACGCTGCCCTCCACCCAGAAACCCCGGCGGCGAAGCTCACATCGCGTGACAAAACCTGCAAAGGCATCATCAGGCTCGATAACAAGCCACCACCCAGCCGCGCGTCCAGAGAGACCCTATATTCCGGACTTCGACTATAACACCGACTGGTTTGACGCTTCGGATGCCGCGGCAGCCTTCTTTCCCCAAATCAACCACGATCAGCCAGTAGCCGCCAGTGGAGGCGAAATTGAAATTGCCTACCGAGATAGTTCCTCTTCGTCCAAGGTGGACTCCAAACGAATTGCCCACAAACTGTCCGAGAAAACACGACGCAACAGATTGACCATCGCGATACGGGAGATACAGAAGTTGCTCCCCTCTGGGGCTGACGGCGATGACCAGACCATGCCCCAGGCGCAGAAAGACGCGGACTTTGTGGTCAGACCGGGGGTGCCGAGTAGTAAACTTGATATCGTGGAGATGGCCGTTGGGTTCATCAGAGACTTGAAAGAGAGAAACAAGGAGACGGCGAGAAGGTTAAGAGAGGCTGAGAGGGCGTTAGAACAGTGCCAGTGCCGGCGTGGGAGAGGGGACACAGTCTCGAGCTCATCATCATTGAATCTTCCGGCCATGGGAGGTGGCGCAGGTTAACGCATCATGGCATATGTATTTGTTTGTGGTTGAACAGGACCGGACCGATAATACCGAGTAATTCTAGTTTTCTGGACACTACCTTTATTCCTGTCAACATCCTATTCGCAGGGCTTTTGGCACCGACAGTTCCATCTCGCAAGCTAGCCCCAACTCTACCAAAGCTCCCCAGGAAGTTAGTCTGTCCTCCAAAATCTGGACACCCTCCTTCCCTCTGTGTTGCTCATCCCCATTCATTCTCGGTCGCCATTTGAGTCACTGTAAATTCGGTATTAACCCCTCACTCCGAACAGAAGCACACAACCCCGCTCTTTGTACCACCACACAGCCATCCTCCCCGCAAATCTCTCATATCCCCTCTCCCATCCCCCAACTGTATTGACATACATACCACCTCCCATCCGACCCCCACACATACCCAGAGTGGCAAGGAAAGAGGAAAAGGGAAAGGGGGGAAGGGAATGACCGGAGGGCCCGCCCCAGCCGCTCACAATCCTAGACCGCCACTCCATTGAGTGAGTACATACTCCCCAGTCCCCACCTCGCAACAGAAAAATGAAAACTGGGGTTCCCCACCCCCCCGGCTTGTGGTTCCCGCTCCCGCTCCGGCTTACACTACATACACTACTAGTGTCCAGTCCACCGCACTAGCTCCCATTGGGAACCAGCCACGAATAAACTAGTGTATTCAATTAAGGTTCTGACCCCCCGGGGACTCGCTTCCGACTGGCTGGCTGGCTGGCGGGCTGGCTGACGGGGGCTGTGTTAGTGCGCGCGCCACGCGCAACGGCGGGGGCCCGATCGTGGGGTGCGTTCGGGTTCCCTGGCGGCTGGGTAATGGGTGGAAAGGTGTGTAACCATGCTCTGGTCCGTGGTTTGGTGTGCCCTCGAGCCGGTTGCTGGTTGCAACTTGCAACTTGCCGGTCGGTCGGTAGGGACCGGGGGGTTGGAGGCGGAGCGGATCGGACCGGGCCGGGTGCGGCTGGGCTGGGCTGGGCTGGGCTGGGCTGGGCAAGGCAGGGCAAGGTTCCGGCTGGGCTGGGTTGTGGGACTTGCTCTGTTGTGGTCGGATCCTTGCTGGTGTCGGGTAGATGCATCGTGCATACATGCTTGTGGTTATTGTATGGAGGGAGACGGGTAGCTGTTTCGGTCTCAGATTACCAGGACTGCAAAGTGCCAGTTGACGCCAGTGGTCCCGGGTCATGGAATATCAACCGTCATCAACCGCCCCGAAGGGACCCAGGACCGGCCGCTGCCTGTTTGGGCTTCATGACGCGCCGTCGTGCGTCTCAATTGGCTACATGCGTTTGCCCACCCACACACGCGCCAGCCACATCATGTCGAGGCGCTTACCACGCCTCGCTTCCATTGCAATGTGATCGATCTGGAAAATTATCACGTCCGCGCATTCCACTCGCTGTTAAATTTGCACATACGATGTTAGAGAGAAGCCTCAATAAGTGGGGTCTGTTATCCAATGGCTCCCTGCCTTCTATTCTGGTGTCTCGAACGCCTTCGCTTTGATGTACCTATTTCAAGTTGTGTCTGCAAGATATTACATGTAACTAAGGTAGGTACTGGCATCACACCACATCAAACAATATAATTATCATCATACCACGTAATATGGACACAAACAAAACAATCCAGCTGTATAGAGTTACTGGTTATCAAAGGACCCATCCTGTGTCCGAGTTGAGGTGTCAGGGGGTTGCAAGCGGTTAGGATTGAACGTAGCACAATACACCGTTCAAAGAACCTCTCGTTCTCTCCGGCCATATCGGCACTCCTTGCAACACAGGTGAGATCCGACCCCGGTAGGATCTAGACCGCTCATCAATCTGCGTCTGTGATGTGCTTCGTGGGAGAAGCTGCATTCTCTAGTCTACAACAAAACATCTTATGGCCGCATGGAATGTAGCGGGTTGGAGACTGCACGCTTAAGAGCTGTTTCAATTTTGCTAGTAGCCTAGTCCTAACACCCGGTACAGGCTATGCACTGACGATTTCCTTGTCTCTTGTCATGGTTTTGCGATCTATCAGTTGTCTCTTACGGGTCAAATTCTCAAACTTATTGTCGGTCAGAATGTCCCAGCCGCTTGCATCGCAGTCGCAACAGCGCCATTCGATGCGTGGGCCAAATCTTTTGTCCAAGTACTCTCTCTCCCTCCGGATTCCCTCAGGACTCCTCTGGTACATTGTTATATGTTTGTTTAAGGCCCTGTCTACTTTGGAATCTAATCGTTGTTTCGAACACGAGCTGCATGACACATTTACCTGGAAACTGGTCAGTATCTACATGTAGGTGTATATAGGCGCTTTTTACAACGATAGGTACACCGGCTACTTCGTAGCCAGCGGCATTGCAAGCGAACGAGGTCATCATGTATCTCTTGTTCTACAATGGAAGCCCAGGTAGGGAATCCGGCGGCTGGTGTGCTTATTCTTTTGGTAGTTACATAAATGGATAAATATACAGAACAAAGCCCTAGCAGGAAAGGTGGACCCAAAACTGTGGACCCTACGTCCATGGGGGGTTTCCCAGGGGCGCTGGCTCAGAGCCTACCGGCCCTGCCCAAAGTTAGAGTCAGTGTCTTCGGTACATACAGAGAAAAATCTGGACTCTATGCAGGGTCGAAAGTCCGAGAAGTCGAACAAGCCCTGTGCCGCCTTCAGATCGAGATGGCTTTTGTTGAAAGCTAAACCCATCAGTGGTGCGCGTCCCGGGTGTGGTATGGGTGCACACAGCATGTGGGGGATTCACCCTGGTGTTGCTGCGAGGTTCTGTTTGTTCGTCGTGTTCGGCCTACCTACCTAATCAAGCCTAGTCCACTAGTTATTGGAGTGGGTTGGGGTGGCGGGGGTTGGGATGGGAGCATCCTGGTCGGCTGGGATTGTCGGGGACCGGGTGCGCGCGTGGTACACACTCATGTGGCTGTTGTGTCACGTTTGTCGGGGCGCTATATTGAAGTCTGGGCCTGTTCTAGGGTGGGTAGTATGTTGTGAACGGGCGGTGGTTGTGGATTGTTTGAGTCACTTGGGTAGGGTCTAGATTCTATATCGGCATTGGTCAGTCGTCTTGTCTCAGGGTTGTGCAACACAATGTCTCTATTGCTTTATTTGTTGTTCGTTGCTTATTATCGTAGTGTTACAAGGGCTGGGATTCCAGGGCTTGAACAATCAGCTGCCGGGGGAACCGGCAAAACCAAATGTATTGACAAGAATAATCTTCAATGGCCTCGAGAAGTCCATGAAGAGAGAAAGAGAAGTTCCGGAGCTATCTGACATTCTGAGTCTTTCTTATACATGAGGGGTTTCGATGAGAAGGTGAGGAAGGGCGTTTGACGCGGACGCCAATGAAATTAGTGAGGCTGACCGATGAAGGAATGAGTGGCTATTGATTTCTGAAAACGGTTGGTGATGGTTGTGTTCACGTGGTGATCCGTGTGACACCATCTCCCCCTTTCTCAAGCTCGGCCCCGAGCGATGTCTGCCAACACTCTGGAGTCCACCGGCTTATCAAGGTGTGAGAGATGGTACGCTGCCAGCTCGCCTTTCGATCCTTCAGTGGTGAAGTGTTCGTACGGTTCCCAAGTCCAATGTCGTTTTTGCGGCCATCCTTGCCATTTGACAAGATACTTAACTCCTTCGCCCACCGTCATGGCGTCCATTATCTGTTCCACTTGATACTCCCGGTTCTACCGGTCCCATATCCTTCAGCACTTGTTCGACATCGGGTGTACCTTGACTGCCGGTGCGAAAGGGTTCAAGGAGTGAGACATGGAATGTATCATGGATTCGCCATGACGAAGGGAGTTTGAGCTTGGCCGCAGAAGGCGACACCATTTGGACAATCTGGAATGGACCGAGCATCTTCTTGTCCAGCTTCTTGGTCGGTCGGCGAGTCTTGATGTTGCGTGCGTTCAACAGGACCAGTTGGTCCTTTTCGAAGTTGGGGGCTTCCTTGCGTTTCTTGTCCGCCCAGAGCTTCATGCGGTCACGGGCATGTTGGTTGTTCTTGACTGCCTCTTCATGCACTTCCTTCATCCAATGTGCGTAAAGCCGGCTTGCTGGGTTTCGCGCTATGGTGCGGAGTTCCGTGGGATTGTGAGCTGCGGGATGATACCCGTAGTTGGCAAAGAAGGGCGTCATCTTTGTGGAAGCTCCCTTCGCATTGTTGTGGGCGAATTCCGCGACGGGGAGGAGATCATACCAGTTGCTCATTTCGTAGTTGACGAATGCGCGTAAGTAGGTCTCCAGGGTCTGGTTGACAATTTCGGTTTGTCCGTCCGTCTGTGGGTGGAATGCTGTACTCATCCTGGACTTGATGCCAACGAGTTTCAGAAAGTCCTCCCAGAGGTGGCCGGTGAACCGAGAGTCTCTGTCTGACACAATGTCTGACGGAACGCCGTGTAGTCGCCAGTATTCTCGAGCGAAGATACGGATTGAGTCGTCCGCTTTCTTTCCTTCCACCTTCAGAGGAATGAAGTGAGCCATCTTTGTGAACATGTCTACTATGACCCAGATGGAATCGCATCCGTTTGACAATGGTAGGCTGGTAATGAAGTCCATGGAAATGGATCTCCAGGGTTTCCATTTTATCTCCATGGGTTGGAGCAGGCCAAAGACACCATGTCGGGGGTTCTTGTTGCGCTGACATTCCAGGCATCCTCGAACGTATTCCCGAACGTCTTCCTCCATGGCGGGCCACCAGAAGTTGCGGCGGATGAGGTCAAGTGTCCTGTCCATGCCTTGGTGTCCTGCGACCACAGAATCGTGTTCTGAGTGAAAGATTTCTTTCTTGAGAAGTTCGTGGTTGGGGATGCGTAGCACCCCGTGTCGGTATAGGAGGTCCTCGGCTATCGTGTGGTGCTTGTCTGGCTGTTTGAGCATGTCGGCGTAGTCCTGATCGTGTTCTGCCGCGCTCTTGACTTGCTCCACGAAGCTGCTTTCCCATGCTTGAACCGGGATGCTGGCGAGGCGAACCGACGAAAGAACGGTGTAGCCGCCTTTTTTGGGGGCGAAATGTTTTCCCTTTAGGACCGTCGTGACCGGCTGGTCCTCATCTCCCCCTTTCTCGGGTCGATGTTGTGGTAATCGGGACAGAACATCGGCTTTTCCATTTTGTGACCCTGGCCGGTAGTGGATTACAAACCGGTAGGTAGAGAGGAGCTGAGCCCACCGGGCTTGCCGTCGATTCAGCACCTTCGCGTAAGTAAAGTACTCAAGGTTGTGGTGGTTAGTGAACACCTCGACGGTGTGCTCCGTTCCTTCGAGGGACCGGCGCCAGGCCATGAAGCAGTCCACGATCGCCAGAAGTTCCTTGTCATGTACTTCATAGTTCATCTCCGCCGGAGTGAGCTTGCGAAAATGAAACGCGACAGGATGAAGTTTCCCATCGTCCTGTTTCTGTGAGACTACGGCGCCGATAGCGAAGTCCAAAGCATCCGTTCCGACAATGCACTGTCTCGCGGGGTCATGATGCGCGAGAATTGGTGCTGTTGCGAATGCGACTTTGAGCTGAGTGAAGGCTTCCTTCATTGAAGGGGTCCATTTCCACTCCTTTTCCAACTTGAGTGAGGATGTGAGTGGTCGCGCGATGGCTGAGAAGTTGTTGATGAACCGTCTGTAAAAGTTGGCGAATCCCACAGAAGACTGGCATTCCTTGAGGTTCGTGGGTGCTGCCCAGTTTGTGATGCAATCCACCTTCTTCTTAGACATCTGGATGCCTGCCGCGGAGATGATGTATCCCAGGTACTCGACCTGCATCTGGTTCCATACGCATTTCTTGGGATTGATGATGAGATTGTTTTCCCGCAAGCGTTTGAGAACCTCGAGTACAAGGCGATCGTGTTCCTCCTCCGTTTCGGCATAGATGAGAACGTCGTCTACGTAGACGAGTACGCCAACGTCTATCAGGTCGCTGAAGATGGCATTCATCATAAACTGAAAGGTGGCCGGTGCGTTGGTCATTCCAAAGTGCATGACGGTGAACTCAAATAGTCCGTACCGGCATCGAAACGCGGTTTTCCACTCGTTCCCTTCCTTGACACGGATGAGGTTGAGCCCTGACTTCATGTCGAGCTTGGTGTAGTGCTTTGCTCGCTCAAGTCGATCTTGAAGCTCGTTGATGAGAGGCAGCGGGTACCGATTCGGTATGGTTTTCTCGTTGAGATCTCGCCAGTCCACCACGGGTCGAAGGTTGTTGTCGTTGGTGCCCTTCTTCTCAATGGAAGCATCTTTGTCTACCATGAAGATGGGAGCACTGCGTGACGACTTGGATGGTCGGATCTTCCCTTCTTTCAGCATCTCGTCCAGCCATCCTCGGAGGAACTTGAGTTCCTTTCCACTCATGGCATAAACAGGCCCCCAAGAGAGCGTCGCGTCTGGTTTGAGATCGATTGCGTGGTCCCATGGTTGATGCGATGGAAGGCGTTGCTCCGGATTGCTTGCCACACGAGGTGCAAGCTTACGGAATTTCTCCGGGATTTCGTTCATCGGAGTGTCCGTAGTGATTGAACTGATACGCCCCATTTTGCCAAGTTCCGCGAGGCTGGTGCAGTGCTGGCGGCAGTAGTCGCTCTTGAAGGCGACAAACTTGGGACCTTGGCAGAATCCTTGGGGCTGGTGCCTTTGCAGCCACCAGTAGGGGAGAATGACGTCGACTTCGTCGTCCAAAGGGGATAGTTCTAAGGACAGGCTCGTGAAGTGGTCCTCGCCGTGGCGGAGTACTACTGGTCCGGTGTATTCAGAGCCCTGACCAGTTTCACTTCCGTCCCAGGCCTTAAACACCCGCGGGACAGAGTGTGTCCAGCGCGGAATGTTTAGGCGCTGTACCAGGGGTAGCGACATTGCGGGGACTTCGGCCCCGTCATCGAGAAGGACACGAACTCTCTGTTCCCGGGGTCGTCCTTTCGTGGGGAGAATCAGCGTCATTGGTACGATCACTCTGCCTCCGATATGAGGCGGTTTGGGTCGTTTGTTCTGGTTCTCAGAGTCGGATGGGTTGTCATTCCGCTTTCGTTTGACTGCAGCGGCCGCGGAAATGACTGCACCGATCGGCCGTTGTCTCGTCGGTGCTCCCGAGCGGCCTTCTAAAAATCCTTCTCGTCGTCTGTGACGAACCTACTTCAGGACCCTGTCCCGTTGGGGTTCAGCTTCGGTCGAAGGTAATCTCTCAAGGGTGCTTAGGTTCGGTGCAGCCAAAGGGTGCACAACAAAGATTTGTCTCAACAGTAGGCTTTCGAGCTTGTAGCGAACTGTAGTTGTGATTGCTAACTGGAGAACTCCCAGAGCTCTCCAGAACGAGTGACCATATACCTGTCTGATTCCTGAGTGCTCAGTGTGTTCAGTCCGGATGAAAAGATCAGGGGACACTGAGCTCACTGATCTTCTTATTCCTACTAAGCACTCTCCTCGTATCCTGATTGGCGTGAGGCCTCTGTGCTCAGTGTGCTCAGTCTGTTCAGCCTGGACTTAGCGTACTGAGCTCACTGAGCTCACTGATCACCCTAATCGCCCTAGTCACCCTAATCACCGTCTTGGATTCCTGATTGGTCCTTTTGCTGATTGGCCCGGGCGTCCCGCGCCGCTCCGCTAGCATATTCGTGACCTCGTCTGACGGGGGGAGCTCGTAGATGTTCGGTCCCTCCATTTGTTCGTCGAGAACCCGTAGGGTGTCGATTTTGAATTTCTTTTCGGGCGGAGCGGATTTGCTCGGAGTGGTGGTTTCCTCGCGTGTTCGTTTCCTTTTGACGGCGGAAATCTTAGCGGGAGTGGGCAACTCGTGTCCCTCCAAGTCCTTCTTTGCGAAGCAGACGAGGGTGTGATGATCACGGCCACAGCGGAAACATTTGCCGTTTTTCTTCCGTTGTTCGACCTTGTCTTGGTCGACTCCGTTGAGAGCGGCTGGGAAGTCGGGCCATTTGCGATCCTTCTCGTCGAACTGCTTCGCTTTTGAGGATGGATTTGAGTTGCTGGGGCGCTTGTCCTTGGCTCTGGGTTGGCCCGATTTCGAGCGCCCCGATGTCGAATCGGGCTCGTCTTTTCCCTGTCGAGAGGTGCGGAGAGTATCGTCTTCCTGCATCAACTCGTACGTTCGACCCGCTTCTCCGACAGCGTGGATGAATTCCTGGTCCAACGTGGGGAGTGCTCCCCGTTTGGCGTAGACTAGTTCCATGACTCGCTTCGGAAGTGTGCGTGCGATCAATTTCTGGAAACTAGGTCCTGTCCAGTTGACGTCGGTGTTGAGTTCCAGGAGCTCAGCCAAATACTGCGAAGTGTCCCCTTTGTACTTGAGCTCCCGCATCTTGGTCTCGCTGCGGTGAGCCTGTGCGGGGTCGGACAATTGCTGGCTTAGGGCCTCGGAGTACGCTGCCCACGTGTCGGTGATGACCAACTCCTCTACCGCTTGTTGCCGGCCCTGGTGAATCTTCTGGGCGTAATCGGTGAGGAGGGACCCAACCCAATTGATCTTGAGCTTGTCGGTTGGGAAGGCCTCAGGGTACGAGGACATATAATTGAGGACTTGCCTCCACCATCCACGAAACTTGGTCCTGTCCTTTCCGCTGAAGGTGGGCGGTTTGGCCAACTGGACAGGGTTAACCACCACAGGCTTGTGTATGGACGCTTCTAGGAGTTGGAAAAGGCGATCGGCGCTGGCCGACTCGTGTGGTGGGGTGCTCTGCAGCCGCGGAAGAGGTCCTCCAGGGGGGCGGCGTGGCGGTGAAGGCGTACGGGACTCGTTGTCAGAGCCGTCGTCCGAGGGGTCGGGTTCTGGTATCCGGCCCAGCGGAGGTCGTGGTGGGGGACCCATTCCTCCAGGAGGCATGCCCCCGATGGTAAGCGACCGGAGACCATTGTAGTCCCGGCGCGACTGTGTTTGCATTTTTCTGTAGGTGGCCGCCTGTAAGGCTTCCCTCGACAGATGTTGGAACGCCGAAGAAGAGGTCGGAGGCAGCTTGGTACGCGCTGGTGGGTGTTCCAAGTAGGTGGGAGATTCTTTGTCCCCTGGCGCTTGTGAGGCGCGTCCTACGCTCTCCATGACACTCTCTACTGTGGCATGTCGAACTCCCGCAGCACGGAGGACTTCCTTCGTGTATGCCTGCAGGCGCTCAAATTGCTCCTGGGCCCGACTGTCAAGTTGCTCGTGGTTGACGAGTTTTCGGGCCAGGAGGTTCTCGATGTCCGCATCGCGCCTTCCAGCCCAGTGTTCGACATTCGAGTTGAAGGTGCGTTGTTTGTCGAACTGTTCCTGGAGGGTACGGAGCGATTGTTCGTGATGCTGCGACACCTCCTCTAGGCGTTCGATGGCCTTTGTCCTGATGGCTGCATCGTTCGAGAATCGTGCGAGAACTCCATATACTTGGTTGCTAAAATCCCGACTGGCCTTGCCCATGGCTTCTGTGAAAGCCGTCATCTGCTGTTCCGAGATGGTCACGTGACTGTTGTGCAGGCTGGCCATCGCCGTGTACTGTGCGCGCAACGTGTCGTACATTTGTCGCACTTTAGCTTGTTGACGATGGGACTGGTCTACAGACGTTGATAAGTCCATTGCCATGCGATAGCACCGTTCCATGTGGTTGCGGAGAGCGATGACCTCCTCGGAGGGATTGTCGACCTGGACGCCAGTGGTCATGTCAAGGTCTGATCCACTCATTGCCACATCGAAGGTGGGAACTTCGAACAGGGTCAGAGCGTTGCTCTCATCAGGCACTGGAGACGCCATGGTGTTGGTCGAGAAGATGGTGATTTCCACGTGTTCGTTGGAGATGACCGAGCCGTGGTTGGACGGAGAATTGGGTCCGCCAAGCGACCACGCAGCGGGTAGTTTGTGGAGCCGCCAAATTCTTTTGATGTCGCTGCGAGTGTCGGAGCTGTCGTCGAACATCAACCGTAGGTGACAGATAAGGGATGGTTGGTTTGTTGTCGACGATGTGATAAAGAAGTTGCAAAGAATTCTGGAATGATTGAAGATTATTTGTTACAAGGGCTGGAATTCCAGGGCTTGAACAATCAGCTACCGGGGGAACCGGCAAAACCAAATGTATAATTAATAAGAATAATCTTCAATGGCCTCGAGAAGTCCATGAAGAGAGAAAGAGAAGTTTTGGAGCTATCTGACATTCTGAGTCTTTTTATACATGAAGGGTTTCGATGAGAAGGTGAGGAAGGGCGTCTGACGAGGACGCCAATGAAATTAGTGAAGCTGACCGATGAGCGGCCATTGATTTCTGAAAACGATTGGTGATGGTTGCGTCCACGTGGCGATCCGTGTGACAAGTCGAGACTCGTATCGAGATGAACCAAGCCTTCAACTCTTGGTGGAAGGGAGGAGAAAACCTGGAATCCTGAGTATCGCCGACAGAAAACAGGATAAGAAGTTGGAACTGGTTGATGTTATAAACTTCTTGTTACAAGGGGTGGAATTCCAAAGCTTGAACAATCAGCTGCCGGGGGAACCGGCAAAACCAAGTGTATTAATAAGAATAATCTTCAATGGCCTCGAGAAGTCCATGAAGAGAGAAAGAGAAGTTCTGGAGCTATCTGACATTTTGAGACTTTTTATACATGAAGGGTTTCGATGAGAAGGTGACGTGTTGGAAGGTAGACCAGGAGGTCTGAGCACAGGAGGGTCAATGGGTCAAGGCCTAGAACGTGGTGGCAAGAGATCGGTCGGTCTAGGCCGGAGAGATCACTTCGGCCAGGTGCGGTTGCATGCGGCGCCACCATCGCTGCTCAGAGAGAGATATCACGGGTTTGAAACCCTACTTACAGAGGGAAGAGGAGGACAAGGACAATTGGCAGAGTCTCATAGCCTCCTAGGCTCAGCCGTGCGAATTCCCATCTTCCTGTGTGTGTGACCTTGGATCAGTGACTGTTGGTCTTCCAACATGAGGAAGGGCGTCTGACGAAGACGCCAATGAAATGAGTGAGGCTGACCGATGAGTGGCCATTGATCTCTGAAAACGATTGATGATGGTTGCGTCCACGTGGTGATCCGTGTGACACTTCTAAACCGAAAGTTTAAGCATTTTGAAGATGTTTTGAAGTTAAATCGAGCAGAAAAGAAACGGAAGGAGCTGAGAGATGCCGGCGATATTGAACGAAGAGAATCTGAGTAGAACCGTAGAACAGGAGCTCGAAAGAATGAAGGGCGAAAGAGGAAAGAGGCGAAAGGAAGGAAGGGGTGGAAATGTTCAAATCGTGGATCGATGCAGGTTGTTGTTGATAAGAAAAAGGCAGGCAGTTAATTTGATCAATTTTAGAAATGGCAGTCTGCACAAAACCAAGTTATTGTTTCTACTGCCAAATTGGCAGATCAATGCCGTGAGAGATGGTTGTCTTTGCGGCGGGGAAGGTTAGTTAGATTTTCAGTTGTAACTTGCAACTTGTGGAACTTGGGTACCTTACCTACCTCGGTCAGGTAGGTACCTAGGGAAGGAACATTGAAGTAAGGTCAAGTTATGTTGGAAAGCCAACAGCTACGAATTGACTGTACCAAGGTGATTGGGTGCCAAAAGGTGATGAAAGAGGGGCAACCAGTCCATTGATGATGATGTCTGTATCTCTGTCTCTGTCTTGTTCCCACTGCCGCGGGCCTCGCCCTGATCCTGAAAGTAATTACTAGTTAATGCCCAGCCACTAGTTACCCCTGAATTCCCCCTCCTAACCGCCTTCCAAATCCAACAAGTTACATGTGGGTATTACTCTGGGTTCTTCTTTGGCTTACAGTTTTGGTTTCCACAGTCTCTGGAAATGTGATCAACAACTTCCGGTCCCATGCTACTAGTGCCTGATAGTTCACATAAGTCTCCCAAACGTTCAGGTGATTCAGTTCAAGTCTTTTCCCGGTCTATCTGATTTATCGACTGAAATCACATTAAAATAGGTACAGCACATGCAGCCCAAAAGTAGCAAACCTAGTCAACAAATTCCCATCTTCAAATCGACTGCGGATTCCAAAAGAGATTCCTCGGATCGTACACCGCCTTGATGCGCTGCAACCTCGCCAGCACCTCATCCCCATAATACAGTTTATGGGCCTCCTCCCGCGTCAGACTGGTATCCAGCAAGTTCGGGTACGCAGCCGTCGGGGCATGCAACCCATCAATAATAGCCTGGCGCAGGCCGTTGAGAAAGGTGATGCCCTTTTCAGGGAAGGGCGCGTCCGGAGAGACCCCGGCGCGGTTGTGGGCCGTCCAGAAGACGTTGCGGTGCGGGAACGCCGCGAAGCTCGTGTTCTTGGCCGCAAGGTTGATCTGGCTGTCGGCGCCGCCCCACAGCTCCATGCTGGCCTCGAACGACACGGGTGGCGCGGGCCCCGTGAGGAGATAGGTGAAGTAGTTGGTCACGGCCTCCTCGGTCAAGCCCGGGCTGTTGACGGTCACGCTGTTGCCGAAGAAGTCGAGCGACTCTGGCTTGCCGTCCAGCGTGCCGTCGGGACTCTGTCGCCGGAGCGAGTTGATCCAGTTGTAGGACTGGACTTCGTGGGTTGAGGGGGCGTCGGGGGCTTGCCGTAACAGCTCTGGTTCTATCCGGGAGGTGAAGTCCATGAGGCTGCCCATAAAAACGCCCGCTATGAGGAGGCCCCTGGTAAAATTCCCGGACTCCGGGTCTGGGTTCCCAGTCGTCTGAACTGAGAGGGACAGGCGCCGGTCGACGAGTGTCGCGTTGCTCATGTAGTTTTGGATACCCATAAGCATGCTCACGGACTTTGGGACACTCTCGGCAACGGTTGGGAACTCGTATATAAAAACGCAGACTTCCTCGGGGGCCGGATGTGTTTTCAGCGAGATGCTAGTCGCAATGCCGATACTGTCGGCAGCTCCTCGCATGGCCTGTTGAATATGGGTTAGCATGCTTCCTGACGGAAATTCCGCCCACAAAAGACGGAGCAAGCAAACCCTAACCAATCACTCACCCAGTAGAGGTCGGGATGCTGGGTTGGACTCGTCTGGGTCACGGTGCCGTTTGCGAGCACAACGTCCATTGACACAATGTGATCGAGCGTAAGTCCCCAGGCCCGTGAAGTGTAGCCCCAGCCGCCGTGGGTGGAATGCCCGCCGATGCCTACCGACGGGCAGATGCCGTGAGAAATGGCTCTGGTGCCTTGCTCATACACGGCCGAGGCCATGGGTCCCAAGCGAACACCGCCGCCGACCTTAGCGATGTTGGTCCCGTCGGTGGATAGGACGGTCTTGTTGAAGTTACGCAGATCGATCATCACCTGGCCGTCAATGCCCCCAGAGCTGTATGACCCATACGAGTCTGTCCGTGCTTGATGTCAGTGTTTTGACACATGCGGAGGGGGGAACGGGAGGCGAGCAACATACGCCCACCAGACTTGGCCTGGATTTTGACTCCACTCCGGCCAGCGCAGATGACGGCGGCTGAGACCTGGTTAGAATCCTTAGGTAACACAATGGCAGCTGGCTTGATAGGCAGACGAAGGTTATGCGTCAGGCTATATCCATCATAATCAGAGTCACAAGGGACTTTGTAGGGTATGTGTTTGGCAATCAAGCACTGTTCCAACGCTCGGTTAGAGCAGACGCAATTTTTGGTCTTCTTTCCCAAGGCACTTAGGCCAAGGGTAAGAGTGGCGACGAGGTAAAACGGAGGGATGTGCATGATGAAAGTGAAGATGATGGCTTGAGGGTCCGGCAGAGGTGCTTAGGTAGTCAGGGGCAACGCTACTTAACACGGGAGAGACAAAGCCTTTACTTATACTTCATGATCGCAGTAAGGAATATGACACTCGCATCCCGACGCCAAGAGAACACATGAGCCTTGCATGACGCCTTATCCTCGCATGGGAAACCATTTCCCTTGCGGTTTCTTCGGGGCCGGTTAGGCTCTCGTCATGAAAGGTCGGCTACGCGGGTTGATGTTGACGGCTTAGGAAGGCATAGGTAGAATGGGACGTTCATAGGAAGGGGACAAATAGAACAGAGGGGGTTGGTGGAAGAGAGAGGTGTACCACACGGCGCAGCTCAGGTGGCACCCGAGCGCGAGAAAGTGCGAGCTGATAGCGTTGACGGAGGTCACCGAGGGAGTACGAGTGCCGCTGACAATTCAACGCCTTCCCTTCAGGAACAGAAGAAAAGAATGGTTACTCAACAAGCCTCAAATCGGACAGACCATGTGGTTTGATCGGTTTCATAGGTAATCGGACCTGAACGAGGCGACAGGCAACCTTGTTTCCCTGGGGAAGCGCAAGTTGACCACTGCCCGTGTAACGCAAAAGGAGAACTCGGAACCGAGCCCGTGGAGATTTTCTACCAAAATCGATAAGCCATTCCACATGGCGCAATCTATCCAGCCGAGCCTGGAATTGCTGACATAGAGTAATACCCTCCAACATTGGATTCCGGAAGTTGTACCCAAGCCTCGCCGGCCAACGTTGGCAACGGCGGAAAAAGAGAACTCATCCATCATTAAGGAACTCCGACGCGGAATTCCGTCCTCCATCTGCAACGCTGCAGGGTTTCGTTGGTGACAGATGTGTGTTGGGGGCCATCGACATGTCATGCATGCCACTTTCGGGCATTTGCCAATTTAGTGTTCCACCGTGTTGGGCCGCCTCCATCCTTCTCAAGTTCCTCATTGGTGTATCAGATATGATGTGTGTGTGGAGAACAACCAGGAGACACGCACTCGAAACCAACCACACACCCACCGCAGGTAAGCATGCATGTGGTCAAAGAAGCGGGATTGTTACTGTCGGACTGAGAGATGAGAGCAGCCACATGGGAGCCTACCCGTTTCTGCTCGGCTCAGAGCAACGCAACCATGCGGGTTGACCCCAGTCTTTAAAGGGGGCCTGGAAACATAGCAAAAGGTACGGTATGCAGGCAGGTCTACACACGACACATAAAGACCTTGTAAGCATATACAGACTGGACACATGCGTATATATATCTCTCCCAATTCTTCCGGTTTGGACCTCCAATGCCGAGCATTCTATACGTTATTCCTGCTCTCGCTTCCTGACTGGCATTCTCTTGGTTTGATGCACCATATCAACGAATGAACTCTCAAGCGGCCTGAGCAGTTTGAACGCCACACTGCGGCAGGATGGCGGTTCATGGCCACCAGACTCAGCCAGGGCCAGTCGGTGCCGTTTACCCGTGAGCAAATACCGTTCCCGAGGAGAACGCCACTACGCCCAAAGGCTGACAGGTCCAACTTATACCCAGTGGGCGAACCTCGGTCCGACGCAGCAAGCAACCTTCATTTTCTCATTTCGGTGAAATCCGCATTATCTCTCTTCTTGGCACCACTATCCATAATTACCGAGGTGTTGGTAGACCTGTTTTCCACAGACAATTATTGGGCTTACTGCTGCAGCGGACGAGTGCTCCCGAGCCTGGGGTGTGGAGGGGAGCCGCGCTGGCATACGCCGAAAAGAGGGTGGTCAGTCGTCCTGAGTCCAGAAGAGGCCATCAGGGTTCGGTTACTTACTACTGTACCACGTCGACCAAAGGTACCCCAAAACAGAGAAGGACCATTATGCCCCTCGGATTGTCAGCTAAAGGCACCACCGAGCCGTGCAACCTTGTCAAATTTTATTTGCTTCCCGCCCTTCAGTGGCAGCCTGCACTCTCCACCCCTAACATGGACATGGACAAAGTACTATCCTTCCCGCACCACATGGGGATTTCTTAGTTTGGTATCACGCGAGCAAGTGCCACAAGACTGCAAGGAACTACTGTTGAATTCAACTAGCAGATGCTCAGGACGAATGCAAACAATCGTATGGGCATGGTAGGGGCTTTCGATGACACCTTTCGAAGGCTTCAAGCAGGATGGGTATGAGAAGGGGGCCTCATGGGGTGGCTCGCTTTCTCCGCCCGAGGCCCCATTCAGCATGATTATCGAAGCTGGGCCGCACCCTACGGTGAAGAGCTCTGCTCCGGGAACTTTCACGCTTCCTTCTCACGGGGAGCACCAACTCTATCAAACTCCTTCTACTGGCGCGCTCCAACATGACTCAGAGGACTTTGGCAATTTGGAGATGACGCTACCTAATCAGTGATCAGATGAGATGGATTTTTGGCACCCGTCGCGGTGACCTTTTGATATCTGCCCCCCTGGGGAGGGAAGTGGACAGCCCGTCATTCGCAGGACTTGGGCTGAAAGTCATTGACACAACATAAAGGGGGAAACTGCCGCCGCCAAGCCACCACCCACGTTAAGAATACCGACTCGATGTTGGGGTCTATGGATGTACGTATCGTGAGGAGCGAAATTCGGATTACTCGCCCAACGAGGCGACTTCTCGATGCTGAACGCGGGGTTTGATGACAACGGCCTTGAATTCAGACTTCCAAGGAACATACATGCCTTGACCTTCACTATTCATTGTATCATTGCGCATTGGCCGTTGGCTTATGTATGGGCTTTGTTCAAGTTACGTTGTCCATTGATGTATAACTTAATCCCGACACAAAGCCCGAGGTGGATTATCCCCGCCCCCCTCCTTTTTTTTCCCTTTTTCTTTTTTTTCTTTTTCTCCTTTACCAGCAGGGCGGCTCGTTTCGACCTTTTTCCTTGCCTCTTTTCTCTAGGGTAAGCACCTAGTTGTTCAAGTAAGGCATTTACGATGACAATGAAAGGATCGACTAAGAGTCCGTTGCCCAGCCTCGAATATGGCTTGCGATTCGCGCGGATGGTATGGGGTTGTCGTTGGAGGAAAAAAGGGGTTGTTTCAATGAAAGGTCTCCGTTATGCCGGACAAATACCGGCAATGAATCCCGGCTTCCAACATGCGCTCCAGTCCCGTCTCTCGGTGTCGAATGCACTGCTACTTCGAAACCGGGTCGCCAATGTGCGGAGGCGGGACCAGGACGGTTTTCTCCAAGCGGAGAGCCGGATCGGGAGTTCTAAGCCCGGTTAGGGAGGGATCGACATTAACCCACGGAGCCCAAAAAGGAAGTATCTCGAACTACGAAGTATATGTAAGTGGGCGGAAATGGGGGATATCGACAAGGTTTTCTCGTCTTCCGTCTTTGCAACCTCCAAACTGGTCGCCGACCTCTTGTCTTTCCCAACTACCCACAAGATGTTATCGAATAAGCTGGGTGCCCTTGTTGGCACCCTCCTCGGCGCGGCACCCGCCGTGCTGGCCGATAATCCCATTATCCAAACCCTCTACTCGACGGACCCGGCGCCGTACGTATGGAACGACACGGTATGGCTCTTCACGGGCCACGACGAGCCCAACTCGGACTGGTTCACCATGAAGGACTGGAGGCTATTCTCATCCACCGACATGGTCAACTGGCGCGACTGGGGCAAGATGATGAGCGTAGAGACCTTCAGCTGGGCGAGCGCCGACGCCTGGGCCGGCCAGGTAATTGAACGCAACGGCAAGTTCTACTACTACGTGCCCGTCACCCGCAAGGGCTCATCAATGGGCATCGGGGTTGGCGTCAGCGACAGCATCACGGGCCCGTACAAAGATGCTATAGGCGCGCCGCTCGTCGCCAACAGCGCCATCGACCCGACCGTGTGGATCGACGACGACGGCCAGGCCTACCTCTACTGGGGCAACCCAAACCTCTACTACATCAAGCTCAACGAGGACATGATCTCATACAGCGGCGGCATCAACACGGTCGACCTCTCCTCCTTCCAGGGCCACTTCGAAGAAGCCCCCTGGCTCTACAAGCGCGACAGCACCTACTACCTCGCGTACGCGGGCCACTGCTGCTCCGAAGACCTGCGCTACTCCACAGCGCCGGGACCAACAGGACCCTGGACCTACCGCGGGCAGGTGATGCCCACGCAGGGCTCCTCCTTCACCAACCACCCGGGCATCATCGACTACAAGGACGGGTCGTACCTGTTCTACCACAACGGCGCCCTGCCCGGCGGCGGCGGCTTCACGCGGTCGGTGGCCGTCGAGAAGTTCGAGTACGGCAGCGACGGCAGCATCCCCACCATGGACATGACCACGGAAGGGGCGCCGCAGATCGCGCCCCTGGACCCGTATGCCCGCGTCGAGGCCGAGACCATTGCGTTTTCGAGTGGTTTGTCTACGGAGCCCAGCTCCGACGGCGGCGGTATCCATGTCACGAGCATCAGCAACGGGGATTATATCAAGGTGAAGGGGGTTGGGTTTGGTGACTCGGGCGCGGCGTCGGTCAGCCTGCGCGTTGCCGCGGCGAACGGTGGCGCGAAGGTGGAGTTGAGGTTGGGGAGCCGCACGGGTGCCGTGATTGCGTCTTGCTCGGTTGATGCTACAGGGGGTGCTGATGTGTGGAAGACTATCTCGTGCCCGCTCTCCGGCAGTGCGACGGGGCAGCAGGATCTGTTTTTCAACTTTGTGGGTGGCGGAGATCAGAATTTGTTCAAATTCAACTGGTGGCAGTTTGCAAGAAAGTGAATGTGGATGGGGTTGGTAGATACATTTAGCCTCGGGGTACTAGTGGCGCTGAGATGTAGATGAGGTAGGTGGGCAGATAGTACTTTGGTAAACCAAATTTCTCCCCGCTGAGTGCCCTGACGCATCTGGGTCTCCTTTGCCAATCCAGCCGGGGGATGAGGTCTTCATCTCCCACATCAATACTTTTGAGACTGACAATCACTGTCCCTTCTGACCTGGGGGGCACATTACACCCCCGGGAAATCAGGGGGGTAAGAACGGTAATGGAGAGGAAGAACAACGACTGTAGAATCATTTAGGGGCCACTCAACAACATGCATACCATGAACTCATGTCTCAATCTTCACATAAGATATTCATTGACTCTAACGTTGTCCAACTGCCGCTCCGTGCCCACGCCCACGTTCAATTCCCGACAGCCAAAGTTCCCTCCACATCTGTCCTCAGTCTCCGAGAAGTGTCTCATGGCAACTTCACCGTCGCCGCGATGTACTCCTCCAGGGTGGTCAACTTGTACGGGACCTCCGCGATACTCTCGTTTAGCAGCCGTTCCGACTCCGAACCGTAGTAGCCACACTCAGAGCAGAACAAGAACATGTTGACAATCGCATCCTGAGCCGCGGGCGGTAGAAAGCCGCGGAATTTCTCCTCAGGCATCAGCAGGTACTGGACCGTCTTCCCCGTCTGCGCCGAGATCCTGGCCGCAATATCGTCCATGGTCGCCCAGGCGCTGCCGGCATAGAGGGTCCGGCCGGCGTACTTGTCGGGGTCGGCGAGGATCACGCCGACAAATTTGCCCGTGTCGGCCACGACGTCGAGCCACGGGTACGGCCGGTCGCCGGCGAAGATGTTGGTGATGGCGTACACCCCCGGCTGTTCGGGCACGGCCCGCGCCGCCATCATGCCCGCCAGGTTCTGCATGAAGGTCGCCGGCGCGTAGAAGGCGCTCTTGATGGGGAGGCCCCGGATGTAGGCCTCGGCCTCGGCCTTGGAGTCGTATGCCGCTACGGGGTATTTTCCTCCTGAGACGGTCTCGCAGTGCACTTGCGTGCTGTAGATGATGTACTGGGCGCCGGCGGCCACGGCGGCGTCGGCTAGGTCCTTGCTCTGGCGCAGCTCGCGCTCTTTGGCTTGCTCGTCGTAGATGGTCTTGGTGGCGGCGAAGACGGTGTTGGCGCCGGTGAAAGCGGCCTTTAGCGATGCTGGATTGTCGAGGTCGGCGCTGACTACTTCGGCGCCCTTGGCACGGAGGGCATCGGCTGCTGGTTTGGTCGTGTCGCGCGTGATGGCGCGGACCTTGTAGCGGCTCGACAGCACCGGGTCTGAGAGGACAAAGTTGGCCACGGAGCCTCCTTGTTGGCCCGTGGCACCGATGATGGCAAGCACTTGGCTCATGGCGTCGTGTGGGCAAAGTTCTGAAGGTGTTTCCGGTGGTGGCGGTTTACTGGGCTTCTTGGAGGGTCTTGATCTGGTACTGTCCCGGCGTTCTGACTACTCTCCCTCTTCCTACCCTACCGTCCGGTGGTTTTTATGCTATTTGGGGGCAAGACAAACTCCCCGAGATACGTGGTCGCCTGACTTAGGGTCGGAACCAAGATGGTGGACTTCCGCCAGCTGTAAAGCCCGTTAATTCCGAATGCCTTTTTTGTCCGAATGAATCTGCAATGCTGTGGCGCCGCCGCCCCAGGAGTAGCTTGGGGGCGGATCTTGGCCGAAGCTTGTTCCTTATCCCTGTCTATTGTCTATTAGTCAAGGGCTTGTCAACGGCCTGTCAGAAGCTTATCAAAGGCTTGTCAAAAGCTTGTTCCCATTACATCTTCTCCATGATTATTTGGCATACCTAGAGTCCACGTTTGGTTCAATGCTGGCGGTGCAGCTACTGTCGAACCTTGATCTCAGCTAGATAACCATAGGCAAGTCATTGCTTTACAACATACAACATACATGGCCGTTGGCTACTACCCGCGCATTACTTGCACCAGGGAGGCTAAGGGTTTGGTGCGAACCGGTGTCAATTCAAAGGGAGGAGGGGAATGCCGTGAGTCACAATGGTGGATCTGGAGAACGCGGCGTACGGGGGCACCTACCAAAACATATCTGTAGCTAGGTATCTAAGAATACCGAAGAATCCCCCCCGAGTATGGCGGAAGGTTGGCTTGACCCACTTCAACATTGAACCCAGCGAAGAGCCTCGGTCAGTCTGAGCTGAAAGTAGCCCCCTCCACTTGCCCCTTCCAATGACTCCCTCGCCTTGAGATCGCTATTAGAGCAACAACGCGAACCACGGGACGCCCGGAGATGCAACATGAATCTCAGTGCCAGCTAGAGCGAAGAGTCGTTAGGCTATTTCTATAGTTCGGAGTCAGCAGATATTGTTGGGTTACTACCTACTCTAGGCTATCTGTATCCTAGTTCTGGGATTGGCAATACACTAAGCATCCCGGCACATATTAGTGAGTTTTAGGCTAGTTTTTTGTCTGTGCTCACTACCCAGGGAAGGGTTGCCTTGGGTCCAAGGACCTACCAATTAGATTACAAGTATGAGCCTACGGGTTTAGGGCCCAGTCATGCCTGGGAAAAACATGGGTTCAATTTGTAAACTTCAACACATTCCTTGCCACTAGGGACGTGATACATAGGGGTTTCATTCTAGGTTTAATCCAAGCCGTAAGTCAGGAGCTTCCAATCGTTTAAAGGAAGATTAAACCCTTGTTGTGGGGTCGGAAATGCCTTCAATGGCATTTAACCTCCATCCATGTTGCCCCTGAATCCTCCTAGGCCGCAACCTTCAGGCGCCAAAATCGTGAATCATATTTGTCGTTTTCTTACTACCTACGTTATTATTATCCCTTGCATGAATTATTCTCTGTTTAGTGTCGTAAACACTCAAATGCAAGTCCTGCCATAGCCTTTCCTGGTGCCACCCCTGAGACTCGTACCGCCAAACATAACCTTTTTCTCAACACCCAGTCATCACATACGACCATACCTACTTGAAAATACGGGATCCCGTCCGCTCTCCCCTAGTCAAACAAGTAAGGGCCAGATCAGTAGTTGGGTCGGTGACGACCAGCGAATCCCTGGTGTTGTATGTTTTTGGACTTTTGGTGACAACCCCCCTGGGTCATCCCAGCGCACATCCACCCATGATCCACCCAAACTCCACATCACCCAGCAACAACCACCCCAGTTTGCTAGCACTCGTACTTCTTTAGGTACTTTCTTTTTCTACGCTATAAAGATACTCTCCCCGTACTTACTATCTCTTCTTCGCAAGGGTGGAGGTCGGACTCGCCCCCTTAGTCACAAAGTTGGGGGACTGGGTTGCTTCTTCCCTCTAATACATTCTGATCAGTCAAGTGGTTGTCTCAAGGAGAGCATGAAGAAATAGGAAGGGACTACTCGCACAAGATGTGGTCAAAGCTTTGCGTTGTGGATGTTGCTGGGAAGCCTCTTCTGTTTTCCATCATCTGGGTCAGTTATGTTGACGCTACCAACCAACCAGAATCTCTAATTTCCAATTTCCTTTACCGCAGAAAGACTCAAAAGGGTCTATTTCCTATCCCCTGCTAGCTAAAAAGATACCGGCCGGTTACAATGAGTTTGGCATACACCATTGGGACCAGCCATTCGCTGCCAAACTCAACCAGGCACCGTGTCATTCGTTGTCTGCGGTGATGATAACGAAGACTGTTAGCCAACTTTACCTCCTGGTCAACCGGCTCGACAACTCGGGCCTCCGGCTGGGTCTCGGGCCGTTAGCTTCTACCCTCGCCCGTCCAAGCGCCTCATCGCCATAGTCGTGCTAAGTGATGATGAGCAAGACGACCCGCTAACTTTCCCATCGACTCGCCAACCTGGCCATTGCTGCAGCTCGGGTCCAAGTAAGTGAGGAAGGATTACCATCCGGCCCGGGGGCCCGTCCAAACAACCTTACAAGAATCGGATTCCTGCCCACGGCCCCGTCGCGAGAAGCTTCTCAAGAGCACCTGCCCATACATATGCGAAAACTGTGCTATGGTGAGAGCGATGAGGCGTTCAACACCGAGTTTCTCTCCAGTCGTCTGCCCAGATGGCTGTTGCTGAGTGCGCAGGGGCAAATGCCCTGCAGCCGCCAACGAAACGAAGAAGTGCAAGCCTTGGCCAGCTAGATGTGACTTAAGCCGATCACATCTTATCCGCCCTAGGCAGATAAGACAAGACGACACCTTGGAAATGGGCTAAGGGGAGCTTTGCTCCTCCCTCGATGGGTGGCACTCATTGGGTCATGGGGACTTCGCCCTGATGGTTGACGATGTTGGTGTTGAGGGGGCTGGTAAGTTCGCGGTTCCGCAATGGCACTCTCGCTCACAGCTAACTCGACTATCGCAGCAATGTGTTCAACAAGCCCGTCTCACATAGTGGCAAGGGGGGTTGGCAGTGGCTGGATGGGGATGCGGGATGGGGATCGAGGATAGTGACAGGGGTAGCGTGGTGGAGTGTCTGGCGATGGGCAAAGGAGATGAAGAATGTGGATGCTAAGACATTTTAAGGGGCAAGTATGGTGTTGAAGCAAACAAACTGTGCCCATATGTTTTGCGATGGGGTATGATTGAAGCTGAGGCGTCTAACCGAAGCAGGAGTCTGCAATGTTATTATACTCTTATGATCTGGATAGTTTGCTGACATTGATCATCTTCCTCCAAATACCCACACGTACCTTGAGCCCCTGCAGATAATTACCGCAGAAAAGCCTCTAGGGATTGCCCCTGCCTTCCGTCTTCCCTTTTCCCACCTTTAACCGACCCGAAACAAGACAAAAGAAAGCCGACAAAATCCATCAGTCCGACTCCCACCCGACCGTGATGGAGTCCTGCGTCGCCGCCTCCGGTTCCTCTTTGACAAAGTCATCATCATGCTTCTTCTTGTCACCATCGAAGTCTCCGCCATCCTCCTCGTCCTTAGGACACCTGTCCCCCTGGCCAGGGAAAAGCTCAGCGAAAAAGCGATCCGCCTTGCGCAACAACAGCGCCATCTCGCCACGCAGCATCATCTCAACACGGGAAGGCCCCAGGCCATCAGAAGAAGCATCGACGCCGACAAGCACCGCCAGGTAGTCGCGCGTGAGCCGTTCTCGCAGGCCCTGGATGCTGGCCTCCAATTCCGCGCCGATCTGCTCGCACATGCCTTCGAGCTGCTCCTGTACGTGATCGGTGGCGGCCCGAAACATGACTCCGCGCTGGTTGGTGACGTGCGTCAGCATAAGGTTCTTCATGCGCATGTAGGATCCGGGACCTGTGACAGCCTGTTAGTCTCTTTCGGTTCTGTTTCTGTGGTGCATGGACGTACCTCGCTCGGCCACACAGCCTTCGTAGGCCGGTGTCATCTCTCCCTGGATGACGGGTGTAAAGCTTCGGCTGGCTTCCCGCTGTAGCTCCTGTGCCAGGCCCAGAACGGATGCCTTCATATCCGCGACGCTCTGCGAATGTCCACGGAGTTGTTGAGTCAGCATATTTAGGCCGGTGTATTGGGTGCCGCGCTCCCTCGCCTGCTCGGTAGCATCGCGGTGGAACTTCTCTATGCACGCCTTTATGACGCGGAGGAAGCTATCAAGGGCCACCGGAAGACGGCGTTGGAAAGCACGTTCCCAGCCATTGGCGAGGTGCTTCGAAATGGGGCTGAAGAGCTCGTCGTTGAAGTCGCGAGCGCCCGAAGCGCCGGCAAAGACACCATTCCTCCTGCAAGTGGCCTTGTAAGTCGCCCATAGCAAGCCGCCCGTCGATCTGTGGGCCCCCCATTGCGTCGCCGTCGGCAGGGCTGCTTCGACCGCCGCTGGTATGTACTTGTGAAAATTCTCAAAAATGCTCTCGTCCAAAACTTCTCGTACAGATGTCAGACATTCTTCCAGCGCAGTTTCAAGTTCCTGGCCCGGAGTTAGTTGGATGGGTGGGTTGGTGCTGGAGCAGGGTGGTCGCTAACCTGCTCTATCCTGCGAAGTTGCTTCAGCAGGCGCGTTTCCTCCTTTGTCTTGTCTGCGTTGGACAAGGTTGACCCTGTTCCGTCGTCGGAAGCCCACATGGTCATTGAGTTGAGGAGCTGCATGAGGTCGTTGAGGAAGCGCCGAGAGTTGGCAGCTCGGCCGGCTTCAGTGAGCTTCTTGGCATGCGCCTGCAATTGGGGAATTTCGGTATCGTCGAGTGATTGGAAGCCGCCTCCGTTGAAGTCGTCCTTCTGGAGTCGGCCGCTCAGCTTCTGAAAAGCACGGCTGCTGACGCAGAATACGGGGAGGGATGCGGCAACCGCGTCATAGTCTCGAAGGTCGGTTTCGGGGTCGAAGTTAGCTTCATCCTCCTCTGCCGCGTTCTCTTGATCGAGCCTGTACAAGGGTTAGCTCTCGCGCTTCACGCCGTCTCAGCTGGCCCCGCAGTTGCTTACTCTTTGATGCCCATCGCAAAATCCTGCTTGATTGCCCGTCTCGAATATTCGTTGCGGCCCTGGATGCAAACAGCCTTCACCTCAGCGAGCAGCATTTCTTTCTCCGTGACAAACTCCTTAATCTTCTCACGGGTGGTCTTGACTTGCTCCTCAATCTCCTTCTTCTTCACTCGGACCTCCTTCTTCTCGGCCTTCAGAGACGCGAGCTTGGCCTCGATCTGATCCTCGGTCAGTGGTTCACTGTCTTCAGCCATGCGCTCTTGGTTTTCCTTATCGCTGGAGTCTGAGCTGTCCGTATCGGAAAAGTCGCTGTCGAGATCACTGGAAGTGCGATTCTTACGGCTGCGTTTTGGTTCAAACCGCCGCTTGCGTTTTTTGGTGGGCGTGTTGGGGGGCGGGTACACGGTGCTACCGTCAGCCAGCTTGCTGGCCAAGGTCTCCCACTTGTCCCAGGTCTGCTCAATTTTGTCGACAAGATCGTTGCAAGCATCTCGCTCATCCCTGAGGTCTGCAATGTCAGACTTGAGCCTCCGGATGTCGTCCGAGAGCTCTTGGATCCTAGACCAGGACTCTGAGATCTCCTCTTCGATGCCCAGACTCTCTGACGCTTCAGTGACAGAAATGTCGTCCGTCTTGGAGCAGATGAAAGTCACGGCGGAGTATGTGCCATCGTACTTCAACTGGCGCCTGTCAACCTCGTTAGCAATCCCTACCGGACCCAAGAACGGGGTGAGGGAGAAAGCACACACCTGAAAGAGTCGCCTAGAAGGGATTTAGCAGTCTTGTCGTCTACTGCTCTGGTAATTGGGGCGACGATCCACAGGCCGGTACAGGCCTTCATGTAGTTGGCGGCAACGGCAGCACGAGCCGCGTTCGAGTCCTGGACACCGGGCAAGTCGACGATGCAAGCGCCAGTGGCCAGGGCAGAGGCCTTGGTGAAGATGCGGACAACCTTGATCAGAGGCCAATACTCCATGCGCCTCTCGGTGTCCTTCTCCTTGCTGTCGACATAATTTTGCAATTGACGATATAAGCTCGCGGCCGTGGTTGCCCGAAGCTTCTTGACGGTCCCAAGCACCTGTCGGACAGTGGCTTGGTCGGCGAGAGCCTCGGGGGTTGCTTGGGTGATCATCTCTTTGGTCATCTTGGGATAGACAGCCCTGATCTTGGCGTACGCAACGCCGGCATCGCTATCCTGGTTCGTGCACTCGCGAGAGATTTCCCCACTGCCGTCGAGAAGGTCGCTATAGAGACCGCGGAGGTCTTTGATCCAGTCATCAGCGGCGATAAAGTCGACCTCAGCACGATACAACTCCTCGGGGCTTTCTGAGTAGTTGTATGAGATCTCGGTCGGGGAGGCGGTGCATGCTCTCATGCAGTTGGTGGGGAGGAGCCTATTGTGACAAGTAAGTGATTTGGGCGGGGACAATAGCAGAAGATGACGGTGATAACACACCTTTCCTCATCGAGCACGGCACTGATCACAGACGACTTTCCGGCCCCTGTATTTCCCACGACACCTACGATGGTGCGCGTGGGCTTTGCAAGCGCTTCGAGATCAACGATAGACTTCAGCCATTCCGAACCTGCGGCTTCTGCAGCCCCGCCCTCTAGTGGCTCCTTCAGACTTTTAAGGACTCGTGTACCGATGCTGACACCATTCTCAAGGAGCTCAGGTGATGTTCCTGGAGTGAGGAGTTGTTGGAGATAACTTGTGTTAACGATGCTGTCAACATTACTCGACTTGTTCGCAATTTCGGCATGGCAAACAACCCCGCGACCGGGGTCATCCACCGGCTCGGGTTTCACCCTCGGCATGGTGTAGATGTCCTTCTTGATCGGACAGCCAGTGTGGCGCGGAAAAGAACGATGTGGGATGACTGGATTCTCAGTGGTGGCTTGGTAGAATGTGGGTGTGTGGATGTGTGGGTTGGTGTGTGGGTTTGTAGGTCCGAATTGTAGGGGGCCAATTTAATTTCTTGGGGACCGTGTCTTTCACGCGTTCTGGGGGTGCTTTAACACGCGATCTCCTTGTAAGGTGGGGAAGTGGGGCTTTGCGTTTCTTCGCGCCATCTCGTGACTGCGATCAACAGAATTCCTAGGCGGCAATGGCTTGGCGTGTAATCTTATTCAGTAGTTATTACAGTATTTAACAAGCTTACCTGAATTGAATTTTCAACTGGCTGCCCCGCGTCGCTTGACACTTGCACAAGAAAATCATCACCCTGACGAAGAACAGGGATTGGAGTAAACAAAATCCAGGGGAGAAAAAAGGAGGCGAGGCTGTTGAATGGGACACCTTAACAGCTTCATAACTAAGTTTGTTACAAAGAATCCATCCACAATCGTCATCCCGCCCTTCACAACCACATAATTGAACCAAAATGGGCGATTCAAAGAACACGGCACCACCCGCAGGGCCAGCTCCGGATATTCTATCTATGGTCCCAGAGTTACCCCCTGGTCGTACCCTCAACGCGGGCATGACCTTCGATGAGACAGTGGCCAATCTCAAGCAACACCCCCTCTTTATGACGGAACTGGACCCAAGTGAGGACAACGATGAGCTGGCCGCGCTACAGGCCCTTGCTTATGATGGCACCCCCCTCGAGAACGCCATCAATTTTAAGGAGCAAGGGAACGAATGTTTCCGGGAGAAGCGTTGGGCAGATGCAAAGGAGTTCTATGGCAAGGGGGTGGCCGTCCTAGCTGCGGAAGAGCTGAGGAGGGCCAAGGGCGAGAAGAAAAAGGTGCAAAAGGCTGCCGAACCAGTGGCGATCAACCCGGACGCGGATAACTCCCTGGGCGGCGTAGACCTAGAGGAGGAGGTTCCCGCACCTAACAAGGAAAATTTCGAAGAAGTCCCTGACGACCCGGCCGAGGTGAAGTCCGAACGGGCCCTCCTCGAAACCCTGTACATCAACCGGGCCGCCTGTCACCTAGAACTACGCAACTACCGCTCCTGTACTATCGACTGCGCCGCCGCCCTCCGACTCAACCCGCACAACATCAAGGCGCTCTACCGCTCCGCTCGCGCCCTGCTCCTCGTCAACAAGCTCGCCGAGGCCGACGACGCCTGCGCGCGGGGGCTCGAAATCGACTCCTCGAGCAAGCCGCTCCTGGCGCTCGCGCAGGACATCATCAAGGCCGCCGAGGCGGACGCCGCGCGGCGCAAGCGCGACGAGGAGCGCCTGTCCAACGAGCGCCGGCGCGTGGTGCTGCTCAAGACGGCGCTGCAAGCCCGCGGGATCCCCACGCGCAGCACGGGCAAGCCGCCCGACATGGAGGACGCCAAGGTCAAGCTATCGCCTGACGACTTGGACCCGGCCAGCGCGCTGGTGTTCCCCACCCTGCTGCTGTATCCGTGTCATTTCGAGAGCGACTTCATCAAGGCGTTTAACGAGCAGGAGAGCTTGGAGCAGCACTTTGGTTATGTCTTTCCCCTGCCGTGGGACCGGACGGGCGAGTATAAGCCTACGGGAGTCGAGTGCTATGTTGAGACTACTAGCGGAGGGTTGGTGAAGGTCGGGAGGAAAGTGCCGCTGTTGAAGGTATTGGGGACCGGGAACGTGGAGGTGGTGGATGACTTGCTGAAGATTTTTGTTGTACCAAAGGCAAGGGCGGAAGGGTGGGTGAAGGAGTTCAAGGAGAAGAAGGCGGCGGGGCGTCCGTAGGGGGGGAAGGTCAATAAGGCGGAATGATACCCGTGTGGCAGGAGTTGGGACAAAACGCCAACATGAGGTTGATTTGAGGACAGGACAAGACTAAACCCCAAGGGGAACCAATGCCCTGAGTGCATCTCAGCAAGATGCTCTCCGGACAACTCTATCTGAAACCAAGACTATGAATATGAGTTAAAACACCGACAGAGGACCGCACGCCTTACATACTCCAAATACCACCTTGCGCCGCTTCCACCAATGCAATGCAAGGTAATACACACAAAGCAATACCTTCCCCCATGCCACACAGTATTCATCAACCCCTAACCGGCCCCTTCCAGTCGCCCGTCCAACCAACAAAGAAAACACACCGAGTAAACGCCAAGGCAAAGTAAGGAGACACTCGGAGCCCTCCACTGAACTCAAGACGTGATCCGCCACCGACCTTTGAGCAAGCCGTCCGACCCCAAAGCCCCATGTTCTCCATCAAACACAACGCCACTAACTCCAACCATGATCTCCCCTAGCCTCACTCACACCAACACCAACCAAACACCTATTACCTCAACGCTCCAGCGTCCTCCGCCGCTTCGACCGCCTAGTCGGCCCGGTCGCGCCACGCGAAGCGCGGCCCACAACAGCGGTAGCAGGTGCGGTGGGGGTGAAGGTGGCGGCGGAGTTAGCGACTGGGGCAGCAGCAGGTGTCGGAGCCCAGCTTGGATGACCGCGCGGAAACAGCACCGGCGCCCCTACCGCCCCCAACACCCTCCTCATCCACATCCACACCCCCAACCAGATTCCCGCGATTCTCCTCATCCACAGCACCCTGGCTGGGCATATGCATATGCATCTGCATCAGCATCAGCGCCGCAATCCCGCCTCCGATGGCGTGCCGCTCAGCAGCAGCAGCAGCAGCGGCAGCAGCAGAAGCAGGAGCAGAAGCAACAGCGCCCCTCCCCTTCCTCCTCGTTGTCGGGAGCGCCGCCGACGCTCGGGCTGGTAGAACATGGCGGTGCCAGTGGCCGTGGTCTTGGTTGGGAGGAGTGCCAAGGGAATGGAGAGGAAGGGGCGGTGCCATTTCTTTCTCCGCCCACTGGTTGCTGGGAATGTGTGTGGGGTTGGGAGTCGGAGGCGGCGCTGCCACGGATTGTGGGCTGGCGCTGGCGCTGGTGGTGGCGCTGCTGACGTGGCTGGGGCTGGCATCGTAGTCGATCTCATATTCGCCGTCGTCTTCTGAGGTGGTGCCGAGGTTGTAGTCGTTGTGGATGAGATGGGGGTCGTTGTTGTGGTGATGGTGGTGGTGGTGGGGTTGGGGGTCGTGGTGGGTGTCGGGGACGCCATCGACCTTGCTGTAGCGGCGCTTGAGGCGGAGTGGGGCAAGGGTGATTCCCTGCTCTAGTAGGGACGTGGAGGCCAGCGGCGGCGGAGTGTCACGTGTATGTTGGTAATGGTTTGGGTAGTGGGAGCGAGGCTGGTGTGACTGCCAGTTGCTTGTGTTGCTTGCGGCACCCAGGATCGGAGACCGGGGGACGGCGGAGAGCCAGGGGTTGGCGGTCGCTGTGACGTTCAGATTGAGGAGCTCCTCGTGGAGGTGAGAGATACCGCGGTCGTGATATATGGTGGAGGTTTGGGGCGGCGGCCGGTTCACGGCTGTCCACGCCGGGGAACTCTGCGGTGTGGGCACCGCCGCTGAGTCCATTGGAGGCCTTGGCTCTGAGATACATGGAGGCGCCATAGCTAGCACTCGATGGCCGTGGCGTTCCGACATTCGGTGGCAGTCAACATCTGTATCGGTATATGGGCTCGGGAGAGGGCGCCGGTCGTAATCTGAATGATAGTCGTAGGGCTCAGTAGTTCGTGTCGAGCGCCGGGAGGGCAGGGGGCTGACGCTGCGGGATGGCCGCGGGCTAGGGAGGGCCGCGGCCGGCTTAAACAGCGCAATGGCATCGTTCCTCGCCCGTTCCACAATCTCTGGGCTGATTGACATGCGGCCGTAGCCGTGGGATTTCTTTGGAATGCATTCGAAGGGGAAGTTCGGGCCGAAGAGCGGGATGAGAGCGCCGGCGATCTCGTGGCAAAATGTCGCGCAGACGGCTTTGGCGCAGGAATATGGCATCCAGTAACCTGCAATCCCAAAGTTAGTACAGGAATAGCACAAAAAGAGTACGAGAGAGTTCATCTGAGAAACACGCACCTTGGGCTTTTATGGAACCACCGGTAATGCTGTAAGTGATGTCTTTGAGGCCCGGGTTGAGGTTGAGCATTTTCGCGGGTGCGGTCTGTCTCGATCAGCGGCGCCTGCAGGGGAGGAAGAGAGAAACCAACCTTGCCGTAGTGGAGGCACTTGAAGAAGGAAGTCATGCGGACGAGGCCAACGTTGTAATCCCACATGACTGTGTAGCTGGTCTCGCCGTCGCCATCGGGGAGTTTGAAGTCGTAGTGGAAGACTGGTTTAGTTAGTCCTGCTACCTACCTCGGGCAGCTTGCCTTACCTTGAAATCCCTCTCTGCCGGTCTTGGTGAAGAAGTCCTTCTTACCACTGTTGTAGGGTATCCGCTCGCCGGTCTCCTGGATGGAGCCAAAGGGGTGCACTTGGAACCTGCGAATCTCGCGGAGGGAGTGCTCGTCCAGGACTTCAAAGGGTGGGAAATTCATGGCGGCCCCAGTCTTGCACCGAGGGGTGTCCTGGGTGTCTTCGATCATTCTGAGCGTCTCGATCGAGGACCTGACTGAAGTTGGTTGGCTTCGAAAGGCTACAATCCGCTGAGCTGGTGAAACAGGAGGAGGGCGAAACGTTGGCAACGGAGCCTGGGGAGGCTCCGGGTTAAGAAGATCTGCTACGGACACCATGGCGGTGAGGTTGTGGTGTAGATGCCTCGCGTACTTGTCGCGATGGCTGCAGCCCGTGCCGTGGGGATGGAGGGGCAACGAGTGGAGGGCCGACGGGAAGGTGGGGGACGCAGGACGCAGGACGCAGGACGCGGGTTATCAAGTCAGACAGCCCTTGCAGCCCCAGAGGGCCGAAGGCAGGAGGCCAAATCTCTCTTTCAGTCCACAAACAACAAAGCTCCGCGCAACCTTCGCGAGCTGGCGGGGGCTTCAAGGGCGTGCACCTGCGACAAGGAGCACGGCCACTCCTTCTTCTTCCCTGAGTACCGGCATGCAACGACCTGCAGCCCCGGTGGGTATCTCCGTTCTGTTTGGTGTTCTCGACGCAGTTTCTTTGTCCCAGGTCCCAGGGAATCGACCACTAGACGGCGGATGGAAGCGTTTGACCCTTCCACCGCTCTTTCGGGGCCCGAGTTGTCAGTCAGAAAGTGACAAGTGACGGCGAAGCGGCGGTCAATAATCGGCTTGATGATCGTGGCGGCGATGGTTTGATAGCAGTGACTGTGGCGGCAGACTAACTGAGTAGGGGGGAGTGTGACTATGCAGTGGGCGGTTGTGTACCCCCTGGCGGTATCGTTTTAGGCGCCAGTGCCGCACGCTCAACTCTAGGTAAACCCCCTCAACCGTGGCCTAGGCGCCGTATTACCGCCAGGCAAATCAGGGATTGCAAACATCAAGGCGAGACGATAGAGGTAGGCGGGTCGAGGGCCCTGTGTTCTCGCAGGTCGGCGCTTGGTTCTCTCCAACGGGCACGGGTGTCCAAGCTCCGCGATGGCCTTGGGGCCACAGAATCAGCAAATGAGTTTGGCATCGCAAATGCCACCCCGGGGGCGACCGGGCAGGGATGCGGCCTGTTTGGGGTCACTTGACAGAAAGTAGACCGTCGGTCGGCTGCAGGAGGCGTTGTGTGGTTACTTGGTTGAGAATGCCCGGTGAGAAGGTGGAACAAAGAACGAAACCTGTCCCATGTTGACATCCCAAACAGAGATGACTGCTTGACTCGGCACACGTGGCTGCTTTGCTCACCGCTTGAGGAGCGCCTGTCCGGTGAGGGCATCATGAAGAATTCTCGCCCAGTTACACTCCGGAAGGGGTTTGTTGGTGTCACTCCTTGAGGCCCCAATCGAACCAGTCTCTGTTGCGCGAGGGGACAATATCGTCCACCCGGAAGAACATAGCTCCAGAACGGAGACCGTGAGTACCGGTCTCGACCAAAGCCGCTCCCTTTTCTAGAACCGGGTTCTCCTGCAAGAAGTCTAGGCTGCTTCGAGAAGGCGATCGGGCATTCTTCGCCCAAGTTTTGCAGCAGTGGTGCGGCAGGGGGCATTTGTCACTGCACCGAGCCTTGCTTGCCCCCACGAGCTTGCGCTTTGCGCGACGGCAGCACAAGAAAACCGTCCGATGAGGACAGAGGCATGGTCTGAAACCCGCCAACCCTGCTGAGAGAGAACCCTCTTTGTTCTTCAACCATGGCGGTGTCGACGGGATGCGCCTCGTCGGTGTCCCCGGGCACCTCAGGGACGGCCGAACACCAGGCTTAGGGCGAGGTAGAGCCAGACGCATGGCCCGGGGCCGATGGGATTGCAGGTAGTTGAAAGAAAATGTGGCGCCGAGGCTGGCGACAGGCGATGGCCAGAGATGACGCGGAAAAACATCACTTGACCGCTCGTTGCTGCACGCCCTGATGGGCGTCCACTGACGGAGAGGCTGGACACAGCGAGCCGTTGTGTTCCAGGCAACATGGATCCCTCGACTCGTCACCCCTGAGCCATGCCCAAACCTGCCGCTCCAAGTGTGATGAGTGCTGCAGCCACCCGCCAGCTCTCGCGGCAAGCCCGCCCGCCACCAAATGCCCAAACCACAGGCGGCACACCGCCCCAAACGGCAGAATAGAGGTCAGGAAACACCAAATTGAGCCATGAAGGAAGACCGACTAAGCCCAGAACGTCTGATGAGGGTTTCGGAGAGCTGGGAAGGGAGTTCGTGTGCCCTGGCCAGCCGGCCCGGAAAAGGGGTGTCGGAGGTCGGAATCTCTGATCCCAAATCCATGCATAACAAAACCAACAGCTTAAATTGAGGCATTATCAGCCGCCTGTGAGTTCGGCATTCAACTCGTCAACTTCGCCGTGTCCTTGTCGGCGACTGTTCGATGAGTTCCCTGTCTGGTAATTGATCTGCCCGGAACCGCGAACCCAGGTCAGGCAAGATTGGTGCCCGATCCAGCGCCGTCGAGCTGCCGTTGCCAGCCACATAAAAGTAAGATGATGGATCTGGCTGCACGTCAATCTGCCAGTCATGGTCCGTAGGAGGCGGCCCATCGCCCAAGGTATTCCAGGCCAGAACCCTGGCCATGGCGTCGCGCGCATGTCAAAAGAGCCCCTAACCCAAGCAGTGCGACTGCCACAAACATGTCGCGGCTATGGACATCGGATCGGGAAATTTCCAGGCGCGTGCTGTCTGGAGGACAAGTAGCACGGCAGACTGCGGGCAGCAGAACACAACGTCCACCTACAAGACAGAAGGCGGCTCCACACCCCAAGAGGAGTAACAGCAGTATGAGAAGCCCTGGCAGCATGGGACTGTCTCCAGCGGGCCTTTTCCCGAAATTGATTGGAGCCGCTTGAAACAGGTGTCTGGACAAGACGGGCGTTTACAGCCGGTCCGGAAAGCACGCAGGTGCGGTGCGTCGTCGCCATTTAGTGATGGGACCCTCGGGGTTTGGTCCAGGCATTCAGGGGGCTGCCATTCGAGGACAGCCGTGAGTGAAGGAAGGACGGGTCCTGAAAAGTAATTAATTCACGGCCAACATCGGGGAGCGGCGCAACTGGGTAAACGTGGTTGGAGCGTACAACCAGTTACGCACCATCAACCACAACCGCAGCCACAACCGCAACCGTAGCCGCAACCGCAACGGTCGAAGGACTCGATCCGCATTTTACCACTGTTGTCCTTGTAGGGAAATTGCATTATCAAATCGCCGGAATGGCCACCTGACTTCACTGCCCCCTTAATCATCGCACATGTGCAATCGTGGAGGCCAGAAGAAATCCGCCGATTTCGCAACGAGCAAACAAAGAAGGTTGGTCGGTTCAACCATGGAAAAGCGAGGAAAGGGCGCGGGCACGAAAAAAAAAAAAAAAGAAAGAAAGAAAGAAAGAAACGGGAAATTCGTGACAGAATCAACGGGCTTAGGTCAAAAGTCATTACAAATATAAAAATAACGCAGGTAACTAGACAATTGTCGCTCATTCTCCACTGCCTCTCCCGTTCCCTCTGTTTGCTCTGAATACTGTTTCCTCGTTGAGTGTGTTTGCGGGTTGAGAAGAGTGGGGCAGGCCCGTGCCCCCTTACTGGCCCCTCATTGGTGCCTCAGGCAGCAAGGTTTGCTGCTTGAAGTTTATGCACGTCGCGTCTGGTCGTCGTCTCAACCGCGACCGAATTCTGATCGCCTGTTTGGGAAATCCACACAACACATTCTCTGTTTACCATTGGCACGCTTTTGCCACAACAAGTGCATCTCGCAGTACAGCCACCACCTTTTGCAGCCTCAGCTGGTTCTTTTGCTGTACCCGCACCCTTCTTTTGTTTTCGAAATTACTGAGAGATTGAGTCACCGAGGCCAGCCCCTGGTATTTCCTTTCATTGTTCGTCGATCGCGACGAAATTTCTTTCGCATTCTGCATGCGCGGCACTCTTTTGTTGTCCGCCCGCCGACGCCTTTCTTCAGCCCCTAATTTTCCGCGTCTTTTGTTGTGGAACACTGTTTTCAACCCGTCGCCATGGATTCGGAGGTCGACTCGGTCTTTGGCGACTACCAAGATGATTCAGACGGCTACTCCCCAGAGGTGGTACGTATGTTGTGATCCTGCACTTATCAGCAACTCGGCTACTTTCGCTTCTAAGACCGCGCCGCGAGCACATTCCTCTTCCAATCTACATGCGACTAACAGTTTCTCAGAAGTCCAAGACTAAGGCAGCACCGAAGAAAACAGCGACTACGAAACCTGGCAAGATGGTCCAGACAACACTCACAGCCGGCAAGCCCGCCGCAAAAAAGCGACCAAAAGTGGAGAGCGACGGCGAAGATGGAATCACACCCCCCAAGAAGAAGAAGGCGCCCGTAAAGAAGACGGGTACCAAGCCTCTCGTTGAGATCGAGAACGACAGCATGGTGATCGATGACGATGAGCCCTCAGCGAAACCCGCTGCCAAGTCCAACAAGACGGCCACTGAGACATACCAAAAGCTCACTCAGCTCCAACACATCATCAAGCGTCCCGACACGTACATCGGGTCCGTCGAGCGCACGGACCAAAAGATGTGGGTGTACAACAAGGCAGAGAAGCTGATGGAGAACCGCACCGTCGGTTTCGTTCCTGGCCTGTACAAGATTTTTGACGAGATTCTCGTGAACGCTGCGGACAACAGCCAACGAGACTCGTCCATGACGTATCTCAAGGTTACTGTTGACCGTGAGACTGGTGAAATCTCAGTCGAGAACAACGGCAAGGGCATTCCGATTGAGATGCACGAGAAGGAGAAATGCTACATCCCTGAACTTATCTTCGGTCACCTTTTGACGGGTTCAAACTACGACGACGACGAGAAGAAGACGGTCGGTGGCCGTAACGGTTATGGTGCAAAGCTTACCAACATCTTCAGTCAAAAGTTCTCCATCGAGCTCCAAGACTCCAAAAACGGCAAGCGGTACAAGCAGACTTGGACGGAGAACATGGGCAAGATGGAAAAGGCCAAAATCAACTCCAACAAGTCTGCGGATTTTGTCAAAGTATCCTTCCTGCCCGACTACAAGCGGTTCGGCATGGAGGACGGGATTGACGACGACCTGGAGGGCCTGATCTACCGTCGCGTTTACGACATGGCCGGCACGGTGTCTGGCATCAAGGTTTGGCTGAATGGCGAGCATCTCAAGATCAACTTCAAGACGTACTGCGAGCTATACGCCAAGTCCATTGCCAACGAGCGGGGCGATGTCGCCGTCGACGGCGAGAAGCCGGTTGCAAAGGTCGAGTTTGACCAGCAGAGGCACAACGGCCGCCTGTGGCAGATCGGCTTCACCGTCTCAGACGGCTCGTTCCAGCAGGTGTCGTTCGTCAACAACATCGCGACCACGTCCGGCGGTACCCATGTCAACTACATCGCCGACCAGATCTGCGATGCGCTTGCCAAGGAGCTGACCAAGAAGAAGAAGGGCCACTCGCTGAAACCCTCGCACTTTCGCAACCACATCTTCATTTTCATCAACTGCCTCATTGACAACCCGGCTTTCAATTCTCAAACAAAGGAGCAGCTGACGACCAAGATGAGCGCATTCGGCAGTAAGTGCGTGCTCAGCGACCAATTCCTGAAGAAAGTCAAGGCTTCCGAGGCCATTGCAAACATCATGGAATTCGCCGACAGGAAGGCGGATAAAATGATGGCCAAGAGCGACGGCAACAAGCGTTCCCGCATCAGCAACGACAAGCTTATTGATGCCAATTGGGCCGGCACCAGGCGCGGCCATGAGTGCACTCTAATCTTGACCGAAGGTGACTCAGCCAGAGGTCTGGCCGTTGCTGGCCGTGCTGTGTTGGATCCCGACCGTATCGGTGTCTTCCCGCTCCGCGGTAAAATGCTCAACGTCCGCGACGCCTCGCTCGAACAAATCATGAAGAACAAGGAAATTGAGAACATCAAGAAGTTCCTAGGTCTCAAGCACAAGCAAAACTACACGGACACCAAGGGCCTCCGCTATGGCCACCTGATGATCATGGCCGATCAGGATCTGGACGGTAGCCACATCAAGGGCTTGCTCATCAACTTCCTCGAAGTGCAGTTCCCCTCACTGCTGCGCATCGACGATTTCTTCCAGGAGTTCATCACGCCGGTGGTCAAGGTTTGGCAGGGCTCCAATCCGAAGAAGCCCCAAAACCTCAAGACGTTCTTCAACCTACCCCAATACGAGACCTGGAAAGACTCGCACAAGTCCGACTTGCGGAGGTGGAAGTACAAGTATTTGAAGGGGTTGGGTAGTTCCTCCAATGAGGATGCCCAGATCTACTTCAAGGACTTGGACCGACATTTGAAGAAATTCGACGTCTTGCAGCCCGAGGAGTCGCAGTTGTTTGAGCTGGCTTTTTCCAAGAAGAAGGCTGATGCTCGTAAGGAGTGGCTGGGCAACTTTGTCCCCGGAACCTACCTCGACGCGACGGCGGCTAGGAAAAGCTATACCGACTTCGTCCACAAGGAATTGATCCTCTTCAGCATGGCTGACAACATGCGGTCCATTCCCTCCATGGTTGATGGCCTGAAACCCGGTCAACGAAAGGTCATCTACGGTGCCTTCAAGCGAAACCTCGTCAACGACCAAAAGGTTGCCGAGCTTGCTGGTTACATCTCCGAAGTGGCCGCTTACCACCACGGCGAAGTATCCCTGCAGCAAACGATCGTCGGTCTAGCGCAAACATATGTTGGGTCCAACAACGTCAACTGCCTCGAGCCCAGCGGCAACTTTGGTTCTCGTCTTTCTGGTGGCTCGGATGCTGCTAGCGCCCGTTACATTCACACGAGGCTGTCACCATTCGCCCGGCGCATCTTCTCTAAGCTTGACGAGCCCAATCTTGAATATCAATTCGATGATGGAAACATGATCGAGCCCAAAGTCTATGTCCCAATCCTTCCGATGGTTCTAGTCAATGGTGCCGACGGTATTGGTACGGGTTGGAGCACATCCATCCCCAACTACCACCCAATTGAGATCGTCGACAACCTAAAACGCCGGATGGGTCGACTCGATCCCGAGGATTCAGAGGAGAAGGCTTTCAAGCCCATGACCCCCTGGTTCCGGGGTTGGAAGGGTGTGCTTGAATCCGACGGCCCTAACAGGTACAAGTTCAACGGCATCATCCAACAGGACGAACAAAACCCGAACGAGATTCATGTCACCGAACTGCCTATCCGGATGTGGACCGACGACTTCAAGTCCAAGCTGGAGGACATCCTTCGCGCCGAGAAGACTCCCTCGTTCATCAAGGACTACAGGGAATTCAACGACCATCAAACTGTTCATTTCATCATCGATATGGAAGACAAGCACATGAAGGCGGCGCTCGATGAGGGTCTGTTAGAGAAGTTCAAGCTTAGCAAGAGCATGACTACCACCAATCTCGTCGCATTCAACACCCGCGGTCAAATCCACAAATACGAAAACCCGGAGGAGATCATGGAAGAGTTCTACCACTACCGTTTCAACATGTATACGGAGCGGAAGAAGCACTGGCTTGGTGTCTACCATGCCGACTACCGCAAGCTCAAGAACCAGTATCGCTTCATCTTGGAGATCATTGAGAACAAGCTCATCGTCAACAAGAAGAAGAAAGATGTGCTCGTCCAAGAGCTTCGCGACCGGAAATACGAGGCCTTCCCACCAAAGGATGACAAGAAGTCCAAGTCTACCGACGAGGAGCTCGGCAAAGACGATGCCGAGGATGAGGACACCTCAAATGGCGCACGGGATTACGACTACCTTCTCTCCGTATGTGCCCCCGCTGTGACTTTCCCGCGCCACAGTAAGCTAACAGATAGCAGATGCCCATTTGGTCGCTCACGAACGAACGCCTCGAGAAGCTCAAGAACCAGATTGCAGCCAAGAAGGCCGAGCATGACGAGCTTGATGCCCTGAGCGAGAAGGATCTATGGATCAAAGACCTGGACGAATTTGTCGACGAGTGGCACACACAGTTGAAGCTGGATGCGGAGATCACGGCTGATATCCGTCGGATGGGCCGTCGCACGTCACGGAAGATCGGGGCTGGCCGGGGCCGTCGCCCGAAGGACGACGACGAGTATGCGCCGGAGAAGAAGACCAAGGCCAAGGCCCCCAAGGTCGAGAAGGTCGAGACCAAGACCCATCAAAGGTTTACCGAGAAGTTCCAGGCAGCGGCCAACCCCAAGCCCAAGATCGACCTCTCCGACGATGACTTCGCCCTTCTTGGCAAGAAGGCGGCGGTCAAGCAAGAATCGGAACCTCCTGCTTCGATTCCAGAAACCGCAAATGTGCGCAACAAGCGGGCGGCCGCAACCAAACCCAAGTCCAAGTATATCTTAAGCGACGGCTCGGACGACGACTTCATGGAGTTGGGGAAGGCTGATGTGAAGGATGAATCTGAGGTGTCTGAGCCGGAGGAGCTTGTCCAGAAGCCAGTCAAGCGAGCCGCAACCAAGGCCAAGCCATTATATGCGGGCTCGGACCTTGATGAGTCTGGTTCAGAGGACGTAGTTGAAAAGCCGACTAGGCGGGCAGCAGCTAAAGCTAAGCGAACCTACATGGATGAGGAGTTTGGCTCGGACAGCGACGACAATGGCGATGACATGCTCGGCGACACCGGCGCCATGGTGAAGGGCATAGGAGCCCCCGCCACAAGCGGTGGCAGGCTTAGTCTGTTTGCCATGTCCCGGCCGGAGGCGGGCGATGCACCCATCCCCGAACTAAAGGCCAAACCGTCAAGATCTATTCTTGATCTTGACGAACATGACGACACGAATTACGAGGCCCTCGCTATGTCCTCGCCTCGGAAGTCGACCAAGCCAGACGACGTTGATGACTTCCTCTCCGACGATGAGTTGCCCGCCGTAAAGCCCACGGCCTCCAAAGCAGAGGCCCCCCTCACGGTTGTTGCGGGTGCAGCAGCCAAGAAACGGGGCCGCCCGGCCGGGTCCAAGAACAAGGTCAAGGCCGACGACGCACCGGCTCCGGCGCCCAAGACCACCAAGGCCAAGACCCTGACCACCAAAGCTAAGACGGCTGCCCTCTCCCCTGCGGCCAAAGCCTACGCCGCCAAGAAGGCCAGGAAGGTTCTCAGCGATGATGAGGACGATATCATGGAGGACGCGCCGGCCAGTCCGCCGCCCGCGGCCAGGCCCCTTGCTAGGAGACCGGGGCGCGCCGCTGCGGCCAAGGCCAAGGCAAAGCCGACGTACATCGACGATGACGATGACGATGACTTTGTCAGTGCCGACTCTCGTAGTGGTGGGCGCAAGGGGAGGAGGGATGAGAGCGACGCGTTCGACATGGACGAGGATAGCGAGTAGAGTGGGAAGGAGGTTAGTTGTTATGAGATATGACTCTCTATCTCTCTGTCTCTTTGTCTCTATCTTGCCGGGGTTAAATCAGGCTTCTTGTCTGTTTGCTTGGTAGATCTATGAGATGTCTTGTCGTTCTCTATCGTTCCTTTTTTTTTTGGCGGTTCCCGAACTTAGTTGGGGCAGGGTCGGCTGGTGGCGTTGGTTGGTTGGGTGGGTGGTGGTTTCCTGGAAGGGTGGCAGGGAGGAAGGGCGGATGATTCGCATATTTCCGTTTAGCTTTTTTTTTCCTTTGTTGCTTGCTATGCATCTTTTTATTCCTAGTTGGTTGGTTCGCAGAAACACGAAGGCCCGTGTATTATTTTGCTTCGGTTGCTAAATAAAGTTATGAGTTACAATTTGGACCCAGCCAGGCCGCTTCTGCTCCGTGTCCGGCCTAAGCAGGCATGACTTTGTCGCTAAAAAACCACAAACCGGTTGAGACTTCGCCAGTTTGGGGGATCCGTACAAACAAAATCACGTCTCAGGCAAACAGGCAAGGTAAGCACAGACGGAAAGATACATCATGAATTAGCTGCACAAATAGAACGCCAACGAACCCATCACCCCCCCTTTCCACTTGCCTTCCTCCAGAGAGAAGCCCAAACTGTGAGAGCACACGCATCATAAGGCCGAAAGTGACGTTGAGGTTAAAGGGAAACAAGAGAACGCGAAAAAAAAGTACACTTATGTCAACACGAGACTCCATCCAGCCATCCAGCCATCCACCCTGGCGTGTCCATGTCCATGTCAAAATCAATGTCTGTCTCCCAAAAGCATGCATGCCCCCCCTCCATCCCCCATTCATTCATCCGCGCACCATTCTCTCGCCGCGGAAACATCCTCATTCAGCATGGGAAACAAGGGAGGGCCACAAGAATAGGCTCGAATCCTGCCCGAAATGAATTACCAATCTTGCCTCGCCGCGTCGTGTAATCCCATTCCCATATCTTCCTCTCTCCGTTTTTATCAGTCGTCGTATTGGCCCAGGGATTGTGGCTTGCTCTCTCTACTAGCGCATACAAAGGATGAATGGCACCGGCATCAGAGATCTTGGCAGTGCTCCTCTTTTTAAGCGGCGATCAAGGGCTCCGTCTTCGCACCGTCAACCGGCTTGAACGTGTTCTCGACGACAGGCTCGGGTGCGATGGGCTCGTTAACGGAAGGCTTGATGTCATCCTTGGGAGCCTCGGGGAAGTCGGTAGCCTTGACAGACGGCTTCGCACCCTGAGAGCGGCCAGCCCCAATCAGTGCCTGAGCCTTGGCGGTGTAGTCACCCATGTACTGCTTGGTGACTTGGGTAGCCTGCTCGGTGTGCTTCTGGGCAACGGTGCGGAGCTGAGCGGTTTGGGCGTTGACGACCTCGCCGGCGAGCTTGAGCTGAGTGTCGATGAGCTCCTGGTTGGTGGTGTAGATGAGTGGGGTGAAGAAGATCACCGTGGTGGCGATCACGGCCAGGCCCCAGTAAGGGACGATTTTGACGAGGTAGTACGAGATAAAAGCGGCGAAAGCGGCCTGGGTTGAGTTAGCTTGCGGCTCTGACGCCATTGCTGCAGGAGCTCTGAGCTTGGGCGGAGTCAATTGTGGAGACCACTTACAGCGACCGACGCATAGACATTCTCGGCGAACAACACGCGCTGCGACTCGATAACAAAAAAGTTGATGAGCTCGTGGACGTCGCCGATGGCAGCCTCGAGCGTCTCCCTTGGGATAGTGTAGTACTTGCGAGGGCGGAGCTGGGTTGCGAAGCCATTGTTGATAAGTGCCTTCCCGGCGATTTCAGCGGCGACGGTGATAGCCAAAACCATCCAGGTGAGCTTGAACGTGTAGCGCAAAACATCAAGGTACCTAACCGAGAAGATGAGCGACACGAGGGAAGCATAGGCGATGGCCGAAGCACCTGCGGGGTATCAACATCAGCTCCTAGTTAGCTCCGACCGGTTCGGAAAGACGTACGAGGGTTGCGCCACGACAGCAACTCCGAGAAGAATGAGTGGTAGTTTGTCAGCGGCTGGCCGGTGGCGGCCGTGTATGCGGGAGGATGGCGGGAAGCGGCCAGGTTGGAAATCTCGGCCGTGGCCTTGGAGGACTGATCCATGACGTTCTGAGCTACCGGACCTGCGCAGCACCCGGTCAGTATTTCAACTGGTGGATGTATATCAGCGGCGACGGGCGGTAGGCATACCATTGGTGAGTGTGTTGAGAGCGGCAGTGGCATCTGCAGAGGCGCCATCGTCAGTCGATCGGAGCTACGGAACGGTCGGAGGTCAGAGCTGTTCTGTGAAACACTAGCACGAGTTAGCCAAAAGTCATCGGGACAAGACAGAAAAAGATGGGCGAAGCTAGACAACACGAACCTTACTAGCTTTGGGGCCATCCACGTTGGTATTGCCGTTGGTGGCGACGCGGTCAGCCATTTTGATTGCTATCGTGATGGTCGCGTGGGCAGGGTCTGTTTGTTGGCCGGAGGTGAAAGGTGGGAGGTGGCAGTGGAAGGTGGAAGGATCGGAAACTGTGTGACGTCGACTAAGGGAGGGGCAGGTCCAACAAGTCAACCGATGGCGAGAAGATGTTAGTTAACGGGAGCTAGGGACAAAGGTGAAACCTCAAGTCAAACTGCTTATTTGTGCAGAGGAAGGGAAGCTTGGTGATGGAGGAGAGTGGAATGAAGAAGTTTGTGTTCCAAGAAGTTGGGATGGGCAGGAAGCAATGAGGGCTTTGAGACAGTGCCGGGGTGAATTATTTCTGGCCTGGTAGCTTATCAAAAAACTTGCAGGCAGTCATGGTCCATGACGGACTCTGGGCCCCAGTCTGAGCCAGTCCAGGCCCAACAGGGGGGTCCACTGAGGTAGCCCCTCCAAAGCTTGCTCGCAAAGCTGAGGACCATTCCAAAACGGCGTGCAGCACAGGCGCAATGATCTCATCATGCCACCCGGAACACCACGGCAGGAACCAACCTATCAGGGAGCTCTACCGTGCGTGGCACGATCGTCCATGGTTGTGCATCCGGTCATATCTCCCATTTCTGCAATGCGAGCTCGTGTATACATACTGTCCTTACGGAGCTTAATTGCTGTTCCGACTTCTTCGTCTGTGTCAGTGTTATCGCCAAATTCTGCAATCTTTGTTCGTCGTGACGTCCAGGTAGCATCCAATGTCGATAAGTCACGACCAATGGGCCCCAATGCCTGTCACAAATCAATGCCGACCCTGGCTCGCCTCCTTACCGGGGCCTATTCTTGGCCCGCTGCATCATCTCCCTAGCCAACAGCGTCATCCATCGCATGTGATTTCGCGCTAAGAACTGCGACAAGTCGCCCACCCTAGTGACAAGGCCACAGGACGTGCAGGGGAGCAGGCAGGCAGGACAGGTGGGTGGGCGACAGGCAGAATTCAACACGCGACACACGCCAAAACGGGATGATGTGGAGGTGTGACCAGCTTCCAGAAAATCAGTCACAAGGCACGAGAGGCCAGATAACTCAAAAACATTTCCCAGCAAGCAACATGCTGTGCATCTTTCAATTACGTTTCCCCTCTCTGGTTCCGTCAAGAATCCTGCCTCCCATTTGTTTGTTCCATCACTGTGGGCCCCCATGTCGCCCTGCGAAATCCCCCCTGCAGTCATGTAAAATTCCCTTTCCGCCATGCAGAAGAATCCAATATTGGTATCATGGTGCTCACAAATATAGCCCGTTCCCGCGACCTCTCGGCCATCTCTCATTCCAGCAATTAACAGTGTTACCCCAAAAGCGCCCCAGATCTCGACGACGCATCGGCAGAGCCAGCGAATAAAACATGCAATCGGACCGATTATCACCTTCTCCACCCCCAAAAGCCACCGCCAGGCGTGTTGTTCCCCGCGGGCGGCGTCGGCGCCTTCGAAGGCGGTTCTGATATAGTCGGGGTGGTGTTGGAGCCCGTTAGACGACCAAACATATCCATGGCCGCGGAAGCTGCCGACGGGGTCGCACTGCGGCTATGCAAAACCGGCGGTGTCTCTCCCGGCGCGAGCCCGAACGCTTTCCGGAGCTGCTCGAGCTTCTGCTTCGCCTCTTCCAGCTCCTGCCGCGCAACCGCTTCCGCTGTCTTGGCTTGCACCAACTCAAGCACCAGAGCATCGTTCTCGTCAGGCGAGGCTGTGAGTTGGGTCGGTCCCGATGCGCCAGCGGGCTGCGCAGCCATGGCCGCCAGCGACTCGCTACTGCTTTTCTTCTTCATCGTCATCGTGGATATGCGTTTGTTACTAAAAGTTGAGGCCGTTTGTGACGGTGTCGACCTGCTGCGGCCCAACTTGAGCTCGCGCAGCCCAACCGCCGCCGCACCTCCGCCGGCCTTTGGAAACCACTCGCCCTTATTATCTGTGCTCGCCGGTGTGTCCGATGCCCTCGATCGCATCCCTTGCATCTGCCTTTCGAGTCGTTGTTTCTCTTGGTGTACATTGCGAACGTGTGCGTGGGTGTCCCTCAATTGGTCCTTCAGGGTGGAAATTTCCTGTTCCATTTCCTGCACCTTGCGATCGTACTGCTTCGACTTGGCCCGCTCCTGTGATAGTTGGTCTTTCGCCCGAGCCAACTCGTCTCGTAGTTGTAGTTTCGTCTCTGGCGCCGATGACCTTGGGCTGGTGGTCGCCTCGTCGAAACGCACCTCGACGATGTCGAGTAGATCGGAAAGTTGTTCGGCTGTCGGGCCAATTGCGCCAGTCGATATTGCGTCGCTCCCCATATCGCCTCCATCCGCCTTTTTGCGCAAGCCATCCAATAGCGATCGGACAGCCCGACGGTCATCCTCGCGCTCTTCCTTCTCCCGTTGTAATTGGCTGGCCAGCAAAGCGTGATTCCGTTGCAGCTCGCTGAGCGCGGTGAGTAGATCTTCGATCTGACTGTGTAAGTACTTGCTGCCATCCTTTGATGTATTGACGCTCCCCGAGAAGCTGGGCGCTGTCTTGGACGGCAGCGCCGTGGCTTCCCTGGGTGTATCATCGGCAGAACTGTCGCGCGAGATGTTGGTTGCTTCAGTTGAAACGGAACTGAGAACGCTAGCGGCGGATGACGCAGTCGATGAGACCGCCTCCATCGACGAGAGGCTTTGTTTCGACGTGCTGCGCCGAAGCATGCTAAGCGGCCGTGATGCAGCTCCGAGTCCAGGGTTGAGAGTACTGCTGACGGACGCGGGTCCCGAAGTCTGAGCTGTTGCCGAAAAGGTGGCAAACCTAGGAGTGGTAGAGGAAGCCCAGAGGCGACCCAGGAAACGGGAGGCGGCGGTGGTGACATCCGCCGACGCTTGTGCCCCCTCTGTCCCACGGTGATTGGCGCTGGGGCTAATCTTAGCTTCCTTGTACCCCTGTTCGAGCGCTACCATTCGCTCCTTGGTAACGACGTTGGCGAGCGCGACAAAGTCTTGGACAAATTCGTCGGCGTTGTGGTTATAGCAATCCCAAACACCCCGTGACAGAAGGAGATGCATTACGTCTTCCAGTTCGGTGCACCCCAAGATGCGCACCTGGTTCTTGCGCATGAGCGACAGCGCCACCCGCATGATGGTCTCCGATGCGCCCTCGGCGAAAATCACATCGTAGATGCGAAACAGCATTGGCAAGGGGCACGTTACGGCGTAGAACGACAGGAACCATTGTGAAACATACGCGGGTTCAACCTGCAAATCGTCGAGGTGGGCCGACAAAGTGGGCAAATGCTGTCGCAACAGCTCGCGAAATTGGTAGATTCGGATGTGCAGCCCAGACAGGTCGGGAACGAAACATTGGCGCAGATCGTAGTTTTCCATGAGTCTGGTCGCACAAGTCAGCTCGCAATACCTCTATCAATTGACATTGAGATCGGACGTACCTAACCAAAACGCAAAAGGCTTGGTTATCCGGCATATGCATCAGCAGCGGTCCAACGAGGAACGCTAGCCCCTGGCAATATCCGATTTTGGTGTCGTAAAGGCTGAAGCACTTGAGAACTCGGCCCAGCATTCGCTGACCGTCGCCTTCCGGATCTCTGAACATGTCGACGCCGGGGAAGCTTCGGCCGAGGTCCTTGCTTATAACGCCCTCATACGGACTCGATTCGCCAGTCAATCGCTCGAACACCTCCTCCAGGGCGCTGTCCCGGGCACCCGCCATGCTCTGCCAAACCACACCTCGCAACGGCGGTGGGACACCCTTCCGCACCTTGTTGGACAACAAACTTGGCAGGCGAGCGGCCGTCTGCTTGGGGTCTTTGACAAGGGCGCGGTAGAAGTCGAGCTCGGTCATCGGCGTTGGCGGAAGCGTCGAGTATCGGAGAGCAGGGGGGATCGGACCGCTGACCATTTTCCGTAGTTGCGCCATCGAGGGAGGCCTGGGCCTACTCTCGCGAGACCGCCGCCTATCCGCCCGCCCTGGTTTTCATGCTCTTGACGTTTGTTTCAATCCGATCATTTTCTCGTTCTAGTTTGTTCAATAGTGAGGCCGTAGTCTGTGGCGTGGGCTGTCAGTTGCACCCGGCAAAAAAAAAAAAAAAAAGGGGGGGGAGGGGGGGCAGCGTTGCTAAACACGCACGTTGTTGGATCCCTGACTTCTCGATTCCAATTCTTCCTTCTTTTGTAACTCATCCCAATCGACTCTGTCCGATCCCGAGCTTGAGCACGAATCCCGACTTTTCCTTCCTTCTCCTTCGTCTGTATTTGCTGGGCTTGCCCGCCCCAGCTCTTGGAGCAGATTCGGCCTGCGTCTCGCTGCTGAAGTATCAGGCTCAAAAATCTCCGACTCACTGTCGTCGTCGTCGTCGCCGTCGCCTAATGTTTCGGCCATGGGGTTGTTTGGGTTCTGACCCGGAAGCGGGGTCTTTCGCGTAGGAATCGTACTTGGCGGTACTGCCGTGTTTAGGTGCAGCGAGGGTGGTTCGGAGAGGCGAACTGTGACGAGAGAGTCATGTTCACTTCCCTTGTCGTCCCTTTCCGTCGCGGCTGGCGGCGAATTGGTCGGTCCTGGAGCGTCCTCTCTTCGCGATGATACCGACTCGGGACTTGCCCGTCCTCCCAGAGCATCTGCTCCATCCCGGTCGGGCTCCATCCCAATCCCAGACCCAATCCCGCAACCTTAGTCTGTAGAGACAATTTGAACGCGGCGGCGAACTTTCGTGCGTGTCGTGTCGTGTCGTGTCACGAATTGGTGTACAGGCTCGGCCCTCTATCGACCTCTCGATGCTGTCGTCCGAAGTTCCTTGCTGTTACCGATAGATAAGATTAGGCAGGTGGGCTGTTGTTCCCTAGACTATTTGCGGCTTCCTCACTGACCCAGCTCCTCGAAAGCCTCCCGACTTTCCAAAGGGCGTGGATGCCAGCTATGAAAGAGAAAGAGGCAGGGATGGTTCGTTAGCTGGGAAGAAGTGGAGAGAGGCGGCCGAGATCGTCAACCTCGAATTGTGTGGGTCTTGGCGCGCGACTGCTTGGGCAGGAGCTTTCTCGTTTCATCGAAGGGCCGAGTAGAAGGCGACCCGTGGCGGCTAGGGCCCAGGGTAACCGGTAATAATTACACGGAATGTGAGGCTCGTGAAATTCAGTACCGTGACAGCCAACGCAGTCAAGAGAAGAACATTAGGCGGTGGGCGCTGTTGAAGAGCAGAACCCAGACACGGGATTATTTAGCGCGAGCCCCTGGATATCCTTGCAGGAATTGCCTGCAGGAACCATGCCCCCCCGACCACAAAAGGCAATGCGGGGCAGCAGCCGGCCACCGCCAAACCGCCCCAGTCGACGAGTCCAGCAGAAAAGCAAGACAGGAAATGCGAATGGACCGCAGCATACGAAGGAAAAAGAGCTACAAGAAGAACAGCAGAGGGGCCTTGTTAGAGAGTGGCAAGAAATGAAACTGGGGGTTAAGAAGGGGTTTCTAAAAAAGCCGCGAACCGGGAGAACTGAGGACCAAGCCCGAGCACGAAGCAGTTACTTCGTAGCCGATATCTCTTTGCAATAAGCGGTCACCGTGGCGTCTTCCATCTTGTCCACGCTACCATCGTCGTTCACCACACCTCTACAAGTAGTCTCTCAGCGATTTTCCAACAAATGAAATTATCTCTCATTCGAAACCCACAACCTGCTTCTCGGAAGGACCGCCGAGACAATGCATTGGTTCAGGCTCAACACCATGACTTCGATGTTTGTTGTCGCGGCAAAAGGTGGGGTCCAATGAGAGCTCTTTCTCTGCCAATCGGCAACCGCATGCCGCCTCGAACCCCCTTGCAGGCCGCACGAGGTGGAGCAAAGGTGCAAGACAGAAGCACTCGAACGGCATTGGAACCTCTCACAACCAACCAGCAACCTGAGCACATCACCAACCCCCTCATCCATCTCAATGCGGTAAAATTACACGGTTCCATCACCCACTAGCAAACCACAACTAACGAGCAAACCTCACCGCTCGTAAAAACGAAGCTTCCAATCGAGCTGCCAGCCATACGTAAGGGCCACTTTTGCTGCGCTTCGGCTCCAGATCTGGCTTGGCCAGAGGGACCGACCTGGGGAAACGGCCTGCGGCTGGGGCCAGAACTGTGTCGAGAAACCCCAGATCGGCGGATTTGAGACCGAGGCTTAGCTCAGACGGCATCTTAACTTGGCGGCCGTCATTCTTGAAAAACGTGCCCAGAGACGTGCAAATTCCCGGCAGTAAAAAGCTTATTCGCTTCGAGGAGGTGTGAGGAGTGTCGTGATGTTCTCCCTCGATGACAAGAAGGCAATTGGCGAGTTCGAGAGAAACCATCCATAACTACCTAGCCACCCTCTGGCCAAAATAAAAGCCGAATTGGCAAGGTAGCAGGAAATCAAGAAAGAGAAAGAGGGAAGATTGGACGGTGTCCAGACATAGAGTTCGGCTGTTTTTTGTCCATGATGTGCGAGTCTATATTTTAAACGACAGAATGATGGTGTGGTCGACACAGAATAGAAAAGTATTGATACTACTGGACCTACCTCTCTCGGTATCCATTACAGCCCAAGTTCAAACCGAACTCCACGACACCGCCAGCGCCACAGCCCTAACGTTTCATTTTCTCCCCTTCTCTCCCAAAACAAGTCTCCCATAAACCGAACGAGCCCAAGACCAGACCAGACAAGCTCCCCATGCAACGCAGCACAGCACCACAACACAAAGCAGGGATCCACGCCATAACCAGCTAGCCACCCACTCCTCGATCCGAGTTTATCTCCATATATGAATTGAAACGGACTCATTCTCGCAAATGTGTACGCACCCACCACCCATCCTCCTCATCGTACATCCAACCGCCCTGAGCTCCTGCCTACAACAGCCCAGGCGTAACAGTTTCGGCCATCGATAGCGTCGGGGCCGGGCTCCCCTGGTTTGATCCCTGGATACCTCCCATCCCCGCAGCAGCGAGGGGCGCCGATACCTGGCCGTTCTGCCCCGCCGAAGATGGGCCGGGTCTCATACCGCCGACACCGGCACCGGCAGCAGCGTTGGTATTGATGGTAGGCGGGCGCGCACCGGCGGGCTGGGCTGGTGGTTCCTTCCGGGGGTCGATGCCCGGGTAGAGCAAGTGGAGCTTCTTGTAGAGGTTCTTGAGCAAGGTATCGCGCTCGATACGGTCAGCGACCGGGTCGGCGGGTCTTTCGACCGGGTCGTCCGCGGAGGGGGGAGGGAGTTTGAGTTTGAGCTGCATGTTGAGCGGCGGCGGGGTGAGGTAGGCGGGTGACGCCATGACATTGGCCTTGGGTTTGGGGTCGGCAAGCGAATACATATATGTAAGGTTTGCCTGTAACCTTCTCATGCATCTGTCGATCGGGTTAGAAACAGGGGCTGGGTTTCATGGGGATAGCACCGACAGGCGGGGGCTTTGGAACTCACTGGTTGTAGTCCAGGTTTGCTAGCTTTTCTTCCTCGGCGTAGTCTATGTCGCTGTTCTTGGCATTTCCCGAGTTGACGGCCGCTTGTTCCTTCTTCAACTCATTCCGGCTGTTCACGAGCTGTATTGATTCATACAGTAGTTCCTGGTTGATCTCGAGCAGCACGGCCATCCTCTCCTTGTCTCGGGATTCGGTCGCGGGACTTTGTGGGGCGGAGCCAGAAGTCCCGTTAACCTGCGGCTGCTGCCCCCCTTGTTCTGAAGGGAAGGTTGGTGTCTGCGGCGTTGCTATTGACGCTGGCGGATGTTGAGCAATCGTGGGCGTCTGGCTCTGGGGGGTGCCCTGGGTCCGGGGCGTAGAAAAGTGCTGCTGCTGTTGTTGTTGTTGCTGCTGCTGCTGCTGCTGCTGCTGCTGCTGCTGCTGTTGCTGTTGATGATGGTGTTGCGATTGTTGTTGATGTGGTTGTGGCTGCTGATGTTGCGATTGCTGCTGGGGAGGCATCGAGTTGGTTGGGGCGCCTTGAGAATTGTTGAACTGGCGTTGAGGGGTCGTCACAGAAGCGCCGGCGGGGTTCTGCTGGGCAGGAAGCATCCGCTGCATCATGGGTTGCTGGCTCGGCAAGCCCGTGTTCATCTGATAAGGGTTCATCTGGCCGGCCATCATGAAATTGGCCGGCAGCTGCGGCAGGGGAGCCGTAGACGAAGGGATGCCAGACGCATAAGGCGAGCTGGTGAAAGGCGCCTGGAACGACACTAGAGGGAGGCATATGTTAGCCTTGACCACAAACAAGAACGACCAAAGGGGTGATGGCGGTGTCAACGGGAGTAGGGGTATGTTACGTGGAGGGTGGGACCGTCGCACGTAAAGGAACCTCGTGTAAGACAAGCCTCGCAAAGGGCAAACGTCATGTGGAAGATGTATAAGGGGACGGTTGCTTACTCTGGCCATTGGCAGCCATGTGCGGCATGCCGGCATTGTGCATCATTCCCGCAGGACCACCTCCCCCCATGAGAGCTGAGTTCGGGCCGCCGGCGGGAAAGACACCAGGCTGACCCGGCATGGGGAACTGCTGTGAGTTATACATCATCTGCGGCGGCAGCGGCTGCTGCTGCTGCTGCTGCTGCTGCGGCTGATTCGGAGATGGGCCGGGTTGCAGGTGAGCGCCTTGTTGGGGTGGGGCGCCGTTGAAGATGGGGCCTGCGGCAGCATTTGGGAAACCATAGGGAGCCGAATACATGACTTGGTATTTGGACTGAAGGCTGCCCAAGCCAAGAACAGGGCGGGAGGCGTCAGGGGGGGTGGAGGAGGAGGAGCGGCGGATGGAACGGCGAGGCCGTCGTGGATCAGATCAGGAATTGCGGCTGCCGGGTGTGGGGATTGGGGGGGGGGGCAGGGCTACCAATCTGGGGATTGGCCGGCGGGGGCCCTCCCGAGATGGTCTCTTCTCTCGCGTGTGAGCTATCGACAGCCAAACAGGCACTTGGGACCCCAGTCTAACGGCAGCGTTCGGCCGGGATATGAAGTTTGCGAGCCTGGAATGGCACACGACGGGATGGATGAGACGCGCGTGAATTGGGTGACAACCAACCCAAGCGGGAAGGTCTAGTTAGGTACCGGGTCTCCTCTGTTGCCTGCCATTATCCAAAGGCCGACGACTCCGCCGCTTCCCCTGGGTGCCTTGCAGGGCAGCAATGCACGGTGGGCAAGCTATCGATCGTCCCGATGGCAGACCCCACGGGATTGCCGCTTGTGTTTCGCGGCTTTTGTGGTGTGTCCGAGAGTGGCAATGGGACACACAAATGCCGGGGATTGGGATGGGCAGACGGGTTCGTCGCAAGTGCCAAGGCGGGAGAACACCGATAGGGAAAGAGTATGGACTCGAAAAATGATAAAAAAAATGACCGAGGGCTAGCCTGTCCGTATCCGGAGGGCTAGAATGGAGTGGTTAGTTCTGGGTGTCGACGTTGGCTGCTGCTCTGCTGCTTTGGTGGTCGGCAAGCGGCGTGTGTCAGATTGTCAGAGAGCAAAGGGTTTGCGTGGGTTTGGGTGCGTTGCGAGAATGCCACGAGGACCGAATCCAAATTGCCAGAGCGCTGAAAAAAGCGGGCATTGCGTGGTGCCCCTCGGCCAGCCGACAGACCACGCTAGCCCGATCAGGTGCCGCCCGCTGCGAGTGAAGTGGGACAAGAGCTGCGGGATGACAGGGGTTGTTACGTTGTGCTTCATCCCCCAAATCACAACCCAATGGTGGGCATTCGTCCTGGGCAGGTACTCGATCCCACGCAACTTCTGGTCACTTTTATTGTCCCTACGTTTATCGCAGACTTGAATGGTTTCAGTAATGTTTATTATTATTATTTTATTTTATTTTCTTCGAAATTATGGGATTAATTGTCTATTGTGTGGGATAGCTGTCGCCTAGGTATGTTTCGACAGACAAACTGACTCATGGCAGACTCCCTGTTACTCTCGGTCTTGCAGCCCCAGCCCGGTCTCGGCACACCGGAACTCAATGAAAACGGGTTCCATACTTGGACTTGCCGGCCACCACCACGTCGACGAAGTTCTGGGCAATGATGGCGCCTAATGAATTAAGTCCGAGTCAGTTGCCATCCTTCCGGGCGTCGAGCGGGGTGTGAACTTACTGGTCTTGTTCGAGGGATGCAGCTCGTCATACCACAGGTACCCGTCAAGGGAACCGGGCTGGTCGACACACGGGCTTCCGGCCACTTCGCACTGGTGATAGTAGCTGTTTACATTGTGTGGCGCTTTTAGGAACTTGATCGGCTCGCTATAGATGTCGTTGACCAGGCTATGGACGTCAAAGAGGTCGACCGTCGCCTTGGGCCAGCGGTGTTGGAGAGACGCCTTGACGGGGACGCCGTACTCCAGGATGGTATTGACGCTGGTCGAGTACTCCCTGATCTTCTGGCTGTACTCGGTCATGTTGTACTGGCTCTTGGTTTTCCAGAACTGCGAATCAAGAGTCCCGCCGTTGTCGGGGTGCGCGTACAGCGGAGTCAGCTCTAGCGGCACCGTGTTGAGCAGCACGAAGCGCCGGCCTCCCGTCTTGTAGACCCTGTCGAGCACGGAGAAGACGCAGTCGACAAAGTCGCTGATGGTCTTGCCGCGGGTCTGCGAATCCGACAGGAAGGCGTCGAAACCCAGATCGTTGGTCCCGATCCACACGGCATACACCGTATTTTCGGCGGTGCGGCGCGGGTAGAGAGACTTGAAGGCCACGTCGGCCTCGAAGGATGGCAATTCGTCGTCTAGGATGGCCGGGAAGGTCCGGTTGATGAAGTCGAAGCTTCGGGAGACGATCTGGTTGGAGCAGACGGCACCGCTGACGGCGTAGTCCCTCAGCTGGGCGCCGGCGTCCTTTGCGGCGAATTGGGCCCAAGACAGGCCGCCGCTCGCCGTCGTGGTCGACTCGTCGTGCATCTTGCCCGGCGGTGGTGCCTTGCCGCCATTGTTGATGTAATATCCCAGGCGGCCGTTGTCGGTGTAACTGTCACCGAAGGTAACCAGCGTCTCGAAGCCTCCCTTGGTGGGTTTGGCCAGCGCGAACGAGGCGCCGGCGAGGATCCAGGTGAAACGCATTGTCAACGTATCGTCTGTGGTGTGATTTGCTAGTATCGATCGACACGACAAGAAGGAACCGGGTGATCGGCGCGATCAGGACGGCTGGGGGTTCGAGGACGATTCACGACTTTATTATACTCGGTACGAATACACAGACACAGCAAGCTTCTCTTGAGTAATATGCGGTCCCATTCAACCGGGAATAGGGACTGGCTCCCCGGTGCAGGCTATATTGCGTCTCCACGGCTATCCGGAAATCAGGAAGGACTCGGGAGGGGGCCATAACCACAACCTGGAAGGAATCGCGGTGGTGAAGGGGACAGGATCTAGCCTAGCCGTAGTGTTGTTACATCGCGCCTCTACCCGCAGCATGTCGTGCCATCGCTCCCGGGTCGCCCGCCCGTCGCCCACGTCAGATCATTGTGCTCACCCAGCCATTCTTTGGAAAGACGGGGAACCTCTCGGGTTTTACCGGACATCGCCTCGCCTAGGAGGGGAATTGGCCAATCACTTCCTGGACTCGACGGTAAGGGATGAGGGAGGGGGAGAGGGGGGGGGGGAGAACTCTTTGACTTCTAGAAGGCTTGGCTCCCGAGAGAGGTTGGGACCTGGTAAGTTACATTTCCTCGAACGGATGGAGAAGAAAAGGCTGATTGGTCCGCTAAATGTCATGGAGCTAGGGTTGGGGTTGGCTATGAACCAGACTTGCCAGCCCTCAACGCCAACACTCAACCCATCGACTGGCAACACAAGAAGGACTAAAGTTTGTAAATATCTGACAGAGATGAGTTGGTTCTGGTATAAGAAAAGCCATGTCCGATTTCTCAATAGTTAGTTACAAATCTCCATAACCTACGAGTTCACATTTTCCTGTCTGTCACATGAAATCGAGGACCCGCTCCGGAGTCGGCGTTGGATAAGGTTGGGTGCTCATTTTCATTTCAGTCTCGTTGATGACTCCTTTTGTGACTCTTTCACATCACAACCTCACAACATATAAAAGGGGTGGTTGATCAACAAAGTCATCGGCTCACACTATCCCCACACAGACACAAAACACAGACTTGATCACCTCTCGTCAAGATGCCGGCTTTCAACCTCGAGACCTGCGCACGGCCCAACATTTTGGCCCTCGAGCCATATCGCTGCGCTCGAGAGTAAGTTACCTACTCACCCCCGCCTAGCCCTCATACCTCACCCCATCATCACCACTTCCCACTCGTCCCTTCGTTTGGCTTTTTTACAATTTCCCTCTACCCCCCTCAGCTAACACCCTTCCCAGCGACTACAAGGATGACGGCACCAACATCCTCCTAGACGCCAACGAAAACGCCTTCGGCCCTCCCCTCCCCCCCACCACCAACACCACCACCCCCAACAACAGCACCACCAACCCCACCTCCCCTTCCTCCACGCCCCCCTCCCTCGACCTAACCACCTTACACCGCTACCCGGACCCGCACCAAACCCCGCTCAAACAGCTCCTCTGCGCGCTGCGCACGACGCACGCGCACACCACGCAGACCCTCACCCCGGCGCACGTGTTCGTCGGCGTGGGCTCCGACGAGGCCATCGACGCGCTGCTGCGGTGCTTCTGCCGCCCCGGCGCCGACCGCGTGCTCGTGTGCCCGCCCACCTACGGCATGTACAGCGTGTCGGCGCAGGTGAATGATGTGGGCTTGGTGAAGGTGCCGCTGCGGGGGGCGGAGCAAGGGTTTGGAGTGGATGTGCCGGCCGTGTTAGGGGCGTTGGGCGGGGAGGAAGGGGCGAAGGTGAAGGTGGTGTATTTGTGCTCGCCGGGGAATCCGACGGGGAAGTTGCTGCGGAAGGAGGATGTGAGGGCGGTGTTGGAGCATCCGACGTGGAATGGGGTGGTGGTGGTGGATGAGGCGTATGTGGATTTTGCGAGGCCCGAGGATAGTTTGGCGGAGTGGGTGGTGGAGTGGCCGAATTTGGTGGTCATGCAGACGCTGAGCAAGGCGTTCGGGCTGGCGGGGATTCGGTTGGGCGTTGCGTTTACGTCGCCGGAGATTGCGCGGCTGTTGAATAGTTTGAAGGCGCCGTACAACGTGTCGAGTTTGACGGCGGGGATTGCGGAGTATGCGGTTTCGGAGAACGGAGGGTTGCCGAAGATGAGGGAGAACCGTGCCAAGTTGATTGCGCAGAGGGAGAGGATGGTGCGGGAGCTGGCGGAGGTCGAGGGGGTTGGGCGGTTGAGAGGTGGCGTGGACAGCAATTTCTTGTTGTATGAGATGCTAAACAAGGGGGGGAAGCCGGATAACGTGACCGCGTTGGCGGTGTACGAGAGGCTGGCTGAGACCAAAGGCGTGGTGGTCCGTTTCAGGGGCAAGGAGCACGGTTGTCTGGGCTGCTTGAGAATTACCGTCGGCACCGATGAAGAGGTGACGCGGTTTTTGGCGGCCCTCAGGAAAACTCTGGCCGAGGTGCGGGGGACGGCGCCGGCTGCGGATGAGGAGAAGAGGGAAGTTGCGGCGAGTGAAGTGGTGGCTTGAGAATGGGTAGACGATACAAAAAGTGCTTCCTTCTAGAGAGAGTTGTCACGCCCAAGTGGCACCAGTGATAGATATTGTCCTTGTTGACCGTCTATTCTGGCAGCCTGCCATGCTATGCAAAAAGAAAAGCGCCAGTCCATGTCCAAGACCAGGGATGCCCAAAAAGCTATGTATGTACAGAAGAATGTAAACCCACGCTGCGCAACACCGTATCCAAGCCGCCTCTCAAGGTTACACCTTGCGAACATCGTACCGACCCCGCTTAGATTTCGACCCGGAGTCAAAGGTGCGGACAACCTTGATCTCGTCGCCCTTGAGCGGCGGCTTGGACTCGCCCACGAGGAGCCCTTGGATCGTCTCCAGCGCGCACATCTCCTCACCTAGGCCGGTGAGGCCATCAAACCCGCCCACATACCACTTCTGTCCGCAGGTAGTGCCGTCAGCGCCCCCCGAGCAGGCCCCGGCGGCCGCCAGCGCCGACGTGTGCCACAGCTCGTCGATGGTGGGCTGGATGGACGGCACAAACAGGCTGGCGCCGTAGACGAAGCGCGAGAAGTAGCCCTTGAAGCTGCGCATGTCGGCGTTGCAGCTAAAGACCTGCTCGCAGGCGTGCTCGTACATGATGTTGGTGGCGTTGTCGAAGGGGCTGAAGAAGGAGCGCGAGGCCTCAAGGATGCGCTCGGTGCGCTGCGTCCACTTCTTGTCACCCGTGTGGTCGGCCAGCACGGCCGCGCCGTACAGGTAAATGGCGGCGCTGTACGAGAAGGTGACCGGGTTGGTGTCGGTGCAGTTGTGGCTGGCGCTCGCGCCGTCGTACACGTTCCCATAGCTGTCGATCAGACCCACGGCCTCGGTCCAGTCCCAGACTTTCTCGGCCCACTCCAGGTACGTGTTGTTACCGGTCGCCCGTGCGAGACGTGCCGAGATCTGGAAGAGGCCGCCGTTGCTGACCGTGTTCTTGTAGTCGAGCCCGTTCGGGTTCGACTCGAAGATCTGCCACAGGAGACCACCGCCGCATGCCGTCGTGTTCCACCTCGAAGTCAGAGAGTTCCATAGGTTCGAGCCGAGTTGCAACCACGAGGGGACGTTCTCGTCAGGGTGTGGGAAGTTCCTCTCGGCTGCCGACATGACGGCGAATCCCCAGAAAGCCTGGTCGTCGTTCCCCTCCTGGCCGAAATGCGTCGGAAGCATGTAGTCGAAGTCTGGGCCAACCTGTGCCAAGAGGGCCCTCGAGATGCGCTGGTCGTAGGTCTTGTCACCGGTGTAGTGTGAGTAGTCCAGCATGCTGCCCATGAGGGCGCCGGCTTGCCACCAGTAGTGCGGTTCGGGAAGGTCGACAAACTTCTCCGAGGTACCAGAGTAGTAGGACATGGCACCGCCGGCAATGGTCTTGGCCACACCGCGAATCGAAGCTGTTGAGGTTAGCAGCGCTCCACAAAGGGTGTGAGATGCAAGGTCACTTACAAGGGTCATTGATGTCTAGGTCCTTGGGGGCCAGGGCGGCGATGACGGCCGTGGTTGCAGCCGCGGGCTTAAGGGACTTGAGGAACTGCATCTTGGGCAGTAGTACGCCGTGTTTTCTGAGGTGTCCAGTAAGGTTGGAAAGAGGTTGGTCCAATTGCCGCCAGCGAGCAAAACAAAACGAAGGTAGATGTGGTTGGAGTAATGTCTTCGGGGGTGCTTGGTGTTGTATGTAATAACACTCAGGACTCAAAGAGCTTCGACTTCAAGGAAGCAGCAGGAATGTTTGCTTTTCAAAAACAAAGCCAACGACGCCGCAGTGAAGCAGCAAAGAAAAGCACAAGAGTACGATAGAAGGGAAACGATCGTTGGTGGTCAACACGGCGAACGAGGGAACAATAACGAGACAAGGATGACAATAGGAAGAGCAAAAGGCCGGCTGATGGAGGTCAGCCTTGTTGGCCGAGAAGGGTGGGCTTCCATTCTTCTTAAAGGGAAGAGCCGAATGGCCATGATCAGCTGTCAACCACATGTCAACCAACGCCTCCCATGCGCATCTCGGTCCACAAAGTCCAGAAGAAGCAAGAGGGAGTGGCCCAGCAAGATCCACCATTCCCGGTAGACAAGGGGCGGCCCAATGGGCGATTTCCTGGTTCGTGGGGATGCCATCCTCTGCGGGTAAGCTCGCACCCCTTGCTGAGCCTGGATCTTGTTAAACCCTGGCTCGCTGTTTCGTTTCCTTCCAGGTCAGCGCTGCAACCTGGAATGCCCCCGCCATTTTCACAAATGGAGGGTTGCAATTGGAACTTTGGGCGTCTGCCGAGGGAAAAGGGAAAAAAGAGCCATCGAATGCTGGTGCGCCGATCGTGGAGGGGTTCACTCCCAAACATCTGCGGGCGGCGCATAGCCAATGCAGGAACTGGGGGAACGCGCGCCAGCAGCTCGAGATCTGCCATCTTTCCTCCAGCCAGGTTGCCATGCGCCGTTGTGTTGGGCCCTTTCAGGTTCAAGTTGGATTAAGGATTGGAAAAGCAGTGGTCAGGGGCCTGCAGCAGTGATTGGAGGAGAGCCAAGCCACGCCGTCTTGGCAGTCTCCTTTTGAAACCTGAAACATGGGCTAACCTCCGAACGAGTGGGCAGCGCCCTGCCAGCAAGTGCGATGACAGCCGCGCGACTGCAGCATTCAGGTAGAAGGGGCTCGGGGGATTCACAGCCGCCAAAACTGTCGGCGCTATTTGGTAGTCGCGGCCCGAGTTGTTGTGTGTTCGGTTTTCGTTGGTGTCTTCCATTTTAGTTAGGCGACTCCTTTAGGTGACAGTCTGAGATTTGATTTCCGGTGTGCCACAAAAAAATGCATCGAGATCATAAATTTAGGTTGTGCATTGCACATGTGCCGTCTGGCAGTTTTTACACCCTCAGCTACATACCCGAGGAGTTAATTCTCCGACTACGTCCCGAGTTCCCTCGCCGACCACAACCAAGAAAAGGGGTATTTATCGAGTCAACAAAAAAAGACGCGCAGCCATCACCAAAGCGACCTTTGCCCAACCAAGCGCAGAGAAATACTCTGGCATTCATCCAAGCATAAACCCAAGCAAGACGGCTCCAAGCGATGTCATCACCACACGCCGACCCTCCACCACACTTAGTAGTTGGCTCGCTCCCGAAGTCGGGATTGCGGTGCCCGTCATAGATGCCAGCATCGACCCCTCAATGTCGGTAGTGCCGGGCTCTGGTCCCGGCGTCGACAGCGTCAGCACCCCCCAAGTCACCTCGTCGGCAGCAAAGGTCTTTGTCCAGATGGTTTCGGTCGGCCCGGTCAGGGGGCCTTCACGGTGGTTCTCGCCCACCGATGAAGACCCCGTGCAGGTCGCCGCCGTCTTTCCATCAAGCTGACACTCGAGGTTCGCCGTTCTGCGATGCGGTTAGCGACACCATCATCCATCAGCGCGAAGACGCGGGGGCACGGACAATGTCCCGGGGTCAGTGCCCTTGTACACCAGAGTATGGGGCCCCTTCTGTGAAAAACAAACGGGATCTCGCCCGCAATCTGACAGGTCGGAGCTTGGGCTGCGCAAAACACGGTATAGGCCGTCACGGATTCGTCCTAGGTGCCATTATTAGAGGGGAACACTCTCAAAGAAACATGACAAGGTAAAAAAGGGGTGACTCGATCAGAAACACTCACACTGCTGATGATACTTCCGCGGAGTGCGGCCCAGTCTGAGTCGTCGTATTCTGGGAGATAGACTGATACGGTCGACTGGGCGTGAGCGCCGCCCGCGGCCGCGCAGAGCCAGGCGAGGAGTACCGGGCGCTGCGGTCTCATGATGCTATCACTGCTTCACAGTCCTCCTGCGGCGCATCCATGGTTGACGAGGGGAGGAGAGGGAGAAAAGGAAAAGTCGATGGTTGTTGGCGATGTGGTCGGGACTGCAAATCATCTCTTGGCGACGCTTGGCACAAGGCTCGGCGCTGTGCCGTCGCCGAACTCCCGATAGATGCCAAGATGTCAGACTGCCGCTTCATCCAGACGAGAATGCCGTGGTGGTGATGGTTGCCGTCTTCGAAGACCACAGAGTCACATAATGGAGTGCCTCTCCCCGGGCGGTGACCCTTTCCGGAGCCGACTTGCCGGTGCACGAGACCAGCGCGAGCAGCCAAGGGAAAAAGACAACTAGCACGAATCCTCCCAGCCAACCCAAGCGCTCCCGACATTCCCGGTGGGAGGAGACTATTTCTTGGGAGGTATTTTTCGTTCTTGGCCGCAAAATGGCTGCCGTTCAGCCGTGACCACGCGCCCAGCCTCTACAATCATCAATACGCACGTAAATACTTGGCTAGCTGCCATGTACATCTGGTGAGCCATACATAAATGTGGGTAGTTAACCGCCACTATGATCCGCCACGATTTAGAAGCAAGGCTAGCCACGGGGCTGAGATCTAGCCTCTTACCCCTGCCGCGAATCTTGGTCCAGATTGGACGCTTCGTAACCCACCCGCTTGGATCGCCTCGGTCTCGCCTCTCTCCAATCGGGCTCACCCGCAATTTCCGGAGTCTCATGCCGAGAGCGAGCTGATGTGACCTCGCCACTTCGTGAGAACTTGTGCTTAAGAAGGGTTTTTCCCGCAGTGGGTTACGAAGTAGAGAGGTTTGGTGTTGGTTTTGGTTTCCGTCGTTCGTTCTAAGCAGTCACTCGTTCAAAACGCCACCTAAAGTTTCCCTCCGATAATTTATTTCGGGCCACTCCTCCAGTCACTCGTTAACTGCGCGCCGATCTCAACCGGTTTACCAGATAATCCTCGATTCGACACCATCATGATCATGAAGTACTCGGCGTCCGTCCTCTTTACTGCCGGCCTCGCTGCCGCGCAAACCAGCGTCGTAAACATCATGTTTCCGTTTGTCGACCAGCAAGATAACGGCGCTTCGGTCATCTCCGCCGGCCCTACCGCCACCAAGTACTTCATCGCCTGCCCGCCCGGTACAAGCGACGAGGATTGCGGGCTGGCAGAAGGTGTCGAGGTTCTCTACGGGCCGTCAACCCTGGAGTACACCATGTCATATTCAGAAATCTAGTCAGTTGCCTCATCAGCACCCTCTTCTCGGGGAATGCTAACCTCATTTGCCCACAGCACCGTCTCGGCCAACTGCAAACTCAACCCCTCCAAGGACACGGCCGATTGCTCCGGGGCGGTCATCTCGGATCAGGAGATGTCGACCGTGGTTGAGGTCGTCTCGGGCTACAGCTCCTACATCATGCCCGTCACCATCACCGCCGGGCTCGAGAAGCTCTCGGGGGCCACCAACACGGCCGCACCCGGCAGCTCTGCCACCCGACGTCCCCTCGGCTTCCACCCCAACCACCATGACCACCGCCTCTGTGCCGACCGGCGCCACCGAGGGCAGCGGCGAGGGCGCGGCCGACCCGACCTCCAGCCAGAGCACCGGCGGCATGCCCCGCGTTACGCAGAACGCTGTTATCATGGGTGCGGCTGCGTTGGTTGGGGGTGCCATCCTGCTTTAGGGGGTTTAGGAACGAAGGGAGATGACGTGCTAGGAGTTAATGGGACATTGATAAACCGTTGCGCGTTGCGTTATTCAGAACCTTATGATACCCGCGTTGCATTTAGTCAGGGCAGGACAGCATTTGCCGCATTGATATTAGCATAAAAATGAGCGCCATACAACACCGGTGATTCGTCAGTCGTTACCGACTTGGCGATTAGTCTTGTCTTGAATTATTCCAAGACCGGGAAAATGAACCGTGAAGAGAGTGGCCGTGAGACTGAGACCAGAGGATCGCGAAGTAAACTCCCGCGGGCATTCCGCGGGACCGTCGCCCTTCAACTCGCAAGATCCTCCCTACCATCTTGCCAGCTCGAGCAGTTGACACACCGTAAAGCCTTTTTTTCGCCGGGTCAGCCACAACCCTGTCACAGCACAGCAACTAGGAATACGACTTACTTTCTCGTTGATGCGCTTCCGGCAGTACTTGCACTTGACCGTGTGCTTGATGATGGGGTCCTGTGAAAAGTACTGGTACAGCGCGGCCAGGCCGTACAGCGAGCACCCGACGCCCATGAAGTTGAGCAGCCGGTTCAGGAAGAAGCTATATCCGCCACCCTGTAAGCACACACACACACACACACACACACCCAACCACCCAAAACCACACACCACCACCACCAACCCCAGCAAAGCAAACCCGCAGAAAGAAAGGAGAGACATACCCATAAGCCATGACAACAGCGCCGTCATCCTGGGCCTGCTTGAGCGTGTTGTAGCCGCCCTCGGCCGGGCGGTGCGGGCCGGCCTGCAGCACGGCAAACTTCTCCTCGAGGTTCTTGTTGAGCGGCAGCAGCACCGACAGAGGCGGCAGCATGATGTCGCTGACTAGGCTGGTGATGAGGGCGGCTGTGCAGGGTTAGTTTACCTAGTTGGTCATTCAGGGGGGGGGGGGGGGGGGGATGGTAGTAGGTAAATGGATGGATGGGGATGGGGTGGTTCTACTGTACTATGGGTGCTTGGGTCGGGGGGCTTACTGAACATGGACGCGATGATCAGACCGAAGGCGATCTCGAGCACGTTGCCCTGGAACGCGAAGTCGATGAAGCCATGGAGGATGCGGCGGGCTCGGCGGCGGCCCTCGTCGAGAAGGTCGTGCTCCTCGTCGGATTCGTCTGGGAGGCGCGGCATTGTTTGTGGTTGGGGAGGGTTGAGTGTTCTGATGTTATGGTACGTCGGTATCTTGAAATATGTTCAAGAGTTCATTTAATTCCAGGATGCCATCTAGAGAACAACTACAAATAAAATAAAAACAGTAGAAATATTGAAGATTGGGAGAGATGTTGGCCCGACATGGCCACCCTGTCGAGGAGGACCAGAGAGGCACAGGAGCGGCGGGAGCTGTCCCAAAAGGGGAATGGTGAGTGATGTTTAGGGGTGCACCCCCGACGTCACCGCTTCCTTGGCAAACATGCAGACGCGGGGGACAGCGATCAGCACAGGCCGAGAGGATTCGTCAAGGGTTAGCGGCAGCTGCCGTTCGAACCAACACATGAACACCAACTCACGCCAAGGCTTGAAGATCACAACGACATCCCAGTTGCATAAATACACAAGTCAAGATCAGTGAGGTATGGTCAATGAGCAGTCTATTGTGTTTTCAACAGGGTATCCTGCATTAAAGAGAACGAATGATGGAATGATGGTGTTACAAATAGGAACCAGACCAGCGCCAAAACTCCCAACGTCCCAGTTCATCGCCCATCCAAGAGACGAAGACTGAGTCCATGCAATTCCAAGCGAGTGGTCTCGTACGTTTGGATGCGGTAACGACTGTTTGGCCCGAGTGGCTGATTGTCAAATCGAGTTGAAGGTAAGGAATGACAGGGTAAGGATGATGATTTCGAGTGAGTGAGCGAGTGAGAAGAAGAGAGCGGCTAGTGAAGCGAGAGTGAGAGAGTGAGCCGCGGAAAAAGAGTGGCAGTTGTTGATATGACGACAGTTGTTGAAGTGACAGTGGTTGGAGTGATAGTTGTTGTGGGAGTAAGGACCGTTGGCATCCAAACAAAGACCATTTTGAGAAACGAGCGTTGGAGAAACGAAACGAGCGTCAGGCACACCCACCGGCCTTCTTCACCTACAACGGCTCATCCCTCATATCATCACCCCTGGCGCCGCCGCCGCCACCACCGCCGACAGGCATTTGGGCGAAGCCGTGCGAGTCCTCCATGCTGCTGGCCGACTGGTTCTTGTCAACAAACTGCTGCTGCTGTTGCTGGCCACCACCCATGCCGGAATCCTCGTGGCGCGTCTTCAGCCAGTGGACCACCACCAGCCCCAGCGCGGCCGTCGCGAAAAACACGGTGCCCCAAAGCAAGAAGTACAGGGCCGGACTGGTCGACGCCGACAAGCCGAACTTGTCACCGTGCTTGTTGACGGCCTTCTTGATGCTCTCGGCCACGCCCGTGATGACGGCAGCGCAGATGAAGGCGGTAAACCAGCCGAGCCCGAGACAGCCCATGGCGCCGAAGATGGCGAACTTCCTCATGCCCTGCGCCGCGTACTCGAGCCCAACCACGGCCACGCAGCACAGGAAGCCCGCGACGAGCACCAGCACCGAGAAGAGCACGAAGTAGGCCATGGACGCGATCACCTTGGGGATCTTGTCGAACCCTTCCTGGATCTCGTCCACCAGCTCGAGGTCGCTCAGCTTGAACTTGAACGGCCCCACGTTGAGCTCCTCGTCGAGCTTCTTGCTCAGGTCCGTCTGGCCCGTGTAGAACTTCTTGGAGCACTTGTCGACCTTGGGCTTGGCGTCCTTGTCGCTGAACAGCGGCTTGTACTCGCCCTCGCAGAGCACGCCCATGTGCACCGAGTAGTACTCGCGGATGCCGATGGCCTTGGCGATGCTGCCCATGGCCTTGTCGATGAGGTCCGCCGTCAGCTGCACTGCCTTGTCGGCCACCTCGGCGCCCTTGTTGCACGCGCCCTCGACCCCGTCGCCCGCCTTGCCGCCGGCGTCGTCGATCGCGTCGTTGACCTTATCACCGGCCCCGAACAGCCCGCCCACCTTGCCGAGCCCGTCGCCCACCTTGTCCGCCACGTCGCTGACCGCCCCGCCCGCCTTGCCGCACCCTTCCTTGGCCTGCTCCGAGACGTCGGGCACTTTGATGAGGTTCTTGCCGAGCGTGGACATGTTGAACTGCGGTAGAGACATTTGGTTAGTGTCTTTTTTTGAACAGGTAGGGGGGTTGTGGGAGAACAAACGTTGATGATGCTGACCCCCTCCATGGTGTGAGGCGTGGAGCCCGACGACAGAGCGATGGCCAGGAACAGAAACGCGATGAACGAGCACACGATGGGGGCGATCTTGAGGATCATGCCCACCATGTCGCCGCCGCCGCCCCGGTTGGGAACTCCCCGCATGCTGAAAAGCGTGATAAGAAGGGGAAAAAAAGAAGTGACTAAATCAGATCAATGGGTCCAGCCCCTGACTTCTGATGCAAAGGAGAGACTGAACGAAAAAGGAAAATGTCGAGAAACGAAACGACCAGTAAGGAGTGTATAAAAGGAGAGTCAGCCACTGAGGGCAGGTTTGAAAGGAGTGGAGAGGAAGCAAAGTCCTGTCTGCGTGATTGTCCCAAGGGATGATGAGTAGGTAGTAAGACGATCCCCAGGTTCTAGGTGAACTGACGCTATATATCCGACCTCATGCCAGCAGAGCTGAGCACCGAGCCAAACCAAACACACAGCCGGGCAATAGACGAAACGGACCTGGGCCGGACGGCGGCCGGTGGAGGGGGACATGTCTCGGGCCGGGGTGGCTTGCGCCTTTTCAGACGACCCGGCTAAGTAGTGCAGTCTTCAGGGGTACAAGTAAGAACGCTATGGGATGGGGCAGCGGAAGAGATGGGGTTGCAGTTGCAGAGTATGGGGAAACCGAAAAGAAACGCGGGAATGCAAAGTTCCCCCTCCCCCTTTGGCCGTACCGCGCCGGGTCTGAAGCGTAACAGGGACGCAGTAGCCCGGGGACGCGGCCATCATCCGACCCTGCTGGCGAAGCATCCAGGGGATTGGGGTGCTGGGGGCGGGGTGGGAAAATGTTGTCGATTGTTTCGATGGGTGGTCGGAAGATCCTGAAGTAGCTAAAACGGGGTTATTTTGGCATTTCTCTTGGCCACTCTTGGGGGCCCCCGCAGTGGGATAGTTGGATTGTGTTTGGTGTTTGGTGTTGGTCTGCCCCAGACATGCGCCGTTGCGGCCCGTTGAGGGGTTCATTGGCCAATGGCTCCAAGTTTTGGTGAAATACCCCAAATCCCGACCGTTAATTGTTTGTACGCGGGGTTGGCGGCCCGTTTCCGGCCTCGAAGCCAAACTCACTGCAAAGGTTGCCGAGTTTACGATCCGGCCGACGATTCGGCCGTTGACCCGGTCTTGGTCCCGATTCCCGGCCGCGCCCCGCTTTTCCCGGACTGCAGACCGGCCGCGACCGGCTTCACAGCGAATTGGGCCGGGGGAAAAACAGGCTTATTTGGGTCTTTCACTAACGGGACGGCGTGGGGTCCGGTCCCTGGATTCTCATAAAACCGAGAGGTGCCGTCCTATGCGATGTCATTGTTTTCCGGTCCGAGCTGTCTTCGCTTTCTATGTACATGCAGGGGCAACGCAACCCAGACAGAGCAGCTAAGTGACAAACGCTATCAATTCATGATGTTTAGCTCATAAAAAACTCCCAGTTAAAAATACAAATTACGCTTTAAAAGACACCTCACAGCTTCGCCATGTAGGAGTTGCCTTTCTTGATAGACGCAGCCGCGTCGGTGATAAACTCGTCGACGATCTCCTTCGCCGACTTCTTATCGTTGCAGACGGCGGCGCACTGGCCCATGAGGAAAGGCCGGAACTGGTCGAGCAGATCATCGACATCAGCATCCTCGCCGTCATTCATAAGACCGGACGCCTTGATGGCCGGTGTCTCCTCAGCCTCGCCCGACATCACCTTATCGAGGTCCGCCTCGTACGGGAGCTTGCCCTTGGAGGTAAGCTCCTTGATCTCTTGCGCGCGCTCCTCCTCCCAGTTCATAATATAGGGGTTCTTGCGCACACGCAGCGGGCGGCCCGTGAAGATGAGAGTGCGGACCGTGTCGTCGAAGCTGGCGGTGCGGACGGCCTCCTTGTGCGATTCGGGGGCACCGGCCTCCTCGGAAAGAACAAATCGAGTGCCAACCCAGACGCCGGTGGCGCCCATCATCAGCGCAGCCGCCAGCAGCTGGCCGTTGTGGATACCACCCGCGGCGACAACCTGCACCGGCTTGCCGGTGAGGGGGGATTTGTGACCCTTGCAGGCCTCGACGACCGAGGGGATCAGGATAGTGGTGGCGATGTCACCGGTGTGGCCGCCGCCCTCGCCGCCCTGAGCGCAGATAATGTCGACGCCAAGGTCGAGACACTTCTTGACGTGCTTGGGGTGGCCGATCATGTTCATGTAAACGATTCCGTTCTTGTGCAGCTTCTCGACGACGTGCTTGGGGGGGACGCCAACGGCCGAGACGAAGAGCTTGGCGCCGGACTCGATGATGATGTCGATCAGCTGGTCGAGCTTGCCCTTGGTGTAGTCGTAGCTGTGAGGCACAATTAGTCAACGGAGACCGTAGACTCTAGGCGTAGATTTAAACCTACTTTGTCTTGCGGGCGTTGCCGCCAACCTGGGGAAGGAGGAGGTCGACGCCAAACGGCGCGTTCTTGTCCTTGAGATGCGACTTGAGCTCATCGATCTGGTCCTTGAGCATCTCGGGTGTGTAGTTGATGCCACCCAGCACACCCATCCCGCCGGCGTTGGTGACAGCCGCGGCCAGCTTGGGCCCGGCAGCAACGTTCATGCCGGCGAGGAGGATGGGGTGGTTGATCTTGAAAAGATCGGTGAGATCGGTACGGATTTTCTCTGCGAAACAACATCAAGTCAGCAATGCGATTGCCCGCCATTGTATGCGACCGGCAACAACTCCAGCCACATGGTAGAAACAGCAGCTGCGCGCGGCATGTAGGGTCGAGGACAGATCGACTTACGAGGGGAAGCCATGGCGACGGTTGGTGTGGAAAAACAATGGTTGGTATCAAATGTGAAAAAAGAAAATATAACGGTAAGGAAAGCAAGAGTAGGACACCGACGACACGAAACCTGGGGAAGAGTCGCCGTCTTGAACCCCGGGACTTGGGGCTCGTGCTTTGGGGCCTGGAGTTTGCCAAGCCCGCTGTGCTTTGTGCCGAGGTTGCCCGCCGCTTTGCGCTAAACCTCTTATAGGTCCGAACCGCACATCTCAGCTGCCGGAAAGTGCGGAGGGGCAACGGAGCCGAGGCATTGGAGACTGGCAGGCGGCGTCTGGTCGGTAACTCTTGACTCGGGACGGGGCTGATATACGTAGTATGTAAATAAGCATTGACGAGTTGCTTGTAAATCTGGGGAAGGTAAGGCTCATGGTGAGCTCCCATGGCTTTGACTCCAACAACCTTGAGACGACCCTTAGCAAACATCGTTATTTCTGTGAACTCGACCTACCCTACCCGATCTTCACTCAATTCTCTTTTGTTCTTAACTAGTGTAGTCTCAACAATACTTGGTAGGTGGGAGCAGGTGACGCTGTCAACTCAGTGATTGACTGCAAGAACAGTCGGAACTCGGAAGTCGGAAGTCGGAAAAGGTGAACCGTTGCAGAACAATGCACCAGCCAGTGATGCCAAGCCAGCGAGCTGGCCTCGGGCCTGGACTCGAGTTGGTTTAAGTCTGACCCTAACCCTCACCCAACAAGTGGATCCTCCGAGCTCGCAGTTGAGGCGAGGTTGGATTCTCAGATTCAAATGATCGCAGGATTGCGCAGAAGATGAAGCGCTTTACTCTTATCGCGTCGCGGCCATTGAAACCGCCACAAATATTGCCGTCCTGTGTACGCAATGTGTCTCACTACAGTCAGGCTCGGCGTGTAACGAGAATCCACAATAGGTCATTTTCAGCCTCGACGCGGTCATTCGACTTCAAGAAATACACGATTCCTCAAAACTTTCAAAAAGTATCGAACACTGATCTTCCTGCAAAGATGGCCGAGGCGCCAGAAACACCGCGCAAGCGGACCGCATACATCGCCCTGGGGAGCAACTTGGGCGACCGCATTGGATGGATCGAGAAGGCGTGCAACGAGATGGACGCGAGGGGCATCAAAGTGAAGCGGACGAGCAGCTTATGGGAGACGGAACCCATGTACGTGCTAGACCAGGATAGATTTGTCAATGGCGCATGCGAGGTTCGTAGATTCAGATCCGTATCATCCGTCGTTGCTCGTAACTAAGCGTAAGTCAGGTTGAGACGACCATGGAGCCGCTGGAGCTCTTAGATGCGCTGCAAGACATCGAAAACAAGTTGGGCCGCAAGAAGGTCATCGACAAGGGGCCTCGCAACATTGACCTTGATATCCTTCTCTACGATAACCTCCAGGTCAATCATGAACGCCTCACAATCCCCCACATCGGCATCCCCGAACGTGAATTCGTTCTCCGGCCGCTCGCCGAGTATGGCTCTTTTACCACCCCCTCGCCTCCCACCAAGACTAACAACATCTCACAGGCTCATCCCCGACAAGCCAATCGACCCGAACCGCCCCTGGCGGCTGACAGCCGACTACCTGGACGCGCTCCCGCCGTCCAAGACCCCACTCACCACCATGACACCGCTCTCCTCGCACCACCCGCCCATCCAGGCCCTCAACCCTTCCCGCAAGACCCACGTCATGGCCATACTCAACATGACGCCTGACTCCTTCTCCGACGGTGGCCAAAACCTCCCTCTCCCACTCGACAGCAACACCATTACCCCCAGCACCACCACCACCAATGGCACCACTACCGACAGTACCACCGACCCCTCCACCGCCCTCCACCACACCATCACGACCCTCCTCGACGCCGGCGCCTCCATGATCGACATCGGTGGACAATCCACCGCCCCCGGCACGCCCGAAGTGCCCCTCGCCGAGGAACTCGCACGAGTGATCCCCGCCATCCGGCTCATCCGCACGCGCTTCCCCACCACCACCACCACCACCACCACCACCACCAGCTCACGCCCCGTGCTCATCTCAGTCGACACCTACCGCGCCGCAGTGGCCTCCGCCGCCATCGAGGCCGGCGCCGACATCGTCAACGACGTCTCGGGCGGGTCGATGGACCCGGCGATGCTGGCGACGGTGGCGCGGCTCGGGGCGACCGTGTGCCTGATGCACATGCGCGGGACGCCGGCGACCATGGCCGGGCTGGCCGAGTACCCGGCGGCGGAGGGCGGGCTGATCGGGGGCATCGCGCGCGAGCTGGTGCAGCGGGTGCGGGCGGCCGAGGAGGCCGGGGTGCGCCGCTGGCGCATCGTGCTGGACCCCGGCCTGGGGTTTGCCAAGGTGGGCAGGCAGAATGTTGATGTGTTGCGGCATTTGGACGAGTTGAGGGCGTGGCCCGGCCTGCAGGGCTTGCCGTGGCTGGTTGGGTCGAGTCGCAAGAGCTTTGTGGGGAGGGTTACCGGGGTGCCGACGCCGAAGGAGCGGATTTGGGGCACGGCGGCGACGGTGGCGGCTGCGGTGCAGGGGGGTGCGGATGTGGTGAGGGTGCATGATGTGAAGGAGATGGCGCAGGTGGTGGCGATGGCGGATGCGATTTGGAGGTATTAGGGGGGGTGTAAGTGTTGGGGGGGATTCAACATGTGGGCATTTCTTGTGTGGTGCGGTGGTGCATTCGGGGTTCAACATTATTCTGGGATGGCGCTATTGCGGGTTTGACGGGAAAAGCTGGCAGCATATATAGGGTGTTTGGTACCTGTTTACTGAAGATAAGGGGGCTTATATAGCTTACGGAGCGAGGTCGGCGAGTGGTATGGAGTGATGCTCAACACATTGTCGGGGCTAACCGCCATCAGTTGTCCTCGGCGGTCTCCTTTGCCTCACAATTACCAATTCAACTTTGCCTAGGGCTCTCTCTATTCCGATCCCTCAAGTATTTTCGGTGTGATCAAGACTCATTTCAGCATGTTCTAGGGACAGTGGTTCACTGACTACAAAACTAGTTCGGGTTCCCCAGCTCCTGACCGAACCACGTCAGCCCTCCATTCGCGAATAAAGTCACACTTTGCCAACCGAAGCACGGGAATATTCACGATTCTGAAGACCGGACACTCCCTGCCAGGAACGGCCGAAACCTGGGTGTAAGTGCCGCCGAAAGCTTCGACTAGAGGAACGAAAAGCCAGCCATTCGCAAGCCCAAAATTACTTTTTTTACTTTTTATTTCATTTTAATTCATTCTATTCGGGATTTTTGACCTCTGTCTTTTTCTCTTGGTTTTCTTTACTTCTTTCTCTATTCTTGATTTCTTGCTCCCCATTTCGACTTCGGCTTTTTTGGTCAGAGGGTGCCGCGGTACGCAAGACAAGATGAGTCGAACGTGACATGAGTCTAGTGTCAGGTTGGATAGAGCCTGCCAGTGGCCCGTCGTCACTTTGAATTTGGTCGCCACATCAAAACGAGCAAGTTAATGTGCAAAGACAACAAACTCCGGTTACCATCTCTTTGTCTACGTCCCCCCGGGCCGTTTACACGTCTCAACCGTAAAGAACCTGCCCATCCCAGCCCTCCGCGTCCTCACATGCCGTTCTACCCGCCGTGCATAATCCACAAACTCCCAGTATCGCGACGTTTCCGCTGGGCCAGCATCCTCCCACAGCCGATAACCAGGATACATGACCAGTGTGGTGACCTTCCCCCAGGCCCCGGTCCAGTCTACCGTGTCGCCCTCGCCGGCCGTAGCCCACAGTGCGGGGAACCACTCACCGCAGCCCGTGAGGTCGAGGTATTCGAGCCCATACAGGCTCCTGCTGAGCCGGCGCAGGATCAAGATCTGCTCGACCCACTCGTCGTCGAGCGAGTGACTGTAGGGTCCGGTTCCGCCGTACTGAATGGTACGACCGGTGTGAGGCGACAACACCGTCGCCAGTTTCGCATTGGGCGTTAGCGTCGGTTCCGGCCAGAAAGCCAGGCTCAGGTGCGTCAACCCGGGCAGGTGCGTTGCGAAGGCGAGCAGGTGCCGCCAGGAGATGGTGTGCGAGGACGTGGGGTCTAGGGCAAGCGAGAGATGTGTGAGGTTGGGGAGGAGCGGCCGTGGAATGTTGGCCGAGAATTCTTCGGGCGTGTCCCAGGACTCTTGCGGGTCGACGGGCTCCGATTGTGGTGGGAAGAGGAAGTCTGACAATTCGCGGAGTTTTAGGGGGCCGCCAACTGACCCGGATAAGTTGAGATAGTGGAAGGAATCGTTCACTACAGTGGGGGCGAGTTCCGGGTTCTCCTGATACTCTGGCACATCTGGTGGAGGGAGGAGAATAGCTTGCAGATCCCGCAGGGACACACCCTCGCGGGTGTATGTGACAAGGTAGGCGATCAAAGCGACCCGGAGATGGGTCGGGAGCTCGTAAAGATGATACTGGCAGTATGTTTTCTGCCACTCCCAGTCGAGGATTAACCGGCGCAGCACCATGTCAATCAAACTCCCGCGTGCCGGCAGCTCCAACCCCGGCAGCGGCCGTTGTTCATGAGTCTCCGCCGCTCCATACTCTATCGCCGAGCGCTGAAGGGCATTGCCGGCTCGCTCGGCCCCAGACAGCCAGCTGTGCGGCGGCGGCGGGCCTGCCGGAAGCCTCGCGCTTCCCCGGCCAACCCTGACAGGGTGCCGCGGGCGGGGTGGCGGCGTCTCGGGGATCTGGAGGATCTGGCGGATAGCGGGCGGGACCGTCGGCCGGACCACATCCGGCGCGTGCTGCCCGCCACCGCTCACGCCGGTGCGGCGGAGACCGGCGAGTATCTCATTGACCCCGCGATTTTCGGATGCGTCATCTGCACCCGTGTCAGCCCAACGCTTTCAGCATCTTAGAGACATCTAGAATGCCGGAGAAAAAAAACACGGCGCCTCGTGTCCCCTTCTCTACATAGGACAGCTCAAACGGCCGGGCGCACGAGGAGCACGGGTTGGTACTGCGGGACACCGGGTGACGCACCATGGTGGCGGTCGTTTCTGCGGGCGGCCGTGCTGTTGAGCAACGCGGGCGCGGTGGACTGCGGCTTGGAATATCTGTTTACGTGTCTCTTTTTCGGCATTACCCTGGCGTCCGGATGATGTTTTGTCGTCGTCCTGTTTCCTACCGGAAACTCGCAGGTTCGGAAGGGGGAGGATATGGAGGAGGCAGGCACCCAAGATCAGCTTGTACGAAGTAAGGTAGGCAGGTACCAGTTCGGGAGCATCAAATTGAAGGCGATTGATTGAGTCAGAACCTATGACAGCTCGGCAGGCAGTTGCCTACCATTTGGAAAGCCGCCAATTTCCCGCATCCTGTTGGCTCACACAGCTTGCTTAGTGGGTATCCAATTCTGTCCCACCGCATGTCATGCGGCGATTCGGGGCAAGAGCACCTGCGGCTCCGAACGGAGGATGCGTCACAGCCCCCCCTGGAAGTGACCATGACAACTCACAGCACACATCAGACCATGGGGCCATGGGAAGGCGGCAGGGCGGGAGCACTGGAGACAACGGCATTGAATGATTGAATGGGAAGCAACAAAGGACCCACCTCTGGTGGCGATTGGACCTGCCTCAGAAAACCGTTGGTCTGTGCATTCTAACACTGTCTCCACACCGACCCCGGTATGTGCAACTTCAACTTCGGCGGTTCCACTCTCACCGAGACGACTTGCCTGCTTCAGGGGCTCGACTACGTGACTGCCTCTTTCCCTTTGGCAACGAGAAGGGAATGCCGGCAGTGATCCTTCCTTCCCTGGTGACTGCGCGTGTGAACACTGCACTCGTGCTTTCGGAGGCATCCCCGGAAGATCCCGAGCGCAGGCGCGCACGACCGTACACAAGGCCGAATTGACGCCGACCCATTGGACTTTCTACTCTCTTCTCTGGCAAAGGCGTTTCGGTGGAATTATCTCGTGCTACCCCCCTTGTCCGAGCTAAAGGATGACGTGCATCAAACCGAGACAGACAACTGATCGAGCCAACGCGGACGTGAGCTTGGCGGCGGCGGCGGCGGTGATGCTTTGGACTTCACTGGACTTTGTTTGACTGTCCTCATGGATCGGGGCTTGCCACCTCCGCACATGGTAAAGCCATCTGGTGTATCCGCCATCCAGTGTAATCAGGTGTCAAGTGTCTGCATGCGAGAGGCGGGAACACCCGACGCCATGGTGTGTGTGCACTGAACACGAAGCCATCTGATCTGTTTCTGCTGCTGCTATTCTCAGCTTCCGGAACTCAACGGGCACCGCTGCCAGGGCAGAGCTATCCGCTCTCAAATCGGATGTCGTCTTTTTTTCGCCTCGCCGTTTGCTTTGTGCCCGCTCGGTGCCGAAGCATCTTGCCCTGATTGCGTCTCCGACGCTTCAGCCTGTGGCCAGGGTCTTATGGTGTTGTCATGGACTCATCGGCTCGGGGCCCTGTTGATGGCAGACAATGCAGCATATCCACCTCCACAGCCGTTATGCGACGTGTTTGGCATCTAGGGTTCCGCAACACATGGTTGCGAGGCCTCCGCAGACCAAGACAGCTGTGTACAACGGTGGCTTGAGGGAGACATGAAGCAGTCCGCTGCATCTTGTCTAACCAGAACCACGCGACAGTTGAAATGGCGTTGATACTGATGCGACCACGATTCTTGCCGGCAAGGCGTCGAAGTTAGGTATCGCGTGCTCTCGCTCTCAAAAGCAAGATATTCGGTGGAAAAGCTCACACCGACCACTGCCTACCGTGGCCCCATCAAGCCAGCGCCTATCTGCGGTATTCCGACAGCATCGGAAGCCTGCCCTGAGGACGGGAATCATGAGGCACGCCCAAAGACTGATTAGCCGCCTTGTGGGCGGGTTCTGGCCGAAATGAGATCCACACGGTACGCGTCGAGTTGTAGGACAGACCATGCACGCCCAGACCAGTACAGTCACAGGCCCCGTCGTTTCTGCCTTCAATATAGCATTTTTTTTTTCTCATTCCGTTCCGACGAGCAACGCTCGCCACGTATATGGACTGGCCAAAGATCGTCGCATCAAGGCGGATACTGCAGGGCAATCTGCTCGCGGCCCTCGGTGGCCAGAATAGCCCCTGGTTTCGCCTCAAATTGCGGTCTCGTGGGCTTTGGGTCGTTGCTCCGTGGGTCGCACATAAAACGCGCAGCGGTGTCGTGGACCACTTTCCGACCAGGATGGTTTGTGACTAGAGGGCGCGGCTTGTGACAGGAATTCGAGCAAGAACGAGCCTGGCAGCCCCGAACTGGGAGCGATTAGCGATCAAATTCGGCAAGTCATGTCAAACACCAGGCTGGATTCGGGGCGATGAGTGCCGTTGAGCAACGTGGGTCGAGCTAGACATACCTGAACAGGCTCCTTCCGCCATGGGCCTCTGCCCGATGCGTTGTGCTCGTCAGACGACCGGAGAAGTGCGAGCTCGACCCTGCCGTGTCTGCTCCCAAAGAATCGGTTCTTGTGTGCAAAAGTTCATCTCCCTGATACCCGCCGAGCAGCAACTCGACGGTCAATCTAATGCGGGCTAGACTGTGTCGAGCTGCTGCAAACTCGTGTCGTGTATAGCCGGTGCAACATCGGATCAACTGCCTTTTGACATGAACTACGCCCGGTCTCTGTGCGGGTGGAAACGCAAATGGCAAGTTTTCGACGGACGGGGTTCAAGGGTAGAACTCTTACGCGTGTTGGTTTGGTTCTGGTCCGGGTGCTCGATGGATAACCGTCGGAGAAGGACTCTGGGGTATCCACAGTCTCTCCGTGGTGGCTGTTTGGTGTAACCACTCCTACCCCCAAGAGTTGATTGGCCGCTGTCTCGTCCCTCGGAACTTAACCGAAGTGTGATGGTTGGGGGTGAGCAAGCGCCAGTTTCTGGTCCATTCAGTTCGTGATTTCCCAGTGTCATGTCGTTCAATGGAAGAGGGGATTGGTATCTACAGTGGCCCGGACTCAGGAAGGGGGTTGGGCGGGGTTTCACGGGTCTCTCAAACCGATGCTCCATACCTAGAGATATTTTGAAACTTCATTGACGACTCTAGAAGGCCCTACCGTCCGAGTCGCTCAGGCCCCTAGGTTAGTTCATGTCGTGGCTACAGTCCAATCCAGCAACGCGTGACGGTGGGACTTGTGTGTTGATATGAAGATATGGCTTTGGGAACAGCGAGAACTTGCCGAGCCCAAATAAAAGCGTAAAGAAGCGGTCTTGACTTTGGACGCCAGCTGCCCCGTAGATTGGCGCCGGAGAGTACTGCTGGGTAGGATTCAACAAACCCCGGTAACCCGGAAGGCTGCGGAACTCGGTCAATATGCCCCAATGTACATCTTTCCGTCACATTAGGGCGCCCGGGCGCGTTGCCCCTATTTCCAGCATCTGAGAAGGGCCACTTGGGAGAGTTGCTGTCGGATCTTTCGAAAAGACCGAAACAGGTTGTCATAGTTGGTGCCCAGCATCGGGGTCTCATTCACAAAAGTCAATCTGGGGGAGGACACCCCGCCCTCAGGCACTTGCAGTCGGCGTAAGCCACAGACATCGAGGCCCCTGCCCACCGTTTCCAAAGCCGGCCAGGGCTGTTGCGCGCGGCTGTTGGCTAGTCATCAGCTCGTTTCACGGCGCATAAGGTCGATCTGTATCTGCCGCCTCGGACAAGTACCTGTTCGTACCCTGCTGTCTCGGGAGCCATCTGATGCTACAGGCCACTGGTACGGGCCTCGCTGCCTGCTCTCTGACTCGATTAGGGAGGTCGCGCGCCCACACCCTCAGCTGCTGCAGAAGAACCCGGCGGCGGCAAGGGTATCCCGTTCTGCCTCTCAGCAGAAGCGGTCGTTGAGCGCGGGACAGGATCCGCCAGAATAAGGAACAACAAGTTCGTCGGGCAGCAAAGGCGCACCCGACCGCGCGAGGTCACAGCCCATCGGATGACGAGGTAGCGAAGCCACGGCACCCCAGGGTAGCTACGCTTGGAAGGTGTGCCGACGCGACGCGTGGTCGAGGCAATCGGAGGCGTTCATCTGAGACCCGGCCACAGGATTGAGCGGGGAGGCTGCGAGAACCCCAGGTTGGCCGGGATATCGTTCATGCCTGACAGAGGCCGGTGAGCGACGCTGCACGTTTTCTGGTGACGGTCTCGACGAGATGGTGTGATCAGTTGCCGTGCGTATGGTCCGCCTCCTCGACGGGGGGGGGAGGCCGGGCGGGTGCGGAGCAGCAGCACATATGAACGAGGCTTGCCAAGGCAGCCGGTCAGAGCCATTCGAAGGAAATTATCACCAGTAATGTACGGGCCCCAACGGCCGGCAATGATTTACGGCGGGAGTGAGTCAGTTATAGGGATGAAAGAATATTACTCGAGCTGCAGAGGGCTCTGGGCCCTGGACGACCGACAGCACCGCATACCAGTCCTTGCTCCTGACACCCTCTGGGTGTTGGCGTTGGTGCATCCCACCAATCGTCTCTCCCACAAACCGGTCGCCAGGCCGGCTTCTTTTTTTGACGTGGTGACCGGTGAGCTCGATGGCGGGAGGCGTGCGTCCAAGACCAATCCGACCCCGAAGGCCCCCAGCCTGGGAAACTGGCGTAAGGTAGCTCTGCTTTAGAGACGGTCGGTCGTGTGTCTGCTGGTATTTGATCGTCAAGAGAGAATGGTGTTGCAAACATTTTTCGTTGCCCCTTCAACTACCACGGGCCCGGCAACCCGGAAGCCTTGGTGGCACGGCGCCAGCAACAAAGCAGAGACACTCGCAGGTTGGAGGAAACTTCACGCGGCAAGCCATCCCGGACAAGCAGGCGAGACTGTTGGACCGGGAGCTCGTCGAATCGGGCTTAGCCTGTTTGCTTTCCCATGGCTGGCCGTGTAGTATTCCGTAACTGCATGGGGGTGACTGCAAATCCGCAAATTGATAGCAGGCCGTTCTTGCATTCGCGGTGTGATCGGAGGACCTCTGCTCTTGCCCTGCAGCGCCGGAATGGGAGAGCTGCTCTGAGAGCTCCTGCCTCCACTGTTCGTGCCGAGTGGAGACGTCGTCAATTGTTCGGGTGGGGGCCCCGTCAGGGAACCCACAAACCTCGATCGCTCCCACCCTGGCGCTGCAACAACCCCTGTCGACGCTGCCCTGGCAAGCATTGAAAGTGGAGCACCCGATGGAGCTAGTTTAGCTCCCAATTTGCTGCATGGAAGGCGCTTGGCACATCGATTTCCCTCTTCATGGATTGACTCTCTCGCGACTTCCGGGGCCGACCTAGGGCCAAGCTCTGAGCGAGCGTGGGAAGTGCCCGCACACAAACATGCAAGATGATTTCGGGACCGGCGGCCAAAAAACCGCATTCATTGGATGGCTGCTAGCCTGCTACTGGGAAGTCACCCCGGTTCACACCCGCTTCCCTCCAGTAAGTCGTCGAAGAAAAACCGCCCGCAGATCTCCAGAACAGATCTCATCCGAAACCCGCTCGAGCCCAGATCCGCTCTCCAGCCCGAGCGGCTGCCCGTGGCTTGATAACCAGGCATCGATCGCGGGATGTAGGTCTCGCGGGCGCATCCTCTCCGCCTCCGGTCGGCACCCGTCCGACGCGATGCCGGGCAGTGACCGTTGACGGCGGTATTATGGTTCATGCAAAAGACGGCAGCGGGCTCCTGACGCAACGACTGACAGGAGGTTGAAAGGGGTGAAACAACGCTGCTCGACCTCAAATGGCCCCATGGTTCGTCTGCCGACGTTGCTCAGAGAGACCCTTGGCTCGGCGAAAAACCTGGGGCGGGGGCGAGATGAGGTGTCACATGCCACAAGATCTGGGAACGGCAGCAAGATGTGGCCAAGTACGGGGGGAATGTGCCGGGCACGCCCTGAGGCGCTCTCTGTGTCGCAGTCGATTTGCGCCCCAGCGGTCGCGGCACGTCAGCACGATGAGGGCTTGCATGCTACTACAGATAGCCAGCACGACAGCCAGTGCGTGATACCATCTCCTTACCGCAGAAACAGATCGCCGGGTCACCATCGCGGCTCGCCCAGAGTTCCGGCCAGGCGTGTTCCATCGTTGGGGGACGCCCATCTTCGCCCTCTGCGGTTAAGGGGCGCTGGCGCCAACGGCCCGACCCGGTTTAACGAGTTGGAGGACTGGGGCGGCCCTGACCTTCCTGCATCCGGTGCGTGTTTGTCGGATCCGACGGCGGGCAAGAACAACGAGTATGAGAGCAGAGGAACTTTCCATGATTGGAGGGACGAGGCAGCGCCAATTGTGTCGTTGCTGGCATCTCCGGAATGGTTTCGTAACGGCGGAGCGGGAAAGCTGGATATTCTGCCATCTTGCGGAGCCGACCTGAACAGCCCAGCCCCGAAGTATCGCCAACTTTTCCCATCCTTAGCAACGCTTAGAGGCGCCAGCCAATCGTCTTGAAATTCGCCCGCAAAGCCACTAGGCGTAACGGCCGAAAGAATATCGGATCTGAAACAGTGGGGTCGACCACCTCCCTTCCGCCACGGAGAAGCTTCACTATGCATTCCTTCCTATGTTGGCGTCAAATTGGTTGGTGCGCAGGTGCGTCGATTCGAAGCAGACGGGAACCTGCACAAGGGACCTTTGCCGGATTGCCCGTTCATACCCCCCAGTTGGCGTCTTCACGCCAGCAGCTCATATCCGCATGCATCGGGAGCAACACGAGCACGCTCCGCACCTTACTCTCTTGGGTGGGCAGGGTCTGAAAGTATGATTTGCTCCTCGCCTGGAGTTCCTTTCTCGATATGTTAGCAACGGCAAAGTTGGAGGCAGCGACGGCAGTGGGAATAGTGGTAGCTACGAGGTTCGGATCAGGGACGGGTTTATTCGTACGCCATACCCACGGCAGGTGAGCGGAGCGGTTTCGTACGCTTCGTAGGGGGGTAGGGGTAGGGGGGGGGGGGAAGGCTCAGGTTCGCTGCCGATACGCTGCCTGATAAACACTTACACAGATATCCCTCTCCCATGACCACGCGCCACCTGCTGGGCATTTTCATCTGTCTACGCTCCGAAACGGGATGCAGCACCGCCAGGACGCCCAGGCACAATGTCAGAAACGGCTAGCCCGTACACTTTTTCACGTGTCGGGTGAAGAACCCGCTTTCTGGAGTAGCACAACCGCTGAATGGCTTCGTCTCTGGTTCCGCTGCATGGCTCTGTCGGCCGTTGCCGAAAAGGTTAGGTCTATAGGGCCGAAAGCTGGGGAGAGAACCGCTAAGGGCCTTCAGCTCCGCCCTTCTGAATGATCGCCACAGCTAGAGACGGGGGTGAACCAACTTTGTCCGCCTCGTAAAAGCCTCACCGTCAAATGGTGGAATGGCCGTCGATCATTGGACGTGGCTCTGTTCCCCCCGCCTCCACGCCATTGTCAAGAAACTGCATACGGTAGGCCAGTTATTGCAAAGTCATGCACACCCTGCATGGGAGGCGGGCCCTCTCTTTCACCGAAGCTTGTCATATGTCTGCAACTAACCGGGTGGACCATCTCATGGTTGGGAGATATGCTTTTGCCATCAAAACAAAAACTAATGCTTGTGTGGCATGCTCTTGGGGGGGCTTGACGGTTGGGTGCTTGCAGAAGAGCTAATGCATGGGAAGCGAGGATGCCAGTTGGGCTCGATGGGTTTGTGTTTCGCTCTCCACCAACGTTGAAGACCACTTGGGCTTGCACTGCGCTGGTAAGTATGCTTGAAAGCGCGTCAAAAGCCGGATCAGGCACCACCTAGAAAGCCCGTAGCGGTACCTAGCTTGTCTTCTCATGGAAAGACCGACAAGTCGGTGCCGTCTTGCCGGAAGGGGGGTCAGATATCCCCGGTGTGAACAAGGTATGCGTGGCGAGTATCCGGTATTGTTTGGCCGAGGCACTGACCACTACGGCGCGAATCCAATGGCCTGCAACTTCAGACGGCTTCTTGCTTTGGCTATCCAGTACGGTCCTTTGCCTGAGTCGACAAGGGGGACTTGCTCCTCGTCCACAAACTTACATGGGGCCGCCGATACGGCCCCTTTGTTGGTACTTGGGCGATTAGGCTGGGAAAGGGACGTAATCTAATCCCATCATGCCCTTGCCCTACCTACTAGGTGTATCAAGGCTCGAGCCTCGGTTTCTTTACTTAAGAGACAAGGGGACTTCCAAGCTCACCCCCGTGTTGCCTCTTCTCTGACTGTTGTCTCAAAACTCTGCGCAACCTTACCTGCTCGGCATCAGCTTAAAGAAGACACAGCATCCCCATCTCAATCTTACCCGTCCTCGCACTAAGCGCTCCAGATCTGTTTCCCGAACCATACTTCTTTGCAGGCGCAGGACAGGCCGGACTGAAGACACCCCCCAGATCTTTTGTACTACACTCTTTGCTTGTTAGGCCCTCGGCGAGCATCCCTATCTCCCGCCACGCCTGCCCGGCCCAACTCAAGCCACTGCGTTAGAGGCCCAACGGCGCCACTGTCGAAAATAACATCACCTAGCATCAGAGACAGAAACTAGCGCGGCAGGTTTGCTCCGACGGAGACAAGGATAAGGGTTGTTGTGGCCGCCAGCTTCCGGAGAACGAGGCGCAAAACGACTCCGACGAACACCACCGGCGACGAAAAGACCAATCGAAGTTTTATGCCCATAATCCCCATCGTCAGAGATTGTTAGGTGCCTCTCGCAGCCCGAATCCCTCAGAAAAATTGTGGAGGTTGTGGAAGGTGTCGCTTCAGGTAAGCAGAACATCTCGTTTGCTCTTTTGCATGCACATCGCCGCCTTTTTTTTCCGCGTGGACTTGATTCCCAAGGCGGCCGGACAATGGTGGGCCTCAACGCCGGCGCGTGCGAATACAAGCCTGTGGATGTCGGCTTCCTGCGGCCGCGATGGCGCCTCGAACAAATCACGACCTTCGGCTTTGCGGAACAGATACGGGACCCCGACAGCTCGGCCCTGCATGCCGAACGAGTGAGCGCGCGCCAGGGACTAGCGAGCAGCTGAAGATGCGGGAACCGGCGGGCGTGACGCATCATAAAGGGGACGCGAATCTTGGACAGCTTTTGACGTGACGAGCCCCCAGAGCCTTCGACAATTGCTACCTGGATTTGTTCAGTACACACGAGATATCGGCCCCAACCGGACCTAGATTGCAGCCCACATGTCCGATATGTTTCTTCCATGGGGTTCGGGCCTGTTGAGTCCTTCAAGAGCTGCATGGACGGGTGTTGGGAACAACTTTGCTGACGGGACAATCGAATTCACCAGACGAACAAGGCCGCGGAACAACTCGAGGCGCAGGGTGTTGTAAATTGTGCCCTTGGCATGACCGGGGTCCTTTTGGAGGTCAGTCAACCAATCCCACCCCCGAGACACTCCGCCCCCGGGTATGCGCCTTCGGGCGGTTTGGGAAGGAGAGGCAATGGATTACCCTGAGCTCTCAACAAGGCCCCTTTCCCCCGTCCAGCCCGTCCAGCCCGTCCAGCCCGTCCAATCCGGCACCATTCTTGGTGCTTCGGCCGCCTTTCTCTCCCAATGGCGGTGTTCTCCTGCACTTATCGAGGCTTTGCTGAACCTGGGGCGCGCGGAGCAACGGACAGCTCCCAGAACATCACCATGGGGTGGCGGGATTCACGGCACAGTTGAACTAACCGTAGCCTTTGAGCTCTCTCACAGGCACGGCAGTCGTTTACAGATTTCCTGGTCGCCCCCATCAATTCCTCGCTCCCAGCTGGAGCAGGGGAACGGCGCATGAATCAACAACTCCCCAAGGTACGACTTTTATTTTTCTTATCCCTTTGTGCCCTCGCCGTCGAGACCGGCGAGGATTCCGGAGCCCTCCCCGACCAATAGTCCGGGCGACGCCAACGACTTGGCCGTTTGAACGTCGGGGTCCCCCAGCCCCGTCACGGCAACTGGAGTCGACAAACGAAGACACGCCCCTGCACATCCTGCGGGCAGCTCAAAGGTTAGTGAACAACAATCCCAAAAAGCAGCAGTTGCAGCCCCCCCCCCCCCTGCCCGCATTGTCTCTCCATTCTTTGTTTCTGCCCTCGTCTGTCCTCGAGGACGAGGCTGCAGACAACTCAACACTTGTTTTAGCGCTTCGACTCTGCGCCGTTTGACGGCCGTGTTTTATTTATTTATTTGTTTCACTTAACTGGGCCCGCCTTTTCTTATCCTCGGGCCAGGGGCGGGGCCTTGCCTTCTGCATGCAGTTGCTGGACATGGTCTGAGGGGCTTGGGGCTCTTTTTTTGATTTGCTTTTCGCTCTTCGGATTGTGCCCAGTAAGGGTTTGAAGGGCTTATTATTACCCCATCGTTGCCATTGGGTTACCAGAACTGGTAAAGCTTGAACGCGGGTCCGGGATTTGCAGAAAAAGGAGACTTGATGACATGCCGCTGGGACAACATCTTCAACATTGGGGTGGACCTACATAAGCCACGGTCGCATCCCGACTGCGAAGCGCGTCTGCAGAACCCTGCTGCTGTTACTGTGAATGCTTGCTTCTGGCCGCCAGTCACGGCCGGCCCAAGGTGGCATGTACCCCTGCAGGTGCATCGGTACCTCGTTGTACTGGATGGCGCATGGAACGCTGGCTTCCATGTTACAGCAGCCTGTCGAGGTCCTGTACCTCGCTCGGAGCCCAGTATCAGAGGTCTGCCGCAGACAGGAAGAAAGGAAAACGGCATCAGCAAAGCAAACAATTTCTGTTTTCCACTCCGATGCTCCCCGGTCTCCATCCCGTTCTCAGTGCCCTTCCCCCCTCGCCCCCCCTTATCTCCTTTTTATTCGCCTGGCCCCCACTGCCGCTATTCCCTCACGCGCCTCAGCTCCAATCCGACCCCTCTGCCACGGAAACCGGTCGCCGGTCTGCAGCCTGTTGCTAATTAAGCCACAGGTTTCATTCCATTTTCACCACCACCACCTTCGCTCGCCGGTTTCCTTTGGAGATGCAACCAGCTATATCCGTGGCCCAGTTCTTCCCAAGTTGAGAGGGAGATTTCTTCGCTGCTGCTGCTGCATCATTGGCTTCGCTTGCCATATCCCCAACGGCCTCAACCAACAACTATCTCGTTGCGACCCATTTGAGAGTCCCTGCATCACAATTTCCAATTTCCAAGGACGACAAAACATAAAAAAAAAAAAAAAGAGGGGACGGGCTGGCAGAAATGGCAAGGTTGATCTAACAGGTGCGTTTCTAGCAGGATTACGTCGAGCCCTCGTCGCCCTCTGGCACTGGGCTGGACTATCTCGATATACCGGCCCCGACTGACATGTGGTGCGTATACTGCCTCTTTACCTTTTTTTCCGTCTGATTGGTCTTTGTGCCTTTCCACACCGGGTGAGGAGGTCCGTTGCCTCAAATACTGGGCTTTCCGTCCGCACTTACACCCTCAGCTTCCCTACATCATGTACCTACTCTTCAAGGACCCTCCCGCACAATCTTCCCCTCTCCTCTTACTTGAGGCACGCACACCTCCTCTTCCCTTGAGATCTAAGATCTGGGAACAAATGCAATTGCCATCATAAAACCACTCAACATCTCGTTCTGCCGCGTCCTACGGCTTGTTTTTTTTTTTTTTTCCACTTTCACCAGCACGCCCACGAGCACATTATTTGGTGTTCCCATTCCCTATTTCCGGTGGTGCGTAAGTACAATCTGCCGTTGGATTCCTACTCTCTTTTTTTTCCTGTCGATCGCAGCCGCGAGTGAAAGTGAGACATGGGTGCTCGCTCCGGGCGTGGTACGTGTTACCTGGATCGATCGCTGTGAGCCTTGCTCCCGCGCCGTTGCCGCATGCGCCATGCTCACTCTTCCGATTGCTGCTAAGTCCGCTGCGACACCCCTGCAAAACACTTGTGCACTGGTATGACGGGCTCTGTCCTACCGCCAGCACTGGGGGGTCGCACAAGGCCAGAGTGGATTCAGTGGAAGCACAGCGTTGTGGGATCCTGGGGGCGTGATGGCAATCAATACACACGCACCCCCCCCTTATGCTCTCTTCCCACCCCTTTTCCTTTTCTTTCCTTCTTCTCGTCCCGCCAACCCCCCCCCTCCCCACCCTCTCCGTGTGCATCATGGCGCTGAAGCGTGGCCGGTTGCTGACCCGGATGGTACCTCCAGCTTTACTCAGGGCTCCACAACTTCCCTGTCAACAATAGAAACAACGGCCCAGCCCTCCTCATATTTGAGTCTGATCCCGCCGGTCCACCAGCCGCCCGTCACGCCGTACTCCCCTGACGGTGGCCACTTTTATACCCCCGCTCCCCCCGTCTTCCCCGGTCTAGACGTCAGGCCTCGACTAGGCTCCAAGTAGGTAACACATTATCGTCTTGTCGTTATGACATCTCTGTGCCATGGCGCACTCATTCCCCCCAGTCGCTTACAGCGGTAGCAGTAGCACGGCCGGCCAGGGTATGGCACACGGCCATCGGTCGACCACACTGCCGCACCCAGGAACAAACTTGAGTACGCGCGAGGCCTACGCACCCGCGACGCCGGCGTTTAGGAGACCAGACCACCATCACATCCAGCGGTCGCCACCCTTCTCTAACCTACGACGCCATAACCCCCTCTCGCCAACCAGCACGCCGGCCGCATACGGATCCCTCAAGATGGACACAGGCTATCCAGGGTCCAAGACCCAGCCGAGCATCCCTCCCCTGGGCTCCTTGACCTCGCTCGGCCATCTCTCTTACAGCGACTCCTCGGCCACCCAGATCAAGGTGGACATCAGCGGCGTTATCGACAAGGGCTTCTTCGTGGCCGAGAACGAGTGGACTTGCTACCGCCGCAACTACTTCTCCTGCGTCTGCTCCTTCTCCCTGACGCCTATGATACACAACTCGCCCATCCAATTCCTCCCGACCGGGTCCACACATCCGTACAATGTGTACGGGTTCGCCATGTGCATCTCAGCGGCCGTGTCGGACAACGATAACCACACCATCGAACTGGTTCAGCACACACCCCAAGCGGGACAAGGGACCGATCGCCAAGCCCGAGAAAGTCCGGCTGTCCCAGAAGCCGCCACAGGCCAGCCACCACCCTTTAACCAGTCTCTACGCGGGCCCAGACGGCAGCCTCGGGTCGTCAAGATACGACCAGGGGTTCGGGCAACCTCAGCAGAGCTCAGCACCCACAGAGCACACGTTTGAGCGCATCCAGTTCAAGCAGGCGACGGCCAACAACGGGAAGCGAAGGGCGGCGCAGCAGTACTACCACCTTATCGTCGAGCTTTGGGCCGACGTGGGCCAGCAACAAGGGGGCTCAGACCCGTGGGTCAAGGTCGCGTACCGGAAGTCGGCCAAGATGATCGTCCGCGGGCGCTCTCCCGGCCACTACCAGTCGGAGAGGCGGGAGAGCTCAAGCAGCGGGCCCGGCGGTTCCAGCGGCAGCAACATCGGCAGCGGTTACTCCTCAGGCATGCTTGGGCCCGGCGAATACTCAACGGGCTCGTCCATGATGGGAGGGGGAGGATACGCGCAACACTACGACACGCGCTCCAGCGGCTACGGCGGAACGCGGCACCACCACGAGCTGACGATGGAACCCATGATCTCGGCTGAAGAGGTCAAGGCCATCACGGACACCAAAGGCTACCAGTACTACCCGGCCACCATCTACGAGGGAGAACACGACCCGAGACAGCACCACCACCCACAAGTAGAGCTGTTTTCGCACGCACGCCAAGACGTGTCGGAGAGCGGCGGGGCACATTCGATGAGCACCGCGTTCGACCCGACCAAGGTCAAATCCGAGATGGAGCACGGACTCCCGAGCCTGCTCTACCACGGAGGGCCGTACTACCAGCGGTGCGGGCGGTTCGAAGGGAAGGCAACCTCCAACGGCCAGTACCCGACTACGCTGATCCCACCACCTTCCTCGACCATGAGCATGACCTAGTTGGCGAGAACCGGCATGGCTGCTTCAATACATACTTTGTTGTCACATTACTACTACGACTGCCACTACCGACCTCCATTTTACATTTGCGATGCATTTTACGGCCCGGAATGAGAAGGAATGGAAAAGTCATTGAGAAAACCTACACAAACAACACATTTTGGAAGACCTCTCTCTCTCTCACACACACACACAAAAGGTTCCCACCTGACTGCGCCGCGTCAGAGCATTATGCAAGGTTTTATTGCGCTGGATTTCGCTTTCGTTTTTTCTTTTCTTTTTGGGATGTAAACTGTCTGCCCCCTAGACTAAGGGGGGGTGGCTTATCTCGGCGCGGTGGGATTCGGATGGCGCAAGGAAATGGAAATGGAAATGGAAATGGGCGGGCGGGCGGGAACCAGACATGGGTATGGATGGATTCTTTGACGATTAATCCCGGAGATGGGGGTTTATGGGTACTCTCCGCAAGGGACACGGCGCTGGATTTCTCTTTTTTCCTTGTCTTTTTTTTTTCTTGTTGTTGTTTTTGGGTTCGGGCCTCCCCCTCTTGCTGTAGCCCTCACGGCGCGAATGGGAAGCGGGAATCGGGAATCGGGGATCGGGAACGGCACCGAGAAAGTTGGGCCCTGGTTCTTCTTGACCATCATGACCTTTCCTCTAAGAATTCTAAAACGGTTCTCTCCAGGGAATCACGGGAAACAACGGGTTATGCGCGACGAAACATGGCATTTGCAGGGATACCCGGTGCATTGTCTTTCCTTTTTCTCAACTTGAAGACTCTCTCTCTCACGCACACTCTTTCGCCCTTGCTCCATTTCAATTTTTCCACTCGACACACATCGACACGCAGATTTGTGTCTCACTCTTTTTCTACATTCAACGCAGCGGTGCCTTTTCCTTTTTATTTCCTCTTCCTCAACTCCCCTATCGATTGACGGCTGGAATGGAATCCCCTGCCCCCCCTTCGGTCCCGAAACTGCGCCGCCCAGTAAACAACTCCGGAGGCTGCCATTCGGATCGGCGGGGCAAGCCAACCAGTTGAGAAGAGGATACGCCAGACCTCAGTAGGCATCCATCACCGGGGCTAGAGAGGGGGCCAGAAAAGAGTTGGGGGGTCAGTCGTCATCTGACGGGCAGGGGAGGACAGCGCTCCCAAGTTCCTCCCGCAACGTGGCTTTCGTGTTATGGTTTACTTCTTTTCCTTGTACGAATTTGCGTAGATTCTCGGACGGTGGTTTTAGGGACTCTCTTAAGGATCTCACTGTTTTGCTCTCTCAACTGTGCTTTGCTATGCTGCGTACCTATATCATGACCCGGAGGTGCAAGCTGGTTCTTGGCTCGGAGCCCACCCATACTCTCTCTCTCTCTCTCTTTGCAGTGCCTTAAATTCCAATGCAAGCAGAGTTGCACGACACAAAAACAACAAAGAGCCTTGCTGGGGTCAGCAATGAACTCTGAGGTATCAGCCGAATCGCACCGATTCGGGATTCGTCACGAAACCTCCCTGCGGGGATGGATACCGCTTACGGTAGGGCTACCAGGCTGCTAGTGCCTGTGATGGCCTGCACCCAGATCATGGATCTTCTCACCGGTCTGCCGGTTTGTGTTTCGGTGGTAGCAGCGTTGATTAATTCCCCAGCACGTCCCGTCTTATTCATCACACTGGTGTGGAGCGTGGTGGGGATTTTAGAAGCGCTTGTGGCAGTGCGTTGGATTCTTCGGTTTTGTACCTCGAGCCATGGAATGTTCCTCCAAGTCGCGGGGTTCGGATGACATGCAAACCTGGAAGAGCAGAGTTTACCGATTGTGTCCATGGTCGACCGGGAAGCTCCTCCTTCCAGCTCCCTTCCCTCCTTCCGTCAATGGAACTCTGTCAAACCCCGCCAATACTTGCGAAGATTGTGCAGTGCCAAAACGGAGATGGAAGCAACGGGCACTAAAAGGCTCCCAGGCAGGTACCGTACCACGCACGCTCTCTCCCGCCCTGCTCTGCCTACGAAACCCACTTCAGTGCGCGCGTGAAAGGGGGGGTAAGCTGCAGTAGGCAATCTATTCACCCACCAACTGCGGCAACCGAAACGACTCAATCAACGCGCACGATGCCCGCCTTGAGGACGCAGCAACCAAGAAAAGCTGCTGTGGGAGACCCCTGGACACCTGTCAGCCCCTTCTCCCACACCGTTGGGAACTGCAACCTTGTGGTGCCTCGCCGTCTTTTTTCTGCCTCCCCGCCGATCTGCAAGACCCTCAATCGGCATCGGGACTCGACATGGCGCGCCCCGGGCTGTGTCACACCGCTTATCCGCCCATCTGCCGAATCCCCCGAGCGGAGGGCCAGGATGACTTGCATGAACCGGTCTGGGCAAAGCGGGAGGTTATACCGAAAACTGCTTGTCCAGCAGCAATTCGCAGCAGCTGGCAACCCGGGCGTTGCTTGTGGCCTTTGAGCCACATATTATGATTGATTGAGCTAGTTATGCAACCGAGACGATACCATCTCGCTTTTCATCAACCTTCATCGGTCTGTCTGGTCTGTCCCCACCCCGGGGAGGAAACGAGAGTCCCGCGTTGATTTGGAATGGCCCCCCCCCCCCCCTGAAAATTGGGGCGCGAACAAGAACCGCGCAGGAGAGTCATGTTAGTCAGCGGCACAGCCTTATCAAAGCCCCAGTTAACCCCCAAGGGATACGTATGTGCGTTTTACGTCTGAACTCGGCCGCGGGAATACGCAAACCTGAAAGAAGGAACACCCGACAATGCTAGGCTCATGGGGTGAGCGATGATCCGTTGCCGTGCCCGGTCGCTGCCACCGGCCCCGTGCCGAAATGCGCTAGCGTCCTGAAAGGGACGAGACGGTAACACGCCACTCTCTTCCGCCTTTCCTCCACCCTTCTGCACCCCGGCGTCCAGGGGAGTCCCGAGAAACCGGTAAAATGGCTCGAGTCACCCCAGCAGCCAGAATCCATTTGGGAGGCACAACAGCGATCTACCGGGAGGCGTTCATTTTGGGGGGCCACCAGACCGGTGCTGTCTTCGCTGGCTTCCCGTCTTTTCGCTTCAGCCCATCCTGAAACAAGCCCAGCCCTAGGCAGCGAAGCAGGTTGCGGGCAAAGCGAGGAAATGCGGGGGCAGAACACGGACGAGCTGCGCCGACCCGGGCCCGGCGCCCCTTTTCCGGCCGGCAGCTGTTGATTGCGAACTGGGCATTGTCACTCGAGCGCTCAGACTACCATTGTGCGGCACGGACGACACCGGGGCAGGGCCGCTTTCGACCATGTTTGGCTGTTGTCCAAATAAGGTTTCGGGACTAAAACAATCCAACGACAGAATGATCAACACCATCCTTGCCCTCCGTTCCAACCCCCTAGCGGAACGCCCCCCCATCGACCCACACAGAACGCCTAACTATTCTCGCTCACCACCGCCAAGACACACCGGTCTTCTCGTCCCGCCGTTGCACAACGTTAGCTTGCTTTTCCCGGATCCGCAGTTTCTTCACTAACGTTAGCGCCCTTTCAGTTTTCACCCTCGCGGCAGAGGCGGCGCGATCGACGAGTGTTGGCGCAACCAGGCGAGGCGATCGCAGACAGTGCCGGAGGCCGCCAAAGTCCCTGGTTTTCTAGGGGTCCGGACAGCTGGGCCCGTTCAGACGCGTGATGGTTCCAAGCAGCGGGGTGAAGCCCATCTGACTAGCGGGACCGATGACGCCTGTCAGCGTCGTAATCCCGACGTTTATCTGTCATTCTTCGCGCTGACACGCCAATCTTCGGCCCGATGAGAACGACAGGAAACTCGGTCGACGAGCCTGAAACATTCTAGAAGAGAGTACGAGAAAATACTGGTCTACAAGCAACACTCGTCACCAGTATCGCCATACCAGAGCGTTGAGCATCTGTGTGACTCAGGCAAGGGTGATTCGGGCACTGTTGGCCCTGACTTGCGCGGCAACCCGCAACACGGTCTACTCTTACCCGCAACAAGGCGCTGCGCCGGATGTAGAGTCCTTTCGCGCCACGGCGCCGGAGAATGCGCCACGGATGCGACCCCCATTGTCTTGTCGTCGTGTTAACAACTGAGGGGGGCTGGACTCTTCTGGCGCCATCGCAACCAAGGTGCCGCAATACACACATTATTCTTTCCGTCGCCGTTTCGGGCGTCGTCGCACACCCGCTCATTGTCCCTCCTCGGATCGGCCCTCGGCGGTAGCGTCGATCGGAGTGAGTAGTTTCATTAAACAAGCGCAAAACATGCCAGTCTTGGTTCTCTCGAAAAATCCGAGGGCTGCTAAAATGGGCGCCGTGGCACGGGGGAGATCATCGTTCCTAGGCACCCTAACCACCAAGAAGACATGAAGGGAAGGCCACGACGCCCTCGGAATTCCTACGCGCGGAGCCTCACCATCACATCGAGCACAATTGGCATCAGCAATTTCCGCATCTGTCTACGTGCCTATTTGCACACCGGCCTCCTAAAGGAGGTGGGAGTGAGTTTACAAAACCAACCAGAGTGTGGGTGGCGCTTTAACCTCGCAGTTGAGGCATAGCAGACTGACTGGTCACATTCCCGAACGACGCCAACCGTCGCCGCCCGCGGACCGCGTATTTGGGGGCCTCGGGAACATACGAGCGCGGAACTTGCCGCTCCACTTCCCCGTGACATTTGCCCGCCTCGGACCCTTTCTATTTCGTCTTGCACACGATGGTTCCCGGTTTTGAACACGCTGGGCGTGGTCACACGGCAGATAGCCACTGGTCAAAGAATTAGACACGTCTGACTTTCAGCCCTATCATCGGGCCGTGCGCCAACGGCTAGGCCGGGTAGGTTGGCCGATCCGGCTTTGCGGCTGAGGATTCGCGAGGTGGTATTCTGCCTGAGTGATTGATTTGACTGGATGTTGGTCGCCGCTCGGGGGGCGATGAGCCTGTGACCTTGCCCCGGATTGGGGCGTTTCCGGCCGCCGCGCCTGGATCCAATGCGACGCCCGTTGGTGGGGTGGGGGGGGATACGACAGCATACTCCGTAACATGGGATCGACCTTTCTTTTTCCTTCGGGAACGAAGTGGCCCTTTGCGATTCCTTCTTGGTTGTTCTTCTCATCTGTACCGCCGCTTTACGCAGCGCTGATAGGCGCATTCTTCTCGTATTTTCTTTTTTTTTTTCATTCCCTCTTGGGTTGTGGACGGCACCGGGTACGCAATCCCGATCCTGCGTCGATCTTTCGGGATCTTGGGGCAGGACGGGGGGTCGCTTCCCTAGCGCGCCTGGCCACCTACGCCGCCCCCTACCTCCCGAGGATCTGCCCCGGCCCGCCGCTTTCAGGGCATATTTCTGACGGCACGCGCGTTGGGTGCGCATCCCGAGGGATGGATGTTGCAGGAAGTGAGTGGTAAAGGAGTGTTTGCGGGAGGAGGCTAAGTATATCTCTGTATTTCTCGATTTGGTGGGTAGATGTATCTATGTAACTATCTTTGTAGGATGTAGGTATTATGTGTGCATAGTGCAGAGGGGGTGGTGGTTATCCCACCGGGGCTTTCTCCCCGAGGCCCGGGTGTGGTGGTATTTGGTGGCGTTGGACGGGGGGCCAGACGCTCTCTCTGTGTTGTTGGGCTTCGGTAGCACGCGCTTCGCAGAGTAGCATTGGTCGCGAGTAGCCAGTGCTCGGGGGGGAGACGGGGGTCCCTGCCGAGCTGAACTACATGCACTCTGCATTATGTTTACCTATCTCTCGGCACCGGTGTGTGGCTTTCTCGGCATCGGCGAATTCGCTATGTATGTACATGTGTTGCTGCAGCTAGCTGGGGTAGCAAGCACGCAGGCAGTCAGTTCAGTCAGTTCCGGGCGAGGGAGGGCTGAAAGGAGGGGAGAGGACAGTGGGGGAGGGATACAGGAATACCAGAAGGCCGGAGGGGGAATCGGGTTTGGGGTATGGGGTAC